TTTCAGCGCTAGCTCTACTCAAAGTAGAACCATTGAAGTTAATGGATAGGATGAATTTAGGTTCCTGAATTTCGGTGGGTCTGTGTAGAACTCAGCTGAATACAACTCTTTGCATTTGGCCACCTGTGTACCTACCTTTGGGCAGGTGGTACCGTTTGCCTGAAGAGCCCGATGCCTGAAGGGTCCTGGTTTTGGAGTTCATTTCACTGAGGCTCTCTGGCACTTTGTTTACAAATGTTGCTTCTGAAGACACTGCACTGAATTGTTCTATTTTTGCTCCTTCAGTTTGTTGAGGAAATGAAGGCTATTAGTAATGCTTACCAGAGGAACAGCAACATGCCAGGGTGATGAGCAGAAGGACAAGCACTGGCTTCATGGTGGCAAAGAACGCTCTGAATATGGGTTACAGTAAGCGGCAAGCTGTTTGGGATCCTGGACTGCACAGCTCGGGTTTGTATGTGTGTGTGTATACACACACACACACACACACACACACACACACACACACACACACACCTGACCGGCTCCGCCCACAAAATGACAAATGAGGAAATATGCCCTTATTCACCTTGTTCTTCTCCTTATTTCCTGAGGGAGAGAAAAGATGGGCGGTCTGATGTCTCTTGAGGGAGGGGGGGGAATGAAATCTGAAGGAGACAAGGGGCTGCTTCAAACATTGTAAAATTAATAGACAATGTGTAGGTCACCATGGCATGCCCTGTAAGGCATTTCCTTGCAAAATAAGGAAAGATTTACCTCCGCCCGCCCCCCCCCCCAGCCTAAGGCAAGTGCATCTCCCTGTGGACTCAGGTGCAGAATGTAAATGGGGTTTTAAAATGCAAGAGGGCAAAAATGGTGTTATGAAGTGTTTAATCTGAATGTGGAAAATCCCTGCTCACATATGGAGCTCTCTGGTAGCACTGCTTGTTTCTATTTGAAAGACTGCCAGAGGACAGTCTGCTGTTTGAAGGGTTTCCCAGTTTAAAGATAAAACTCACAGAAGCCATAGAAGAGAAAGCAGGGGTTTTGAAGCACCTGTTAACAGTTATTTATCTATTTATTTTATGTTGTTGTTGCTGCTGCTGCTGTTGCAATAGATTTATGAATCACCTTCTAGACCACCATCTCAAGGCAATTTACACATTAAAAAACCCAGTTAAAAGCACAAAAGAAAATACATTATGGTAAGGAGCCATTTATCCAGTTGGGAAAGCCCCTTTCTCCTCCAAGGAACTCAAGACAGCACACGTTTCTCCCCATCTGCATTTATTCTCACAACAACCCTGTGAGGTAGGTTAAGCTGAGAAACTATGACTGGCCCAAGATCACACAGTGATCTTTATAGCTCAGTGGGGTTTATTGACCCAGCTCCCCCAGGTCGTAGTCCAACACTTTAACCACTTGAGCACACTGCGAGCACACAGCACTTGTAGAGCAAGCACACCAAACACCTGGTTAGTGTCTAACCCCTAGGGTGGAGTGCATTATATTTCCCATTAAATAATTGCATTTATTTCTAAATGTATATCTATACATATAAATGACCATGTGCAAATTTTGTGTGTCTTATTTTGACCTTCTGATGCCTTTTCTCTTCTTTGGCTATGCCTACGTGGCCATTTATTCACTGGATAGTCCTGAGAAAACAACTCTCTCTCTGCATAGCCTGCCTGCCTGGTTTAGGAGACTGGAATGTTACTGTGTATTTCTTGGTGGAAGGAGAAAATGTGCACGTAAAGAATGAAATATGTCACTTTCGCAAGTTAAATTTAATGTGCATTCTGTGCAGCTGAGGAACCTGATTCAGATGTTCTTAGATTTGCACTTTGGTGTTTTTGATTAGTTCCCCCTCCATAATTCTCTTTAAGTGTAGTAACATTCTAAATGTGTACTTCATTATGTGCATATACAAATGAAATCCAAAGACAAATGCATCTCAATATGCATCTCAATATGTGCAATTTTGAAGTTGAATGAGTGATGTTGACAATATTGCTGGATCAGGCAGCGTTTGTGTTAGGAGCTGCACAACAGGACTGCAAACTTTGCAGATCAGTGTTTCAATGTTACAAAGAGCACATGCAGGTAGGGGAATGGGATGGAAAGAGGCAGGTTATTCCACAACGCAGTTAATTTGCCCTGTATCCAAATAATCAGTATAGCTTAGGGTTTTATAGAGTTTCTGAATACAGTGGTACCTCGGGTTAAGTACTTAATTCGTTCCGGAGGTCCGTTCTTAACCTGAAACTGTTCTTAACCTGAAGCACCACTTTAGCTAATGGGGCCTCATGCTGCTGCCGCGCCGCCAAAGCACGATTTCTGTTCTTATCCTGAAGCAAAGTTCTTAACCTGAAGCACTATTTCTGGGTTAGCAGAGTCTGTAACCTGAAGCGTATGCAACCTGAAACGTATGTAACCTGAGGTACCACTGTACAGGGCTAGAATTGCTAACACAAATGCTGCTTCTAAATCATGTAGGTTATTAAAAGATCTGTATGTATATTTTTTCCTATTGATTTGTAGTCAATATTGTTTCTAGAATTCCTTCTCCTGGGAAGTTTATCTGGGGCCTTCTGCATTGTTATTTTGTAGGTACCACGTTAATATACATTTTATTTTCTCAGGCATTTTTTTATTATTTTCTTTTACATATGATAGAAATGGAAAAACTGTTTTAAACACGGAAACTAAATTATCCATTCTGCTGAATCTGGGAAATTCTTTTATTTTAACAGCTTTGTACTACCTTCAATAAATATGAAGGGCTGGATAAAAGCAAGTTGAGAAACCTGTCATCAGTCACCCAGAGCAAAAGCATGCTGTTCCATATCAACTGTATGTCTAGCTTATGTCTAGACCATCCCAATTTGGGGACTGTGGGTGTGTTTCTTCAAAGCCTCCCTTCAGCCATTTCTCTAATCCCAACCGTCCTCTCCAGAAATAGCTGTTCTTTTGTGGCTGGGAAGAGTTAAAGGCCACATGGACCCTCTACGGCCACATGGTATGACCCCTCTACGAGATCACCACGAGGCACTTAACCAATAGGAATGCATCTTCATGGTCTCCGTTCTGAGCAGTGGCGTAGCGTGGGGGGTGCAGGGGGGGCCGGCCGCACCGGGCGCAACATCTGGGGGTTAGGGTTAGGGGGCGCAAATCCACGGGTTAGGGGGCGCAAATTACTTGCCTTGCCCCGGGTGCTGACAACCCACGCTACGCCACTGGTTCTGAGTCAGGCTAAGCTCCATTTTGTCATGGGTGTAAGCCTTGTGTGGAGTTTCTGGGACCTTGTGCAATCTGTCAGTCTCCCTCCACCTGCTGCTGAGAGCTTTGGAATATAGGGACGTGCCCTGAATCAGGCCATAAAGGAACCTCTCTACCTTAAAGAAATGGTGGGAGAAGCATGGGGTGTTGATCGTATGGGATGTTGAGTACAATGTTAAAGTCCTGTTTCGCTTTAAAAACCATGTGCACCTTTCTTCATCTTGGGGGGTACATAGCTGTGTTTTCACTCTCCCCAGCACCATCTAAGCAGAACCAGAAAAACACTTTGCTCTTCTCTTTCTCCAATGTTGCAATATGAGTGTGGGGGGACAAGACCCTTAAAAACAAAAAATGTCATCTGCTAGCCTGCTTGTCTCGTTTTGCAATGCAGTATCTATACATTTAAAGGTTTTCTGGTATTTTCATAGATGCATAGTTCAGTTTATCTATTCTGAACATCTTTAAATGAATTTTTCTCAGGCAATTAAGTGGTTGCCAAAGTACAGGCATGCCTCGTTGTATTGCACGTCACAGATATTGCTCCTTATGAGGATGGGGGTGCAACTGCAGGCAGCCCAGCCACGTCCAAGGTAAGGAAATCCCCCCCCCCGCACCACCACTGCCCCTTTTCTGGACACAGTAGAGGAGTGGGTTGGTGCTGGAGCTGTTTTTCCCCCTCCCACCTTTGCAGCCAGGAGGGCCTGGATTAATAGTACAGTGGTACCTTGGGTTACATATGCTTCAGGTTACAGACTCCGCTAACCCAGAAATAGTCCCTCGGGTTAAGAACTTTGCTTCAGGATGAGAACAGAAATCACGCGGCGGCAGCGAGAGGCCCCATTAGCTAAAGTGGTACCTCAGGTTAAGAACAGTTTCAGGTTAAGAACAGACCTCCGGAACGAATTAAATTCTTAATCAGAGGTACCGCTGTATAGTGTAAACATGACTTTTGGATGCACTGGGAAACAAAAAAAAGTGTGACTATCTTTATTACAACATTCGCTTTGTTGTGGTGGTCTGGAACTGAACCCACAATATCTCTGAGGCAGAGGCACCAACTTGGGCCCCAGTTTGTGGGTGCCCCGCGATGTGCTCAACATGATGACATGCGTTGCTCGGCCTCCGCTTGCAGAGAACACAACAAAAGTGGGGTTTTTTTATTAATTCCTTCCATGCAGCTCAAAGTGACATATTTGGTTCTCCTCCCCGTTGACCCTCACAATGGCCCTGGAAGGTAGGTTTGTCTGAGCTGCAGCAACTGATTAAAGGATAGCCGGTCAGCCTTTTGGATTGAGCAGGGACTTGAACACCAGCCAAATCAGGGATCCCCAACCTGCAGCCCATGGGCCGGAAGCAGCCCACGGTGGCTGTTTAACCAGCCCCCGAGCCGCCTCCGAACCGAGCCATCCACTTGGCGAGTCCCCACACGCTGCACTAAACTGGCGCAGCGCGGTGCAGGGACTCTCTTCTGCGGCGCCAGAAATCGCTTCTGCACATGCCCAGACGCTGGAAATCGCTTCTGTGAAGGCACGATTTTAGGCATCTGGGCATGCGCAGAATCTATTTCTGGTGCCATGGACGTGCGCAGACGCAATTTCCAGCGTCATGCTGCGCCGGTCCAGCCCACGGAGGATCTCCACGGGAGTGATCCGGCCCATGCCCGGTAAGCCTTGCCGACCCCTGAGCTAAGTATATAAGAACCATTGCGGGATCATATCATACAACAGAGGGTCATCCTGCCCAGCCGCTGAATGCATTGTCTTAAATTATTGTTGTTGTTGTTGTTGTTATTTAAAATGCATCTATTTTTATTTTTATCCTGAGGTACTGCAGTGGAATAATTCAGAGGCTTCATACCTGAGCAGTACAAAATTGATAATATCAGCTGCTTCAACACGAGAGCCTTTTACTAGTGCTGAGGCACTATTTTTCCACAATTAGCTGCATGTGAAATATAAAGTATAGCTAGAAGGGAAAGTATAGTGTTGCATTAATCAGCCGATGGCCAAGATCCTGTTTCATAGCGTCAGCAGAAAGTCTGTGATCTGACTCTTGTGTAGAAATAAATCCTCTTCACCACAGTAAATAAGTTAAAAAAAAAAAAAAGCTTTACTTGCCGAACTTGGTTTCTAAACATTTAGCTATAGACAATAATTGTTACAAAGCAACAAAATGATACGTTGCATGTTAGCAATGGGTTTCAGTCTTTTAAAGTCCAGTAAATCTCTCCCTCTTACTGCATGCTATTTAGAAACAAAAACAGCCAAAGAAGTCTTGTAAACTGCCATGCCATATTGAGGGAGGAGTCAGTGTTGCTGGCTGGCTCCTATATATTTCTCTCGGCTGCATGTCTGAGGTTCCGAAGAAAGTCACAGAGCATTTTGACTATTCCCAGGGAGCACTCCTTTGTCCTTGTAGCTATGAAGGCAGCCATTGTCTTTCTGCTCCTCTCCCTGGCATGCGGCTGCAACTCTGGTAAGTATCGCCAATACTGTTTATGTCTCTTTAAGATGGAGGTAAAAGTGTGTGATCAAAGCCAGAGATTGGCAGTGAAAATAAACAGAACCTTAAGAAGAGCCAGTCCCTTCCTTCCTTAAAACTTGAGGAAAAACCACCATTTTATCCTCTCAACAACCCTATGAGATAGATTAGAGTGTGTGAGAAAGCGACTGCCTCAACATTCACACCATACAAGCATTATGATACCACTTTAAACGGTCACAGCTTTGCCCAAAGAATTCTGGGAGCTGTAGTTTATTAACGGTGCTGAGAGTCGTTAGGAGACCCCACTATCCCGCACAGAGCTACAATTTGCAGAGGTCCCTTGGGAAGAAGGATTAATTGTTAAGCCACTGCATCGCTGTTATTAATTTTACACTCCTAAGGCATGAAATAAAATATGTGTAAAAAATGTAATTTTCAAATCACTTGCTCTTCAGCTCTTCTTTTTCTTTTAACCTAGGTTTGATTTCTTGTATTGCTGTCAATAACATTGTGCAGAAAGGGCTTTTTAAATCGGATTCGGTGTTTCAGGAAGAACTTTCAAAGTACACAAGTGACGTCCATGCGATAAATGGTGTACTTAAAATGAGAGCAAGTGTATTCGAGTTGTCTTTGCTCCACAAACTGGCTTTGGTGGATCTGGCGGTAATCTTCTTTTTCTATTTTTTAAAAATGTCCTTGCTTTTATTGCAGTTGAACCTTAACTCTGACGGGTCGTCGTAACATTTTCACAAATGCTGTTCAATTAAGAAAAATCATGCTAATGTCCACATACTGAACATGAAAGAATGTAGAATCACACAGGTTTCCAGGGACTTGAGTAATGTTTAAAAATTAGAACAAGTTTTCTATCTACTAGAGAATGGCGAAATCCTGGACCACTGGACTGGGTGCAACCTAGCCCCATGTGGTCTGCAGTGCCATCCTAGGCGGTGGCAGGAGCTGGTGCCAGGCTCAAAACAGGAAAACTGGTAGGAAAACTGGAAGTTGTGTTTGCCACAACTTCAACCTCTCTCAGTCCTCTCTTACGTTTTGGTTTGTAGTTGCACCTGCAAGTTGCACAGTGCAAGTTTAGTGCTCATTTCTGCAGTATTTGCAAATAGATTTTATCTGGACGTAAATACACAGGATCGCTCCGTCGCTAGAGCATGAGACTCTTAATTTCAGGGCTGTGGGTTCAAGCCCCACATCAAGTAAAGATACCCGCATTGCAGGTGGTTGGGCTAGAAACACCCTCAGGATCCTTTCCAACTCTGCAGTTCTATTCTTCTATGAACACAGAAATGAGCACTCAACTTGTGTTATATTCTGCTACGTTCCCAGAAGTGGCTTTTACGTTCTGTGAAAGCTCATTTATAACGCAGAAATCAACAGTCAAGGATATGTGAAAAGGGAATAAATTGCTGTGTGGAGGCAGTCTCGGTAGACAAAGTGGTGCTTATGAGGTGGCACCACTCACCAAGGTAGCTTAGGCTCCCAGATGCTCACTGATATTAGATTTAACATGGGCAGCCAGAGGTCCAAGAGCGTATGTACTCCAGCGGGGGTGGCTTGTCAAGCAAGCTGAAATCCCCTCATCTGCACAACTATTAAAGAGCCAGGAAGCCTGTCCTCTTTTGTATCTGGCCAGCCTAGGTATCACACTTGTGTTAGATATAATATCAGCAAGTTTTTGTAAAGGAACATGTGAACAGGTGTGTGGCCATCCCAGCATCCGTCATGTAGACATAAGCACTAGTGGAGGAAGAGGAGTGGAGGGGAGAGCGCACCGCCCCGGCCATCGCAGCTGCCCCCCCCCCCCGCCAGCGCTGGGCACCACGCCCTCGCAGGTGGCCAGCCCCACCCCCGCCTGCTCTCTGCCCCCCAGTGCCGGAGCATGAAGCTCCGCCACTGGACACAAGGCATGGTCCTCGAATAGCACTAGGTCAAAACTACCACAACAGTGGTGTACAATTATTTTCCGTATACTCAGTCAATGTTCTCCACTCTTCTTTAAACATATGTTCTTCTTGCTCTCTTGTTCTATGTGTTAAACCTGCAATTTCTGCATATTCTAACATCTTAAGTTGCCAATCCTCTTTATCTGGGACCTCGCTCATTTTTCATTTTTTGGCTAACAAAACATGGGCTGCTCTTGTTGCATACATAAACAAGATTTTCTGACACCTAGGAATTTCTGTCTGGGTTATTCCTAATAAAAAGGACTCTGGTCTTTTGGGGAAGGTAATTTTAAACATTTTTTTCAACTTGTTATAAATCATTTCCCAATATTCTTTTACCTTTTTACATGTCCACCACGTATGAAAAATGGTCCCCTCCTTTTCTTTACATTTCCAACACATATCTGATCGTACTTTATACATCTTAGCCAACCTACTCGGAGTTGGGTAGCACCTATGAATCATTTTCAGATAGTTCTCTTTCAATGTGTAACATGCAGTAAATTTCAAATCTCTTTTCCAGAGTTTCTCCCAGAGGTTTAAATCCATATTGTGTCCTATATCCATTGCCCAGTGGGTCACTGAAGCTTTCACTAGTCCGTCTTTTGTTTCCCATTGCAATAGAAAGTTATACATTCTCGACAAGAGTTTATCCTTGTTTTGTAATAGTTCTTTTTAAAATTGTGAGCTTTGGTCCAAAAACCCAAAAACGCTGGTAGCGTTAAGATAAATTCAACAGTGTAATTAATGTTTGAATGGTGTAAAAATGGAAAATTGATTTGAATGGTTATAGTAAAATATGCAGGAATGGAAGATATGTAAAACGAACCATGGAAAGAGAAGAGGGGAAGTCACTGGATATCAATAAGTTTGTAAAATGTCTATTTCGAATTGTAAAAATTGAAAAAAATATATATAAAAAAGACTAACACAACAATGGTGAGGGTAATCTGCAAAGATGTGAACTTATCCCATATTGCTATGTTGAGAGGACTTTATGCTGAATTTTTTTCTGCCCTTTTAATTTCAGGCTGATATACTGAAGCTGTGCTGACAATTCGAAGGAAATCTTCAATAACATTGCAGGCCATCTGCCAGCAGCAGTTGCCCAGTACTGCTCACTGAATGATGCACCCTTTTCTCTTTCTGCTTTCACTGATCAAGCCCTATCCTTCCTTTAGAGTATATTCATCATGCTGTACAAAACCAATGAGAAACCTCTTTATAATATTCCTGAATAATTCAAGCTTCAAGTTTCATTAAAATTCCTTATCTTGTTGCATTCAGGTAAATTACAAACGATCTCTGTGTGTTTTCCAGCAGTTACAGCAGCAATTTGGGTCTCTGTAACATGTAGTGCTGTATGGCTGATAATACTTTTAAGGAGTTTCACTTTCAATCTTGCAAGTAACTGAGGCAATACAACGGCTTATCCACTACAAGTAATTCAATATGGAAAAAGACGGTAATTGGTGTGAGTCTGGGTAACTCTGCCGGTTCCAGGAGCATGGGGAGGTAACAAAGGTGAATTCTGACCACTGTCCCTTCACCATCTTGGCTCTGTCTTAAGTCTGCAATACGTGAAAGTAAACTTCAGTTCAAACCTTGTAAAATACAGAAATTGTCTGCATGAACATACAGAATCAACGCATTCAATTTAATTTGAGAAATGATTTGGAACATGCATGGAAATTGCATTTGTGTTGACAACTGCAGGTGCAGGTTTTTTCATGTTTGTTTATTTTTATTTGACCAATTGTGGCTTCCCATATGTACCCATAATGAAGAACCTGCATGTCTTGACCGCCACCCATGAATGCTGGTTTGCAAACAGCAGAAGCAGCCAAAAAAACCAACGCATGAAAATCAACTGCAAAAAAACTACAGTGAAAATTCTACATGTTTAAATAATGTAGTTATTTTACAGGTTTAATTAACATAGTTATGATAAAAATAATCTCATTGAAAGAAAAATAATCTCATGGAAAAATATTGTAAAAATCAGTGCCTCATATAAATATTAGCAGCAACTTTTTTTCGACTCTCGTCTGATGGACCAGAAGGTAACTCAGTATCAGACCCTGAAGGTGTTTCTAAAGCACAGGAGCAGCAAAGGTCTTTTTTTCCAGCCAGTTGGCATCCCCAGCTGGGGGGAAAGGGATGCAGGGGTGAAAGCCTTCTGTTTGTGCCTCAGCATGGGGGAAAGTGGCAAAGTGGGGTGGGGTTAGATAGAAAGCTGTTGGGCAGAATGATCCCTACTGTCTCAATTTCCCTATTGTGCCAAAAGGTGGAAGGCAATTGAAAGTCAATCAGTTTATTTCTGCATATCAATGATAGCACTTGTGATAGAATCCATTCCACAATCATCATCATCATTTATTATTTATACCCCGCCCATGTGGCTGGGTTTCCCCAGCGACTCTGGGCAGCTTCCAACAGAATATTAAAATACAATAGTCGATTAAACATTAAAAGCTTCTCTAAACAGGGCTGTCTTCTAAAAGTCTGGTAGTTGTTCTTCTCTTTGACATCTGGTGGGAGGGCGTTCCATAGGGCGGGTGCCACTACCGAAAAGGACCTCTGCCTGGTTCCCTGTAACTTGGCTTCTCGCAGCGAGGGAACCGCCAGAAGGCCCTCGGTGCTGGACCTCAGTGTCCGGGCTGAATGATGGGGGTGGAAACGCTCCTTCAGGTATACTGGACCGAGGCTGTTTAGGGCTTTAAAGGCCAGCACCAACACTTTGAATTGTGCTCAGAAACGTACTGGGAGCCAGTGTAGGTCTTTCAAGACCGGTGTTATGTGGTCTTGGCGGCCGCTCCCAGTCACCAGTCTAGCTGCCGCATTCTGGATTAGTTGTAGTTTCCAGGTCACCTTCAAAGGTAGCCCCACGTAGAGCGCATTGCAGTAGTCCAAGCGAGAGATAACTAGAGCGTGCATCACTCTTGGTGAGACAGTCCGTGGGCAGGTAGTGTCTCAGCCTGCGTACCAGATAGAGCTGATAAAGAGCTGCCCTGGACACATATCCAATGTTCCAATGTATCCAGAGCAGCTGTAGGGCAATCTAAAGACAGATGAAGTGATTTTGGCTTGATGACTACATGTGAACCTGAAACGAAACAAAAGCCATCAGTATTATGAAGGGGAACCAATATCCTAACATGGCTGGTTTCAGGTCAACAGGCAGTTGCTGGAACCAAAAGCAAACTTGTCAACAATGCCATCATGTTCACTTTGCATGGGGCATAATTGCTCATGAGTTCTGGGGCCCCACTGAAAGTGGGAAACAAAAACAAAAAATGTGTGGCTTGCTTTATTGTGATATTCGCTTTATTGCTGTGGTCTAGAACTGAACCCACAAGATCTCTGAGGTATTGTCGCAGACTGGCTGGACACGGGAATGGTGGGAGGCACCAGCTGGGGAACCCCCAAGGGAAGAAGGCTCAGAGCCTGGGGATTGGTGGTGGGATGATGATGAGTGGGAGAGGGAGAAGAGGGAGCAGACTGGGAGGAGGTGGTGTTGGCAGAGGCGGAGCTAGCTGCTCTGGCACCCAGAGTGGCGCACGTGCTGTGCACCTAGGGGCGGGGCTAACCGGCTGTGGGGGCAGGGCAAGCATCCCAGGGGGCACCGCCCACAGTGAGTGTCCCTGGGGGGCGGAGGGCGATGTCACCACCCCCTTCCTCTGCCAGTGATTGTCGGAAGCTGAAGAGGTAACATGGTTTATTGTTCAGGAAGAGGCTGTGGCAGAGGGAAGTCCAAAATCAGAATCTGAAGCAGGAGAGGAGGGAGGCCAAGAGGCAGAGATGAGCCAGGCTGGTGAAGAAACGCAGGTGTCTCCCTCTCCTGCTGCAACAAGCTCTCCTCCCCACAGTCTCCCAGGACCAGAAGAGGTCTGAAGACAGAGGAGCAGAGACAGGCGTGCCAGCATAGTTTCAGATTGCTTGGGAAGGACCCGGGGGGAGGATGAGATTCAGACAGCTGTGGGAAGGCAGGGACCTTCAGCCTCCACAACTGCCTCATAGGGGCAAGACCTACTGAGAAGAGTTGCTGTGCTCATTAGGCCTGGCTCTCCTGAGCAGGCCTTGCTTCTTCAAATAAAGAGTAAACACTACGTACTCTGTGTGATTTATTGCTGATTTATGGCTCCCTGACAGGTATGCCTGTATTAGGATTGTGTATTTTCAATGTGCACTATTTTCAGATATTCTATTCATTCTCAGAGATTTTCATACCTGAAATTTTAACTTACAAGGCTGCCTGCATCATTAGAGACAACTTGCTTAGAGTAGCTGGCATGGGAGAGGAGCAAATTAATTCCCTTCCTTCTCCTATGCAGTGTGCCAGTCAAAATCCCCGGTTGCTTTTAGCAAAAGAAAAATATATTTGGAGATCCAGCCAAGGATCTTCCACAGACTATGTGATTTGACTCTAATTCTCATCATGACACACACACAGCCCAGGCTTTCTTAAGAGTCATACCTGGTGTTCTAGAACACCCAGAAGTACTATGAAGGGCAATTGTCTGTTTCTATGGCAATTTCATGAAGGTTCTTCACATGAAGGGGAGGATAAATCCCTGCAAACGGAGATGGGTTCTGCCTGTTCAGAATTCCATCTTCTCCTTAAACTGTCCACAGCCCTGTTGACAGACAGCAAGGAAATATCCTGCAGAAAACACTGTTGCCCACATCAGTTAAATCTCCAAGGGCAAAAGAAGGTGAATTAGCACTCAGTGGCCATTTAAGAATTGTTTTAGTTTATATCCATTTTTTTCCTCTGTTTCATGTGCTGTATAGTTAGTTACCTGACTCTTTTGGAAGTCGATGGCTGATTCTGGGCAGGGGTTTAATACTGTAAACGGATCACTTAGATAGTGCAAACTGGTAATCAGCAACACAAGGTTTTCTATTTATTTATTTACTGGGTTTCTCCCAGGAAAGGTAAATCCAGATTAAAGAGAGGGAGAAATACGGGCTGGTATTTTGATGACGACAACTATGCCATGTGGAAGCTACAAAAGATCTTGGATGCATGAAGAGCCCCTTCCCATAATAAATGGTGGCCACTGTGAGAACAGGATGCTGGACCAGATGAGCAGCTGGCATGATCCAGTAGGCACTTCTTATGCAGGAGAGGCCTAATTCTTCCATTCTTGGTACTTCTATCTCCAATACAACCCAGATAATACAATGAGACTCTACTGAATTGGTAACAGTCATGTTAATAGCTAGCTACAGATGCTGCCAGCTCAGTGCAGGGTACAATAGAGTTACCCTAAGTTTTCCCCCAGGAGGATGTATCCAAACTAACCTTTACACAAATTTGCTGTGTTCTTCATTTCTTAGGCTTTAGACTAGACTGCCATCATGAGTAATGGAGGTTGGGTGGGCACATGGAGGCCCCATCGTCCACGAGGACCAGTCATGGCCCAGTATTCCAGCCCTGGGCCCAAGTACAACATACCGGGAGCAACAGGTAAGCAAACAGAAACAGAAGTATAGTGGGGTTTAAAAAGTTGATTAAAAAAAGGGGGGGCTGGACAGCAGGAGCAGTCTGCCAGGCTGGCCCACCTCACAGAAATTGATCAGGGGTGGGGGAGCTCCATATTCCGGTACATATTTTCCCTTTGGGGGCATGTAGAAACTTGAAAACTCTTAGAGCTTGGGTCCCCTGCTGGCTCTTGGCCGGGGACACCAGTCCCCTCTGTACCCTGTCCCTCTCAGCTGCCCTGGTGCCCCACAACTAGAAATGACTGAGATCAGCTGCATCATCATAGGAGAACATATCTTCCCAGGTTCGATCCCTCGCATCTCGGACTAAATGATCTAAGGAAGCAGGGCCAGGAATGTCCTTTGTCTTTGAGATACTGGAGAACTGCAACCAGTCAGAGGCAACGCCTTACTCCTGAGCTCTGTGTCTGTCCTTTTTCAGGTTATATCTCGCACATCCCTACCAAAAGGAAAGCCCCTGCCTACAGTATGTATGGCGCAAAGCCCCCATCCAGCAAAGACAGAGTTCCGGGTCCTTATGATGTGCAGGGCTATATGACAAACAGAGGAAGGCAATCAGCTCCGTCTTATACAATGGGTGGTCGATTCAGAGTGAAAAAGGAGGTTACCCCAGGTCCTGGTGAGTAATAGTCACCCATCCAAGGTATATGTTGACGGCATCTGCTAACCCAAGACTAAGGTAGAGTTTGGGTGCATCGTTCCAAAACTGGCCATTGGAATGATTTCTTATGGCTACGTTGAAAAACATGCGGTGTCATCCTCAGATTAAATAATCCATATGAGTTGCTTGCTCAGACAGAGACTGGACTGATTCTGCTTGTTCAGTTTCTTTTTTTCTTTTTCGTAAATTTATTTATTTGGTTTTTCAATTTAAAGTTTTACAATCAGGGACTTCCGGGTCAGCGCCAACGACGAATGGCGGAGTTCCTCCGATCGGAGGAACGGCCTCTGTGGAAATTGGGTCTTCCCGCCGCGGCGAAGGTGGGGGCCCGCTAGAAATCCCAGGCGGAGAAGCCTGGGAACGTGGGGTTCGGCAGAGCACCAAGAGCGCCTCCCCTACTCACGAGGAAACCCCTTTTTGGGGCTCCGGAGTGAAGTGGGGTGAGCAGCGCGGTGCTGCGAACCGATCGCTATTTCCATGGAGGGAAGCCGCGCAGCCATCGCCGGAGAGCGCTGACTTTTTCCTGATGACATTTGGACTCTAAATCAAGCACCCGTGAGTAAAAACGGAGAATTGGATTAAGAAACCTGCAAAATTTATGAATTAGGCACGAAGCGGGAAGGTGTAAACAGGAAGTCCGCCTTCCGTTTTTGTATATAGATTGAAGCAAAGACCTTGCAACCTAATAGCCTGAAAAACTGCTTTAAAGTTGGAAATTTCCTGCATCCATAACCAATAAAACCCCCTTGGAAGCAGGAGAAAAGGGGGGGGGGAATTTGACTGTTTAATCCTGCAGGAGGAGAGTAAAGGAATTTAAGTTTCCATCGTCCCAAACCTGGGGACGGGGTGTCGGGACAGAAGCTGTTTGAGACGTCCATTGATTGAAAGTGGAGCACTTTGACAGATAGTTAAAAAGAAAAAGAAAAAGAGAAACAAATTAACTTCAATGCTACTTTCTGCATTTCTGCTTTTTAAAGAAACAAAGTATTTGAAATCGAAAGGAATTGAAATCGAAAGTAATCTCCTTTGTTGGATATATTTTAAAAATGGATACAAATAGAAATTGTGTCCCCTAGAGGAGCCCGTCAGTTTGTTGTTGCAGCTTACTTGGAGACTCTGCAGATGTGAGATTTGGATCGTGGGACCAGCCGTTTGACCTTGACTTTGAACAGAAATGTGTTGGCAGGAAGGTTTGGTGTCTGCCCTTGGCATGACTAATGCTTTGCTAGAGCAGCTGCATGAGAAAAAGAACTTGATGCATGAAAAATTGGACCTGATGAGTGCTGTGGCCAGTGAATATGATTTAACAGGGAATAAGGATAAAGAAGTTATACAGCGATCAATTCAGGAACCTGGTTTGACAAGGCAAGTCCAAGGGCAGATGGAGAAAGAAGAGGCAGTGATTACTCCTCAAACAACACAAATGGAAAGACCCAAAGTCCTGCAGGAACAAAAGCTACTGCGTTGGAAGATTGAACTTGGAGACTGCTGGGAAGTATTTGAAGTCAAGGAAGCTTTTAACTCTAGTGGGACTATGAAACAGGTGAACAACTATCTTCTGGATAAATATTTTTTGGATTACAAAGATGAAGATGGGGAGTGGGACTGTGGGGAAGGGGCCAATCTGATGAAGGAAAATGGAAACTATTATCGGATGGAACCCTCCGGAGACCCACTCCCCAAGAAACCAACAATTGACAAAGAAGTGCGCAAGCACAAACAGGAACAAAATTTTTTGCAGAAGGGGCCTAGAAGAGATTTAAGGGCCTCGGACATTAGAACACCAGATTGATGGACTGGATGTAATGGACAGAAAGGACTGACACGACCTGAAACCAGGAAGAAGGGACGTTGGATAAAAATTAGAGATATCAAGGGAAATTCTTTTGTTAATTTTGGAATTAGTGCAACATTAATGAAATTTGAGGGAATATGCTGGAAAGGAATTAAATTGGCTTTAGTAGAAATGATTTTAAGGAGATATGTATGAATATGATGTAAATTTTGAAATTTTAAGATTTTTAAGATAAGATAAGGTTAAAGAGATTAAGGTAAATTGAATAACAGACTATATTAAAAGATGGAAAGGTTATCTTGATTAATAAATAAGAGAGATTGTGAAGATTAATCATTTAAATTAAAATTGAGAAACATGGGAAGAATTTGCTGAAATAACGAATTAAACTAGAATACAAAAAGGGAGGTGTGAGGAGGTTCAAGAATTAAGCAAATGAAAAGTTGCAATCTGAGATTTGTATATCTTTTTTCTTTTTCTTTTTTTCTCTGTGTTTCTTGTTTTTCTTTTTGTGTTTATGTATTGATGAAATTTTGAATAAATATCATTCAAAAAATAATAATAAAGTTTTACAATCAGATATCCAACATACGTCATAAGGTTCCATAGAATCTCCTGGACTTCCCTCCTCCCCTTTGTGGGTCCTATCGTTAATCATTTCCTCCTGCATCTTTTATAGTAATCCAACTGTTTGTTGCGTTTCAACGTGCCTGAATATTTTTAGAGAATAAAAAAGCTCTGTCAAAGGCTGCATCTGGATGTTTGTCAAAAGTGTCCTTGAATCTTGCCACAACATCAGGCATATCTCGTATGCTACTGTTGGCTTTAGGTTGAATTTTGTCTTATTTCTCAGTTTAGGCTGCATTTTGTCTTGTTTCTTGGTTGTATTTTTTATATTGTGCCATGTCAATTTTGGGTAAGCTGCTTTGGGCAGAATCCAAAGAAGTTCTTCCACTAGTGCAGGAGTGGGGACCATATATTGACCCTCCATATATTGCATTGTCTCTAGTCACTTGGCCCTGCTTGCTGGGGCTGGTGGTCATTGTGGCTCAACTAGTTCAACTAGCCTAAGGATTTCCACTTGCGCAACAGAACTTCTCCCTCTCCTCTCCCTGCATGCCTCTGCACCCTCCCAGGGCCGGCTCACAACATTTTGGCATCTGAGCCAGGCCCCAGAATGGTGCCCCTGCCCTGCCTGGGAAGAAGGGGTGAGAGAAAATCTATATCCAAAAGGGGGGGGGGGGCGATATCAGCATTAGGTTCTGCTGCCCTGGCAAATTCAGCCACCTGAGGCAGTCACTTCACCTCATTGGCCACAGAAGGGACACCCAGTTTCCTGCCAGCTCGTAGGGACATAGATACTTTTTCGTCCACCGGTGCATACACCCTTTGTACCAGGGACAGTTCTGTGGCACAAATTTGCACAAAACATACACTTTTTTGGCATCCTTCTGTCTAGAGAGACAATGGAATGCTCCTCAGGGGGTGAAGTCAAACTGCCAGAGAATCACAGCGCCTGCTGTGGCTGCAGAGACTGGTAACTCGTAACTACTGCCTCCTGTGCTGTTTTTGCTGCATTCGCAGCACCACGGTGACCTCCCTGGGGTACAAGCCTGGGCAGTGTGTGTGGAGGTCCTGAGCTGCCCAGAAAACAAGACCCACCCCCTCTCAGCCTCAGTGATGTGGTCCAAAGGAAAACAGAGCAATGCGTTTGGCACCAGCTTGGCTGCAGGAATTGCCAGAAGGAGGCATACAAGACGCCGTCCAACCATCTTAGGGACTCCACTCAGGATTTGTGTGGTGTTTCCTCCTTAGCCTTTTCTTCTCCCGAAAACAAGGCAGTGGGTATGTATATGCATAAGGTAATTTATATGGAGAAACTAAGATGGTGAGTGGCTGGGGTCTTACAAGCACCACACGGTGAAGAAGGCCCGAGTGCCATAGAATTAAAGTTAAGAACAGGAGATCCAGAAAACACCTGTTGTCTCTGCAACTCCCAATAGCATCCCTGCTTCCCACACTACATTCTATTCCTTCTGTATCTGCTGTTTTATATTCATCCAACCGCAGTCTCATTTGCAATCAGAATAAATCATGCAAAATGTACATTCATCCTGCATTTTAATTCACATGCCTTAGTCAAAATGTGATGAGGGATTTAGCCTCCCTGCACGCAGAATGTTAACTTTTTAATTAACAAAACTGTAGACAGCCCTTCAGAGGCTTTAGGACATAGCAGTCATTTTGGCATGGTGAAAGATGAGCTTTAATCTAATTGCATCCATTGCCTTCCCATCTACCTAGCCTCTTACTCACCAGAGAAGTCACGGAAAATAATTTATCAAAATGCTCCTGCACATTCTATGTCATTCAGGACTCGTGGTTACAAAGTAGACGCCACACCAGGTAAGGCTTATCCCTTATGGTTTTGTTTTTTGCTTTGCTGTTGTTGTTGGAAGGCATCAAACATAGGTTGTCTTAAGAAATCTATCAATGATGAAACACAGCGCATTAGCTCAGGTCTATACATGATTACTTGAGAGCAAGTTCAGCAGGACTTACGTGTGCATGTTTAAGCCTAGGGGTGTAGTATTATGCTTCTGCCATTCAGAAAGATCTTCTCTCATGGTGGTAAGGCTGTGGGTGGCTGGCATCATGCTAACCCGGTATTATTAGCTTGCTAAGATATCACCATTCACAAATTATGAAAAGAAGAGCGCCTAGCCTTTGCAGTTAGAGGATAGACTTGGTGGAAGTGGGAAATAGCTTTTTATGTTTTGACCTGTGAACTTGAGCGCTGGAGAGAATGTGCACATGGCCTCTGGAGGAAAATAAAATTAAGAAAACTCTTTTGAAATGGAGGAGGCGCTGAAAAGCAATTTCTGAGATACTGTATTGCGATGGTTCGATGTGTGGGGAACCTTTGGCCCTCCAGAGGTAGCTGAACTACAGCTCCCATCAACCCCAGCATGGCCAAAGGCCAGCGATGATGGGAGCTGTAGTTCAGCAACATCTGGCAGACCAATGGTTCCCTACACCTCTTCGAAGGAAAATGGTCAAAAGTTTCCTAGGTGGTATTCCTGAGCACTTAGGCCAACCTGAAGTAGCTCTTTGGATCCCAACCATTACCTCCCTCCTCTTCTGGCTCTGCTGGAAGTCTCTGGTGCTCCTCCCAATGGTTCCCATGTTCCTCTTTCAGGTCCCAGCGCTTACATGATGCCTGAGGTCCTTGGACCGCACACAGTGGCCACCTCCGCCGGCCCTTCTTACTCCATGACAGGGAGGAGTAAGCTTGGGCGTTTTGATGAAGACTTGCATAAGGTAGACTGCTGGTTCATTTCATGCCTTGTTTCTCTGTTGGTTACCAATAGTCAAAGTTGTGCCTGCTCCGGTCCATTTTTCTGAGATTTGTTTTAATCTTGATTTAATGCATACTGCTGGTTGCTAGTGCCAAAGAGCCAATTTATGCTCTTTCATGGGGGTCTGAATGCTAAAATTATTCATTCAGGAGCAGATAGAAATCTGGCTGTGATGCACTGTTCGCTCTTGCCATGGTCATTTTACCAAACTTTTTGCAACGCCTTTAATCTTGTTTTACCCCTACTTTTTAGCTCCAGTTGTGCAACATCTTTTACTCTAATTTTCACGTGTCCTTAAAAATAAAAATAAAAAAGCAACTCAATGACAGGTCCTATTTTCATATTTGCTTTTTTATTTTACAACTGCACTGATAAATCATTGGGGAGCGGAAGATAATTAGTGAGAGAAGTAAAGTGTTGCCACGGTAGAAACTATATTCAATGTATTTTGGTGTAACACAGGGAGCTGCTCAATTTTCCTGGGAAATTAGGAGATATGGATTGTATTATTACTTCATCTATCGGAATCCTGTTCCTTCTCTTACAGACCCCTGGTCCTGCTGCATATCATAAGCCCGATACAGATATCTACAAAAAGAGAGCGCCCAAGTATTCTATGGGCAGTCGAAGCAAGGGTCTAAGAGCTGGGAAAACACCTGGGCCTGCAGACTATAGTGTAGGAAAGGTGAGAAGCAGCTTCCTTTCATTCTTAATTGTTTTCAGCAATTATTACTCCCATGTACGGATATTCTCCTTTCCTGGCAACAGAGCCTGAAATTGTGGGATGTGAGGAGAGGGAAATGTTTGTCCTAATATTACAGAAACAGAAGTTAGAAGCTGGTCATAGGTAGCTTAGCAACCCTGTTCATTTTTGTTAGACGTAATTACCAAACCATCAACTTGTTCTGGCCCATGCAAATAATTACTAGTGATATTCTTTATCTAGATTGGTCCATTTGTCGCACGGGTCTGATTGGGACATCACATTTCTCCTTCAAGAAACCATGGTTTGTTGGCTCAGGAGCAAGCAATGAGTTGGAGCAGTCCCTCCTCTCCTTATGCAGCTGGCTGTCAGAGAAACTTTCTGTATTGTTGAATGACAGTTTGCCATGATGTCTAAAGTATAGCTTTAAAGCTCTCTACAAGCCAGGATTGTAAACCAAGAACAACCAGTGGTTTGCAATCCTGGTTTACATGGTGTGCTTAGACCAATTTCCAGGCTTGGATGTAATGCAAACTATAGTTTAACAAACCAGTCTCTTCTGCTGCCAAACACATGGTTTGACAGGTTGGGAACATAGTGAGACTACTCAGTGGCGGAGGAAGCTTCTCTGGCACCCGGGGCGGGACACCGAGGGGCAGGGCGAATCGCCCAGTGACGGATGCGCGACATCTGTACGGACTGCGCATGTGCGGCGACCATACAGGATGCCGCACATGCGCAGTCCGTACGGGCTGCCGCTCTCACGCAGCGGCAGCCCTACAGAATGCGCACGCATGGCAGCCCATACGGTCGCCGTGTGAGAGGCAGCCCATACGGACACCTGTATGGACGACACGAGAGCGTGGCAGCCCATACGGATGCTGCGCGAGCAGCGCCCTTACTGTGTGCGCCCTCGGCTGCTCTACAGCTGGGGGGAGGCAGGGGCCATCTTGTCAAACCCGCCCCCCCCCGGGTGGAACCCGGGGTGATCTGCCCCCTCCGCCCCCCACTTTGTACGCCCCTGAGACTACTACAGGTGTGCGCAAAGCAGTTTGGGGGTTTTGTGAACTGGTGAACATGAAAATCGCATGAAATTTTGTTTGCAAGTGTGTGCTGCTGGATCTTGAAACTGTACACACTCCATTTCCAGAATCAACCATGGTGCTACTTAATTGCATATGAAGTTACTCAGACCAGAAGAAACAAGATGTTGAAATTACTGTTTATCTCCAAGGGTCCACAATGCCCAGGATATTCATCTAGCTCCTCCAGCAGTATTTCATGAAACACTGCCCCAGTTGTGCTCTGCAATTATTAATTATCTGTACTTAATAGTTCCACTTAACATTCCATTTAAAATGCTTCTTACTCAGTAAACCAGCAGGAAGCAGCCTGTTCTGTTAAGCAGAACACAGAGATCAAAGAACAAAATGAAGAATCTGTTAGCAGAAGCCTAGCCTGTTTCACCTAATATATTTTACACTCCTTCTGCTTCTAGGTATCATTGCTCAAATCTTGTGCTCCAGTTGTCACTTTTGGAATCAGACACTCCGACTACACAACACCTCTGATTGTGGACGTCTGCTGAATTCATCCCTTGTACAGAAAATGATTTTTCTACTGATATTTCTATATCATGTTCCTCCACATTTTAACAGTTAACCACCAGCTGTTTAACTGCATTTTTTTTACAAATACCAGAGCTAAAGGACCATTTAAAATATTCAGAAACTGATTACCATTCAAGACTGAAGTTCTGTCCTCTGATGAAGGGATATGCCATAAGCCCCTCTTGTGAGGAAGACAAAGCGCAGCTCACACTTGCCCTACTCTTTGAGCCCAAGGAATACATATCTAAATGCACGTCGGCATTCTGACAGCTAGTATACAATTAACGGTGTCATTCTTCATAAAGTAGGATCCAATATATATTAAATATATATATGTATTTGTGTAAAAAAGCTACTTGTGTTCCTGAGCCAGAATTATTTCATGGAACTTGTTTGTTGCAATAACTCACATAAAAAGTATTTTGTATATTCCATATCTTCAGCTGAGAAATGTGTTTTGAAATAAATAAATAAATAAATCAGGAATAAAATGTTTATTTCATGTCCTAGCTATAAAATAAAACATCAGTTCTTTTGTAGAGGGTTCACTACTCGAAAACTGTAGGAATATTCTGAACTTGAAAAGTAGAATGTTAAGCTTTTTCATAGAGAACTAGCAGTAATAGTGATAACAATACTGCCTTGCAGCTCAGTCAGGATTCTCACCCATTAATACTGGTACAGCAGCTGAAATAATTGACGCTGTGAATGGTTGCATCCCCTCCTGCACAAAGGTGTAGAGGATCTCGCCAGTTCCCCCTCCTTATCATCCTTTGTGCATTATATTTATTGTGTTCATCCTCAGAGCAACTCTGTGAGGAAAGCCATTTCACAGATGAGTATATGAGGCTGCACCTGTTTCCCCCCCCAGGCTACACAATAAGCTCATAGCACAGATGAAACTTGTTCCAAGCCCTACTCTGTCCACTTGACCACAATTTAGACAGTAACTTTATTACGGCATAAGCTTTCATGGTCTACAGTCCATAAAATCTGTTAGTCTTTAAAGGTGCTACAAGATTGTTTTTGCTGCAAAAAGCAAATAAACTCACTCTCTTTCTCACCGTGCTGTAGCAACGGAATGTCAGTTGAGATATCTTTCAAAATAAAAGCATAAACTTCTTTATTTAGATTTATCTTTCAAAAGCCTCCTAGCACATGATGTGGAATATCTGCGATCAGATCTCCCAATATCTTTTTAGAGTTTTAAAAGGAGAGGGGTATTTAACCCTTTCCCTTGACACTGAAACAGTTAGCCCTGCTTTGAGACAGCAAGGCTATCGGCTGTGGGAGGAAGCTTTTGAGCAGTATTTTTGCCCTGATCTAGTTGCACTGGCTCCTGCCAAAAACTTTTAAGTCTAGAACAGGAATGGCATGCTATGAAGTTTGTCTGGCTTGGAAGCCAACTGAGAAGTGTGCTTTTAATTTTCTGGCATTAAAAAATGATAAATAAATCATAGTGACTTTAAAGAATTCGGCATCTTTTGACAGCATCCCTGAGTTGAAGGTTGCTTAGCTTTTCAGTGACCTCATTTTTAGGTGTACTGTACACCTAGAGATATGAGGTGAATATGACAAACATTATTGCAACCACATGTATCAGGATAGGTACACTAGTCTAAGAGCTACGATTCACTGCGTGTCTCTCTGGAGTATGCATTTAGGGGTTCACAAACTGGGGCTTGCCGCCTTGTCCCTCATTCAGAGGTTTTAGAAGACAGGCTCCCGGAAGATTTTTTGACTTGCCCTCAAAAACATGATACCGATCTAGTTAGCTCACTTGTTCTAAAGAAGCAACTATCTAAAGAAGCAACTATAACATTGGGCAGCAGCCTTTATTGTCTTACATGCAGGAGCAAATATTTGCTTTTCCTAAGAACAGCCAAAGGTTACTAAGAAAGACTTTAGAAACTTTTTTGGCGGGCGGGGTGTGTGTAACATCCCGTGGCACAGCTGTGCTTTAACAGGTGAGGGCTGAAGGCTCAGGAACAGCTTGTGGGATTGTTGCTGCTACTGTATCTCCCTAGCACTGGCTGAGCTAACTGCCTCACTTTGCCTAATACTAGGTCAGGACCTGTATATACCAGAATTTATACTAGGGACAGGGATACAGAAAAAAAAATACTGGCAAGTGTTTAAAACCTGTTTTAATTTTATTTTTAAGTTAAAAACCAGTGTGAAGGTACTATTGCTATGATGAGATGTTATAGAATAAATGAGAAACAAAAAAAGCAAGATTCACCCAAATCAAGTCAGGCTTTGAATGACAAAGATCAGCAATGTATCAACTAGACCATGATACACAGCAGAACTGTACCAGAATCTTTCTTCTTTATATTATTTCAATTGTGACATAGTAAATTATGGAAAGTTATATCTGGGAAATTGGAACATCAGACCACCAGCTGAGAGATGAAAAACCTAGGCTGCAATCCTATATGCCTTTACCCATGTTTTGAGTATACATGCATAGGACACACACACACACACACACACACACACACACACACTCTTTCATATATATATATATATATATCACACACAAACTTAACTCCAGTTTTGCTGTTAATACCTTTCTGGCACTCCAGGTGCCAGAACCTAGTAACAAACATTAAAACTGAGGAGTATTGCAAAATGCTACTTGATTCCAGAGAGAAGTGGATAATTATTCAGCAGCCAGCTAAAGAAGACTTAACCAAGAATCAATGAATCAATAAAATTCTTTAACAGAAAGGATGATTTGGACAAACTTTTTAAAGCGAATATACTTTAACTTGCTATAAGGTAAGGTTTGTATAACAAGAAACAAATATAAATAATTTGGTCAGGGGACAGACTAGAACAAGAAGGAAAAAAATGAGATAAAATCATTTGTGCAAGTTCTCACTCTTCCTTCGTTTAGGAATATTCTCTGTTTTACTAAGCAAGTCCTTGAGAGTAATAGGCAAAAAGGATTGTTTGACTACTTATAAATGCTGATGTTAACAGAAGTGGAAATAAATTCAAAGTTATTTTTCTAGGAAGAAGTTGTCCATAACACAATTAGTTCTCAAGAGATGCATCACAGTCCTCCAGGTAGTATTTTTTCATTTAAATTGGGCACTTGAACATCTCTGACATGGGTGTCAGGATTTTCCTGCTGACCACAAAATTATAAGAGGTGGCATCACCAGCATGCTTTCCCACCCAGACAGCAGAGAGAATAAGGTATTATATAGAGACTTGGTTTCAACAAGGATGTGAATTGTGCTGCATTTAAATTTTCAAAGGAACAGTGACAGAATAAATTATATTCTTTTTAAGAGAGAGCGTCAAAACAATCCAGAGACGATACTGAAATCCACAGAGGTGCCTCTGGATGACTGTCAACATTTGAATAATATTTTCAGGATCTGAAGATCTTCCAAAACCATTTTCTTCATCAGTTTTCCCCCCTCTTCAACAACTATCCAATACAAAATCTTGACAATTACTCAAGTCCGTGCTCTTGTAACCAAATAATAGAGGATGAAGAAGACTACAATCAGTCCAGCAGAGACGTAGCAAAGAAGTTTACGATTGTCTCTTCCCGACCGGGTCATAGTGGAGAAACGCTTCACACTCCCCGTCAGAAGGCCTGTCACACTCATGAAATCAGAATCCTAATGCCAAGAGTAGAAATAATAAGGTATTTAGAAGACATTGCTTACTTAAAGAAGCAACATGATTATATATACATATGGCATATTTCAGTGAGAGAAATATATTTAACTCAGTTAATTGAATTCCAATTTAATACTGTTAATATTTAAAAAGAAAACCCAAACAAATGCAGACACATGTGCTCAGATCCCACACCAGCAAAATACACTAGTGAAATTCAAGATTTGACCTTGTCAATAACAATTTTAAATGACTTTACTGCGTGCATATTTTGATCTCATTTATCCTTGCGATAACCCAGTGAGAAAATAAGACTTCTATGTGATCATTATAACATGTGGTAGTCTGTGCAAGGTCCACACAAGGTTTGCACACTTGTTCATTCAGGTACTTCTTGCATAAGAAATTCAGAATATTTGACACGAACCTTACTGCATAAAATAGTTTCACAGCATATTTGGCATTAGATACCAGATCACTGAACACCAATTTCTCAGGGAATCACTACCAACAGAAGACCAACAAGTTTGGTCCCTCTTGGAAAGGAAAAAAAGATATGTGTGCATGAGCATGTTCCAGAAGTAGAATGGCATGCTAAAACACATTAACTCTCTGGAACAGAGCTACTTACACCAATAGACTTGTGAGTGACTTCTTCTCTGTACAGAAATATGTTCCAGTACAAACTAATTGTCCTGTTTGCTCATGCTGAGCTTCATCAGTAATTCTTAAAGAGTGCAAACAGTTGCTTACCATGCCATCCAAGTAGTGATTTTGATCCTCAGCATCTTTGTCAATGTCCAGTGCAAGCTATTGAAAACACAGAATGAAGCAGTTATTGCAGTAAAACTGCAAACAAGAATATCATTTGCTTCTGAGAAATTCTCTGTATATTACTAAATACAAGGGGGGTGGGGACAAAAACAAAAACCCTCAAAGACCAAAGTCTTCTGGAGAGCAAGACAGCAATCAAAGAGCAAGGGCTCATCCAGACTTCCTTTTTGCCCAAATGCCACAAATTTCCATTTGTTCTGATTCAGCGTGAAAGAGCAAGTTTTCGATGGGAAAGCACCAGGGCAAGAGAAAGAAAACATGTTCAGTGATGACATTTCAAAGCACAGCCCTGTGCCTAGAAAACACAGGGCAAAAGGTAAGTGTGGATGAGCCCCAAGTAAAGTAAGTAATCTACAAACCGATTTTAGCCGGGTGACTTTGGAGGCTAGGTTTTCGGTCATACGCTTATTTTCCACATCTAACATATCATCCACAGCATTGGCATTCTGACCTGAAATGAAGATAAAATAATTATGCCACTTAGTGCAGCTAAAACATAACAGCTGTTAAAACAAAAGGTAATACTGCGGGAGGCAGCGGAAGACAGGAGGGCCTGGCGTGCTCTGGTTCATGGGGTCACGAAGAGTCGGACACGACTAAACGACTAAACAACAACAACAAAATATGGTAAAATGTGTGGTTATTTTGAAGACCTTCCCCCAGCTCACTCCAAAGCCTATTTTCACCATCACAGCAGGCTCCCCACTTGCTAGTGTGGGATGTTACCCCACACTGCAGACACACACACAAATGCCCTGCGAGCGGGGAAGAGTCCATTCCTCCACCACAACAGAAAGCCACACTGGCAAAGCATGGGCAAAACAGCTGCCACGTCCTTGCCTGTCAGTCAACTACAGAATACACAGGAGCCCGGAGCAGGGGGGAAGGTGGCAACTGTGACCTGGGGAGGATCAGAATGCCTCCTTTGTTCCCCGTCCCCCACCCCCAGCACAGGCCACGGAGGTCCTGAGGCAGCGCGACGAGCCGGAGCAACGGCGCCCCAAGCCCCGTTCTCCTGAGGGAAGGCAGCGCCGCCGCCGCCGCCACCCGCTCCCGCTCAGGCGCCCCCTCGCCATCCTCTTCCGCGCTCTCACCTCGCCCCCAGTCCGCCATGGCCGCTTCCTGCCTTCGTGTCCCGCTCCGCCCACAGAGAGCAGGAGGAGGAGCGGCGGCGGCGGCGGCGGCGGGGAAGGCTCGGCTAGCCGAGGAAACTCCCCCCTCGGCCGCAGCGTCCCCTCCTGTCAGCCCTCCCCTCGGCTGGAGAGGGAGGCGGCCTCAGGCTTCTCTTGTGGAGGCCTCGTCGCCCTTGTTATTCGGGAACGACTTGGATGGTCCACGGCCTCGGGCAGGATTGCCATGTAAGGGGCGCGCTCTGGCTTCTAGTGGGTTGCGACAAAGGCTCTTTGGCTGAATTCCTGTCGCACAGGTGTTAAAAGGGCAAGAAGTCGTTTAGAGGAAAAGGTGGCACTCCTTCCTCGACCTTTTTTCTTGAACAGTGCAAGTCTATAAGATTATTTATTCTTCCAAGTGAGCCTTGGAGCGTTTGGCAAACCAAATGCTAAAGTGTGACATTTTTATGCCACCACGCTCATACCTTCCAGGTTTTGTGCAGTTCAAAAGCATGTCAAAGTGCAAGTAGATAAATAGGTACCGCTCCGGCGGGAAGGTAAACGGCATTTCTGTGTGCTGCTTTGGTTCGCCAGAAGCGGCTTAGTCATGCTGGCCACATGACCCGGAAGCTGTATGCCGGCTCCCTTGGCCAATAAAGTGAGATGAGCGCCGCAACCCCAGAGAAATTCACGACTGGACCTAATGGTCAGGGGTCCCTTTACCTAATAGCTTACAGAAACTTTTTTGTGTATGTAAACAATTTATGAGTATGTTAGTTCTTCCAGTTCATCTAATTTCTTCATGTGTTTTTCTTCAGGTTAAATATACCGGACACTAATTTTCTTGTACTGGATACAATAAATTGCCAAGAACTGGTATATAACTCCAAAAGAATAATTGGTAATTAAGGCTGGCATCCTGCATGCAAGTTGCTTAAGTTCCTTTGAAGGGAATGGGATTCTGGCTGAAAGCCCAAATACATTTATAAGGGGCAAGTCCAGTCTTGTCCAAAAGCACTTACCAACACACCAGGAGCAAGGATGATTTTCATATTGAGGGGCCAGATAACTTTGTGTTGTGATGGCTTACAGTGTAATCGCATGCAGAGTTGGTGCACCTATGGTAATTATTCATAACACAGCAGCAAGATGTTTACTTGCTCTGCTTGCATGTGCTCAAAGACATTTATTTGATAAAATTAGCAGTTTCTTTACTAGAAAGACAGCCTGCAACTATTTTAAATAAATGTTTAGGTAAAGATAACGGTGAAGGACCCCTGGACAGTTAAGTCCAGTTGAATTCAACTATGGGGTGTGATGCTCATCTCTCCTTTCAGGCTGAAGGATCCGGCGTTTGTCTGCAGACGGCTTTCCCAGGTCAAGTGGCAAGCATGACTAAACCGCTTCTGGCGCACAGAAGACCATGATGAGTGCCAGAGTGTATCTACTCGTGCTGGTGTGCTTTCAAACTGCTAGGTTGGCAGGAGCTGGGACAAAGGGGGGTTACTCAGAGGTAAATCCCTTGTGGAACTGAAGTTAGTGAACTCATTCAAGAAAGTAGTCTAAAATGACATGTTAACTAACCGAAACACATACCGTAGATAGGAACAGATAATATGGATTACTTTTCCCTTAGTGTAATAATCATAGAGAGAGGCATAGGCGCAAACTCCTAGAGGGCAAGGGGTATTCGGCCACCCCAATAAAATATTTGAGGGGGCCAGCCCTCAAATGGTGTGCATGCACTGCATCATGTGATTGATTACCTCCACCCCCCACAATATTTTATACAAGTTGCCCCCCTGGAGCGAGGGTAGTTAAATATTGGTACAATTGACTTTTTATGCTTATACATAGAAGAGTGATACATTTAAGTGTTTGTCTAGAATCTAGATCAATATTTATGTAGAACAATGATGTAGCAGTTATTCCTACCTCATTAATCTATGTCATTATTTATTAAATTTCTACCCCAGCCTTCATCTCAAAGGACTCCAGGGTGACAAACGCCAAAATCTTAAAACAATAATAGTAAGAGGATACAAGCTTCTGTAAGTACCAGTACAGAAGATTAAAGTATTATCTATCTAGTTAGTGAAGAATCAAAATAGGACTCTGAAATAACAAGCTGGGTTAAGGGTTTCCATAAGTCTGTTATCTCCAAGGGTAAAACAAAATCCAGGTGATTTCTTTTTTACCCTTTGGATATCCAATCTGTGGATGCTGGTTTGCCATTTCTGACTGCTGCCTGGGGAGCAAAGCCAAGAGTTGACTGTAGCCAATCATTTGCTGTGTTCCATGATTTCTCACTTCCCGTATGGTTTTGCATTCACCATTTCCCATCAGCCTGAAGACAGTTACTGAAAGGGGTGGAATTCCCAAGAGACCTCCTGTTCTTTCTCTTCTACAGTCTCTGGATGAGCAGCCCAGCATTGTGGTTCCCCACTGCGCCCTCTGTTTTCTGCTAGCAGGATTTCCAGCAGAATGACAACAAAGCCGCTGCCTGCTCTTGAAAACTGCATTTGGTAGGGTTGGGGGAAGGAGGGAGAGTTGCTGTTTTCAGGAAATGAAGCAGGAAGTCTGATCAAAAACTGCACACACAAAAGGCAGCTTAACTAAAAAGAAGGTAATATTTTCCCCTCACCCTCTGATTAGTTTGGTTTTTAAATTTCTGAATTCAGGTTAGTAGGACTAGCTAGGCATGAATTTATAGTGAAAATGATTTTTTTGCTCTTTTTAAAAAAAGGAAAAAATGGATATATAAACAATATTATTTTAAACCATTTTGGAGTCTGTCCTGTAGCTTGCATGTTGGATGACAGGCTGGGATATAGGTTAATGGGATATTTTACATTTCCCCCAGCTTGTGAATGTTTTCCAGAGGGATGTGGATGGCAGTAGGCTTTGATGGAGTTTAAAAGATTAACATAATCTATGTATATATGGCTTGCCTAAACAGAAACAGGTCTGACTTCAGCTTTACATTTTCATTCATATACAAAGGTTTGCATATTCTGTTTGATGCTGATCTTTTTTTCCAGTGTGTGCACTGGAAATGGGTGAAAAATAAACTGATATGGCTGTTTCTAAATTACAAAATCCTTGCCTGTGTGTGGACCTGTAGTGGAAGTGCTAACTACAATCATTGTAGCAAGTACTGCCAGATGTTTCCTATTTCAAGGTATATACCTTATTAAAAATGCTTTGCTTTTGTTTCAGATTATCACAAGTCTATATAAGATAAAGGAAGTGATCTGTTTCGCAAGCTGTTACAAGCTAACTCATACAATCAGTTGAGCTATTGGCCTCATTCTTTGATAAACTTTCACTTGTTGACAATGCTTGATGTCAAAAAACTGTTTTGCAATTAAGAGCTAATTTATGCCATGATTCTATATTTTCCTTTTTAGTTCCCTTAGAAAATGGGTTACACCTTATGGCAAAAGATGGTCTGAATTATTTGTTGTAAACACAAAACTCATGTTTCCACTCTATTGCAAACCTTCCTAATAGGAGTTGAATAACAGTATGCCAAATCACAATTTGTACTTGAGACAAATGGCCCCAGTTTGGGACAAATGGCCCCAGACAAATCTACCAGGGTGCTTGGAGAAATCAGGGGACAATTTTATTGTTAAAGAACTGGCATAAAACTTTTTGTACAGTGTTTAAAAGAGAATACAGGAAAACATGCAAGCCCACATTCCCCACAAGATTTCAGGGATTTAGCAATAGAGACCTTGATCCAGCTCCAGTTGCGAGGAACTAGTTGCGTGATTGGCCCTGGGTAGGGACGTGCATTAACTATGTGTACAGAAGGCTGTTTATTTTCATGCAGTTTGTTTCTAATACTCTGGTTATGTTTACATCTCAGTCTCCACACATACATACCCCACTGTTCCAATGCCTGTAGCTCTGAGAGCTGATTAAATTTTGTATAAAAGACAGCTGAATTCTTATGAGATGAAGCATTTATGGATCCAAGAATGGTGGTGCTGTGCCAGAACTGACAATGCCTGTCTGTATCTGGTCATAAATATATAGCATCGTATCTCTTAGTTCTTTATTTGGATGTTGTTCTGTGCCATACTCTTTGCTGGTTTGCAAAGAATTCATAGCAAGTATTTAATTATGTCAATGTAAGCTGTATCTCACAGCAATTTCACACTTTGTGGCAGCTGGGTAGTGTTTTCCTCAGTACACATGTAAAGTGTGAAGGTCAGGCACCTCTAAAAATGAGACGTGACTCTTAGATAGTACAACTCATGGCATTCTGGGAATGTTATCAGGCTTCTGTAATTCTGGCTTGCACATAATTTGCAACTTGCAGGAAGAGACATATATCATCATGATTAGCATTTTAGTTATGAAGGCCAGGATGGATTCTATAATGTAAATGGAATGCACTTGATTATAAGGCTGAGCACTCTCAAGATGGGACAGGCATGGACTTCTTGTTGCCTCTCCCAGCTTGTGTGCATGGCCTGCTGATCTCCCTCACCCTGTCACTGTGTGCTGACATCATGTGCTGTGATTAGAAAGACTACTGGAGGGAAACAAACATGGCCACACATCCTTTAAACAGTTGCCATGTTTGTTACTCTGTGGTAATTGAATGCAGATGATACATTTAACCAGGTTCATGTATTTGGATCTAATGAGAGTCAATTTAAAAGGTACTCAGATCTGTGGAAACCTGACAAATGATTTTGCCACCTTAACCTAGATGGGTGTGTGTGTGTGTTTGCCTATATTGTGCTATGTACATTTTTTAAATATATCACTGGGATGGTTCTAGGTTTTTCTGTGCTGTAACAGAAACCAGGACAGTTGGAGGAGGGAGGCTATTTCAGGGAGCTGCAGCATCCCTTCTGAGGTAATCCTCAGACTGGGGGAGGGGGAGGCTTTTGTAGGTGCTTTGCTGGGAGGGCATTTTTTAAAAGCTGCAAAGCTCAGTGAGGGAAGAGGATTAGTGTGAGAGAGCGAGTGAGCTGCTGGCTGGTTTTACTAGGATCATCCATCTGCTCTGTGCTTTGGGCATATTGAAGTGGGCAGTCTCACTTTGCTTTCCTCATCTCCTCCTCAGCTGTGTGATTAGGGCCCTGCGCATCTGTAATTATCCAGCCAGACTGCAAAGCCGCTTGCCACACTTTACAGCACTCCAGGCCACCTCCACACCGTGGAGCAATGGCGCTCCGGACTGTGCTAGAGACTGTCGAAAGTGGGGAGCAAGATACTATTCTCAAGGTGCTGCAGATCTACAACCAGGAGGTGAGTATTCATTGGAAATTGTTTGGCTGATGTCAGTCGGAAGGATCAGCTGGAGAATCTGTGCTGGTGCTTTGGTGCCGTTCCCCATAAGCTGCCTTCAGTTTTATCTGCCTGCATTGCTTCAACAAAATGTTGTTAACCTCTGCAAGCAAGTATCTTTTTTGCCTTTGCAAAAAGTAGGTCTTTTGCATATTGATTGTTTGTGACTGCACTCTCCCTTTTTTCCTGTATGTAATGGGGGGCTTGTGCTGCTTTGGCCAGAGTCAGACGTGTTGGAAAAATCGATGTTAGCAGTGAAGGACGGATTTTGGAGAGCAGAAGGGAAAGGAGGAGCTTTATGTGGCAAGCAGATGTGTGGTATTAACAAACAGGCAGCCCCAGGAGGAGCTGTATGTGGAATAGAACTACTGTGCGGTGTGCAATTTTAGATAATTAAAAAATCTCTTAATGAAGGGATTGCCATAGATATGGCATTTGAAAACTGATGGGGAAGAGAGGAAAAACAATGAACATGGTGAGAACAAGCAGTCTAAGGCACTAACCATTAGATTTGTTTCAAAATGACACAAGAACCAGATACTTCAATGATAATCATATCTGAGAACTTGGAATCAAGCTCCTGTGAATGTGTCATTAATTTACAGGCAGATGCATCAGGAATACTTTTGGTTTACATATCTATGTGACTCCCCTTGTGGTAGACCTTCAAACTAGGTGGGAAATAAGCAAAGCTGCACATTTTATATGTAGCATAAATTGTATTTCCTCAGAGGAAAAATAAATGAGTTGGCAAACTGCATGTATTTATTTGCATATGAAATCGTCTTACACTGTGTCAGATCATTGGTCTTTAATCCAGCATTTGTTTACTTCAGCTCACAACGAGTCCTCGACCAGAGGTCTTTCCAAGTCCTGACCTGAGATGCTTTTTAATTAGAGATGCTGGGAAATGAACCTGGGAACTTTTGCATTAAGAGCTTGTGCTCCACTGCTGAGCCTTCCCCTTGTTTTGCTGTGGCAAAGATTCCAGTTGTAGCAATGACAACATGAATAAAACAGAGACTGGTAGATAAAATATCAGCTTCATTAGCAGAGAAAAAGGTTTAAACCTTTAGAACTCCGTTCAGGATATATGTGTATGTACTGTATGGATGCATTTGTAGGCGATTTTGGATAGAGAAAATCAATATTCTACCTGGAAGCTTAGAGAACAAGAGCTTTGTAAACAGAAAGGCCACCTTTTGGTGTTTCTCCATCAGTGTTTGGAAGAGCGACTGCCATTCTCTGAGCACCCAGAAATGCTTCACTGTTGTCTCTCAGTATGGAAATAGTTTAATGCTGAGATATTTTAAGAATTCATGAGAGGGAACTCCATAAGAGGAAGCACAGCAGATAAAGCAAAAGTCATGCTTACCAAAAACTTCTTAGTTTTTACCAAAAAAAAATCTTAGGCATGGTGACAGAAGAATATAAAAGCTATACACCTAACAGTGACATTTGTGCTCCACTTCTCAGCTGTCATTGCCAAGCAGCTACCAGTGAATCGAGTGCAGCTAGTAGGCTTATTCAACAACTGAGGGAACAATTATGTGAATTTCATTTTTCTTTTTCTTAATGATGTTTGCATATAAATCAGACAGTATATGAAGCAGCAGCAAAGGCTATAGAACTTTGTTTCTTCGACATGAGTGATCTCTGTTTGATGTTGAGAAGGAATACTTGGGAGAATATGAACCCAGAACCAAGATATTGCTAGGAGTTTTTGAACGGTAGTGTGGGAAACCCATGAGATCCTTGGAAACTTATTAGGAATCCTGCAATCAGAAGATCAAGAATGGTGGGCAAGCTTTCCTGAAGAATGGCTTGCCAACCATTGCTGATCTTCCATTGCAATGTAAAACTGAAGGGATGCATTAGTGTGTTCTAGAGTGTGTTTTTAATTCCCACAGGGCAATGATGAGATCCAGTAGGCTGTCTTAGAGCACTGCATGAATGGACTGCCCATCTTAGGACATGCATCATAATATTCTACATTGTAGGGGTTTCCCTTCAGCAAAATTAACATGGGTTTCCCTGAAAGTAGACAATTTGAAAACTACAGTCATAATCAACATGGCTACTCAGGTGGTAATAGGCCATTCTTCCTGTATCTCTCCCTCCTCCTTACCCCAGCAAAACAAGATGGTACAAAATATGGTTTAGTTCTTTGTCTGCAATAGCAAACAGTGTATGATTCAATGGGCAGGGCTGTCTTTCAGAGAAGCTTGCCCATCATTACCAATACAGAGGTACCTAAGGTTACAAACACCTCGGGTTACAAACACTTTGGGTTACAGACTCTACTAACCCGGAAGTAGTACAGTAGTACCTCGGGTTAAGAACTTTGCCCCAGGATGAGAACAGAAATCGCACGCCGGTGGCAGTGGGGCTGCAGGAGGCCCCATTAGCTAAAGTGGTACCTCAGGTTAAGAACAGTTTCAGGTTAAGAACGGACCTCTGGAATGAACCTCCAGAACGAATTAAGTTCATAACCAGAGGTACCACTGTATTCTCATTGATAATGTTGTTCTTCATCCTCCCCTCCCCGCCCCCATATCTTCCCACGTGGAATGTGAGCCACTCTGAGGACTCCAGTCCAAAAGTGAAATACATATCTAATAAATTAAAACTATTGTAGATCCCTTGATAGGTTTTCAAGGAACCTCAGAGTACCATAGAACAGAGTTTCAGAAACCATTGCTGCTGCTAATAAAACATATTGCAAGATCTGAAGCATAAGGCCTCCTGATCATTAAAGAAATCCTCTTCATACAGCCAAAATGTGTTGTTAAATCATTCCTAAATTTGGAATCTTAGTATTCCATTTCATTTCTATATGATAGGATTGAGAGAGGTGAACATGATTTTGGAAAGTGCATAGATGAGTGTGAACAAGACCTGTCAACAGTGATTTGCCTGTGTCTGTTTGAGAATCATCTTCATATATAGCAAAAGTGAATTTGCTAAAAAAAATTACATTGTGATTATGAAATGTTTACATAGTAGTGTAAAATTAAAAAAGAATCTAGAAGACTTTAAAAAGCAAATGGACTCGAATTTTGGGTCTTTATTTACAATTTCCCATGTGTTCTTCCTTCAGGAAAGCTGGCTGGGCTGTGTGAACTGTCTTGTACTGAGGATTGCCCTTGAATGTAGTAATCTTTTGAGTGGTAGTTGACAATTCAGGTTAGAGCCCTGTGTGCTCCCCTAACACTTCATTGTGGAAAAAATGTCACTATCTACCCTCACTTAAAATGATTGTAAGGTTATCTCAGGACAGTTAATTTCAGTAGAACAAGATGTGGAGAGTGTAGGACTGCATTAAAGATTTTAGATTCATACAGTGTAAATGGAAGAAAAAAACCATAGTGGTATGAGATGAAGCTGTCTACCTGCCTTACCATAACAATTAATCTTTTGCTGATGTTTGGATGTCTCGGTATCCTGGTACCTCAAGACTGAATAGGTATGCTTTGAAATGACCCAATGAATTTAATTCAAAGTTTCCAACTTTTTAAGTATGTATAGCATACTTTAAAAATGGACTCTAGATATTTTCAGTGCCCAGTGTCTCTAATTCTGTGTAGGATTTAATGTGACCCTTACTGGTCACGCCTAACATGCTAGGTTCTGTACATTCTAGTTTATTAAGCTCCTTATAATGAAACAAATCATGTAACATACTTTTGAACATTATGATCAGTAGTGGCTAGCTAGGGATTTGCATAAGTGACATATATACACATTCCAAAATCTTGGACCATAACTAGGCTTGTTTGTGGGAGCATCCCTTGAGCAGAGTTCCTCTTTTGCTGGCAGGAGCATCTCATGAATGGGCAATGGAACTTTCCTCACTTTCCCCCTGCAGTCCCTTATGCCTTACAAAATCTGCTCTAGAAGGTTGGAAGACTCTCCAGAGAAGCATGAGAGAGAGTGCAGGGGGTTGCAGCAGGAAGGGAGAATTAGAGAAAATTGCCTCTTCCGTCTTCCATGTTGCAGACTCATAAGAATTTTTACTCAAATAGAAATTGGCTACAATAATATATTGAAACTTCTTGTTCCAAAGTCAAGAGAAACTAATTAGATTGTCATTTTCTCGTGAAGACATCAGAATGGAGAACCGGTTTTTTTGTGTTGTTCAAATGAGCACATCCTCAATGGCTTCAAAGGGCTTTCCAGATGCAAGTACTTTAAGGACTGCACCCCAAAGTTGCTTTGTTTTGCGTCTTATATTACTTCAGAATTGCATCCTATGTATCTTTTGATGTTTTCTTCAGCATAGCCTTATATGAAACAGTAGAATTGTTCAGAGCTGCACAGTTTCCTTATACAGTGGTACCTCGGGTTAAGAACTTAATTCATTCTGGAGGTCCGTTCTTAACCTGAAACTGTTCTTAACCTGAAGCACCACTTTAGCTAATGAGGCCTCCCGCTGCCGCCACACCACTGAAGCACGATTTCTGTTCTCATCCAGAAGCAAAGTTCTTAACCCGAGGTACTATTTCTGGGTTAGCGGAGTCTGTAACCTGAAGCGTCTGTAACCTGAGGTACCACTGTATCATAGCTTTCATATGCTCCTCAGTATGAATTTACCAGTTTAAGCATGTTTCTTGCTTAACTTCTCACTGCTTTATAGTGTTCACTGGAGTTGCATGCTGTAGGACTAGGTGTTCAAAAGAAATCAGTTGATTATCACTTGCTTTAAAATTCCTCTCGCGCTTTTAGAATAAGTTTATTTTCTTAGTACATATCTGTTGTCTCTGTTTCATCTCAGAAATCACAGTGTTTCACCTTTGAAGATGAGGAACAGGAAGAAAGGAGGGTAAGTACTTATTTTCTTATTTTGCTTACTCCATCAGGATCACTGAGGCTGTGAGATGGTGACTTGCCCTTGACATTGAAAGCACTGAATTCCTCCTACATGCATGGAAGCTTTTACTTCTGAACAAAAGTGTCTAGTTCAAAACCATGCTTCATGTATATTATGGTCCTCAAGAAGTATGAAATCATCCTGGTAGCAGCTAGAGGCTGATGGTGCTGATTCATAAAACCACATGCTGGTTAAGAAGCAGAGTACAGTTTGATAGTGAGGCACCTGTTGCATTCAGGTCCCACTTCTTTTGTTAACCCCCCCCCCCCTGCCAGTCTTGGAGCCGTGAGATGAGTAGCAAATAATCTACTTGACTAGTGGTTGTGTGATGTGCTTATACAGAAAGGCCTTTCTATGAGGAGGCACAATCACAATAAATAATGGGAGCTCAGTTCCCTCATGAAGTTTCCTTGATGAGGCAGCAGTGCTAAGCCAATTACATCAAACCATAAGTCCTGTAAAGCTGTAGCATTTGTGATCCTTCTATATCAACATTTCTGTTGATATAGGTCTAAAAGGTCTATTTAAAATACTATAGTTAACTTTTATTTAACTTAAAATAATATGAACAATTACTAATGATAAGTATAACCAATCTTATTAATACTATTATGATAGATAGGTAATTATTTGATTATTAAACATTTATTTAACTATTTTAGATAATAAAAAGTACTGTTGCTGTTTTTAACGGGCAGTTTTATTAACGTGTTTTTTACCTGCTTGCTTTATAGGTGGTAATTTATGTGTATGGGATTGTTTTATGTTGTATTTTTATCTTGTTATTGGGCAACTTGGGGGTCATTATGTGGAAAGGCATGATATAAATTTAATAAATAGGGTCACACATTGGCAAGCACATTTTCAGTAGGTGCACCAGCCAGTATAATTTTATCTGTTCAAGGAAGCTTCCTTGAGTTTTACTGCATAGCCAAATTGCAGAAAGAAAAGGGGAATCATCCAAGATGTAACTGCATACAGTGACTATGCAGATATCTTTATCACATTCACTTTCGGGGCAGAAAGCTACTGTGACTTGTTCTCTTCTCCTACCCCACCCCCCAGCTGTTTTCAATTTCTCTTCTCTGGATTTGAACTCTGACAGAAATAAGCCACCAGTCTTTGAGGAGAACGGTAGTTCTTTGCATAAACAGTCCTGTTCACTAGCATCAGTTTAAACAAGTGTTTGCTGATAATGCTCCAAAAATAGATACCTCTGTACCTTTACTGAATTTGGATTAAATTGTCCCATAGTCTGCTGCAGAAAGGGATGCGGGTGGCGCTGTGGGTTAAACCACAGAACCTAGGGCTTGCCGATCAGAAGGTCGACGATTTGAATCTCCTCAACGGGGTGAACTCCCGTTGCTCAGTCCCTGCTCCTGCCAACCTAGCAGTTCGAAAGCACGAAGTGCAAGTAGATAAATAGGTACCGTTCTGGCAGGAAGGTAAACAGCGTTTCCGTGCGCTGCTCTGGTTCGCCAGAAGTGGCTTAGTCATGCTGGCCACATGACCCGGAAGCTGTACGCTGGTTCCCTCAGCCAGTAAAGCGAGATGAGTGCCACAACCCCCGAGTCGTCCACGACTGGACCTAGTGGTCAGGCGTCCCTTTACCTTACCTGCTGCAGAATAAAAGGATACAAAGAGAAGACGAGAGAGAGAGAGAGAGAGAGAGAGTACCTATGAAACTACAAATGTGCCTATTTTTAAATACTGTATCTGTTTTCACTGAAGCTCCACCATGGCTCTCCTCCACTCACTTTTGCATCATTTTGCTGCTTTATTGTGGCCTGCAGAAAGCAAAGAACTACCTATCACTAAAACCAATGAGGGTGTGTGTATAGAAAGTGGAATCCTCTTAAGGATCAGTTTTAAACCTGCTTTTTTTAACTTGCTCATTAATGACCTAGACTTAGAATTTTGCCGACAATGGCAGAGGTTTTGAGAGGAGTCCCAAAGGCATATCTGCAAATTGCAGGGAACTTGTCATTAAAACTGCAAATGCAGTTGCTGCTGCTGCTGTTTTTATTATTAAATTCTTAACCTGCCCAATATAAGCAAGTGTATATCAGTGCACATTTGGGCAAAAAAAGCCTCATTTATTTTAACTATATTTATTTATTTAAAAATTATAAACTGTTCTACATTCAAATAATAAGTGGTACAGTATATTAACATGTGTCACAGATGTACTAATGGGATCCAAACTGGCAGTGACTGACCAAGATGGATATGGCACGAGGCAGTGGATGGGTTGTGCAGGTTTGAGGTACAACATAGCTCGTTGAACCTGTGCAATCCACTAGCGCAGACATAATTTTCTTTCTTCACATAGACATTTATTGCTTCACTACTAGTTTTCTTCTCCCACCCCCCACCTCTGTAATGCTTCAGAAACTGGCTGCGCTTCTGATCAAGTTTCTGGAGAGGGTGCTGCAGCCATCCTGCCAGGTCACCTGTTTGGAAAGCATACGGATCCTGTCCCGAGACAAAAGCTGCCTTGGCCCTTTCACAACCATGGAAGGCCTGAAGACGCTGGCCAGGCACGCGGGGATTGATTACGCAGAAGAGCAGATTCTGGAGGTTCCAGACCTTGAAGTGATCCTGGAGGCGCTGAAGTGTCTCTGCAACATTGTCTTCAGCAGTCCCCGGGCTCAGGAGCTGACCTCCGAAGCCCGGTTCGTGGTGGGCCTCACAGACCGCATCAAACTCTACAACGAGAGAAACCTCCCGCACGATATAAAGTTCTTTGACTTGCGCCTTCTCTTCTTGCTGACGGCATTGAGGGTGGACATCCGGCAGCAGCTTGCGCAGGAGCTCCGTGGGATCGGTCTGATGACAGATACCTTGGAACTGACCCTGGGAGTCAAGTGGCTAGACCCTCACGAGGTAGCTGCTGAGGGGAACCCTTCTGCTCCTTTACCTCGGCAGGAGGTGGAGCGTGCCATGGAGATCCTGAAAGTGCTCTTCAATATCACATTTGACACCAGCAAGAGGGAGGTAGATGAGGTAAGACACTCAGAGGGAGCTTTTCGTAGCTCAATTTTGTGATGTATTTCTGTTTTTATGTACCTGTTTCTTTCATCCATGATTCCTGTGCTTATAGACACCATTTAAGAAAGGAAGGGGGCAAGTTGCCTTAGTTCACCCCACCCCCCTGCATTTCTGACTTGTTCTGTGGGAGCACCTATATATTTGGTCAATTCTGCTCATGCCCACTGGCTGACTCTTGTTATAAACAGGCCTATTTATCAACATACAAAAGCACAAATTCCTGCACACTCGAAGCCAATAAAAAAGAAAGGCTAAATGAATGAAAACATTCATTTCTAAAATGTGTTTACTTCCACAGTCCTGATCTAAAACATAGTAAAATCAGATATTTTACAATCTGTTGGAATCTATTTTTCAGCAATGCATGGCAACTCAAGAAAGAAAGCCTAGTATTGTGGGTGTTGAGGTGTAAGCAGCAGTGTTGGCAGTGTCTGTTTACTAACTAAATGTGGATGAAAACCTAGCAGATCAAGCTATTTAAAAATCCAGAGTCTCTCTCACTTTCTGGATTAGTAATGAACTGTGAGCTCAGGGAGACTTGTGAAGGATATAATTCCTGCGTGTATATTTTATACTATTTATTTATTTCATCAAATTATATACAGTGGTACCTCTGGTTACGTACTTAATTCATTCCAGAGGTCTGTTCTTAACCTGAAACTGTTCTTAACCTGAAGCACCACTTTAGCTAATGGGGCCTCCCGCTGTGCTGCCGCCGCTGTTCTCATCCTGAAGCAAAGTTCTTAACCGGAGGTTACTATTTCTGGGTTAGCGGAGTCTGTAACTTGAAGCGTATGTAACCTGAAGTGTATGTAACCTGAGGTACCACTGTACTGCTTGATTGTAGAAATCCTCAACAAAATTACTTTTGGTTTTCTGCTCTGATATTTTATGATGTGAGTTTATAAACCTTTAAAAATATAAATAAATGAAACATGAAGCAGCAGAAGAGAGGGTAAAGTGTGGCAGAAGAAATATAGATACCTCTGTAGGGAAACAATATTTGCATCTGGAGTTCTGCATTAAGAAAATATTCCAGATTCAGCAACCAGACAATCCAAATTCCATGACTGGATTAAAAAAAATTTTTTTTTGCAATTTGCCTTGTTTGTGTATGTATAAATTAATTAATTTAATTTAACCGTTATATTCTTGCTGCCTAATTTAATTGTTGTTTTGCATAATTTTACATTGTGGGGAAAGAGAAGGAAGAATGCAGCTTAGAAAAAAATGTGGGAGCATAATCAAGACACCCAGAGAGAAGGATAAGGGGTCAAGGGAAGAAAGAAATGCTGAATGAAGGAGTCTCGTACTACTTCATTCAGCCCTACTTTGGTTACTATTCCCACATTTCTCCACAAAACGGTGCCAGGAACTCTCTGTTAAGGGCTGTATTCTGAGCAGGGTACTTCAGCGATGCACATTTTTAGTTTCCTTGGGCACAGTTTTTCTTTGGACTAGAATTCCATTCCATTTTGAGAACGTACTGTAAAGCGTAGCTTTTTGCAACCAACAGACTGTGCACAAGAGAGAGATGTTCCTTTCTCATAATCAGGCTTTTCATTGTGTTTTGGGGCCAGGAAGATGCTGCTCTGTACCGACGCCTGGGTGCCCTCCTCCGTCACTGCCTGATGATTTCAGCAGATGGTGAAGATCGGACAGAAGAATTTCACAGGTGATTATCCTGGTGAAAAGCTTGGATTGGCTGGGAAAACAAAAAACATTATCGTGACCGCCATACAGCTTGGGTATTCAAGAATCTGGGGGTCAGGTCTATTTGACACAGTTAGTACCTAAGAACTTTAGTTGCTGATACTGATTGATATAGTGCTACCTGCACTTCTGTATGGGGGGGCGGGGGAGCGTGCCACATCGGGTACTATTTGGAGAATGGGTGCCATTGTGGCTGCCCCCGGGGACACGCAACCCTGGGATGTGCACCACGCCCCCGCAGGCAACGCGCCACGCCCCCGGGACACGCACCAGCCATGCCCACACCTGTTCTCCGCTTCAGGGGCTGCCACATGTTGCTTCGCCACTGGCTACTGGTGGTTGTTGTTGAAGATGATATAGTACATGGCACTTTATAAAGAATTAGTTTGATATAATCTAAAAATGGACATCAGAAAACAGCAAAGGAAGGGAAGAGAAAATTGAGGCAGTACATGGGAGAAGTAAATGCTATTGTTAAATGTTCTCAGGAGTGTTTATAGTCTTGTCACGATGCCAAGGCAAGGATAGTTCTGGGTCTTGTTCCCGTGGTGCTTGAAAATGGAAATTAACTAGATCTTTGTCAGGTTTTAAACAACAAAACAAAATGATTCCTTGCTGGTGTGGAGGCTACTTCCTTTGCATATTTTGTCTTGCATTGCATGTTCAGCCACACAGTCAACCTTCTGGGCAATCTGCCTCTCAAGTGTCTGGATGTCCTGCTGGCCCCCAAGGTGCACCCGGGCTCGCTTGAATATATGGGAGTCAACATGGATGCTGTCAATGTTCTGCTGGATTTCCTTGACCGACGTCTTGACAGGGTGGGTGAAAAGTTCCTCATTGCCTCACACCCACATTTACTTCAGATTCTTTTCATGCAGCCAATGAAATACACTGTAATATTTCTTAGAGAGGAAGGGGGAACTACAGAGTGTTACAGGTTTTGGTGCGTACCCTGAATTTCTTATACCATAAAGTTTCATCTGAGAAAAGGGATGGGTTATAAGGTATATCTACTCCATGGGTGGAGCCAGGATTTATTTTTTGTGGGGGGAGAGACTTTTTGTGGGGGGTCGTGACAGAACAGATATATCTGCAATGCAATTGGTCAGTTAGTTAAGTATTTCTATTTATTTATTTACTTCATTGGGGAGGGCAGCTGCCCCCCTCACCTCTCTGGCTATGCCTATGATCTACTCCAGGCATCCCCAACCTGCGGCCCTCCAGATGTTTTGGCCTACAACTCCCATGTTCCCTAGCTAACAGGACCAGTGGTCAGGGATGATGGGAATTGTAGTCCAAAACATCTGGAGGGCCGAAGGTTGGGGGTGCCTGATCTACTCTGATGATTTATTATGTTGCCTGCAGCTGAGCTGCCATTTACCTGCTCTGTTTCAGAGAAAGGAAACTAGTGTTTTTAGATCCTTCCATAAAAAAAATTGTACTCTGGTGTATTTTTTCCCTACATGGGAAACAACATGGCTGTGATTATTATTACCACCTTCTTTTTTGTGGGCTCTTCTATAGGGTCACAAGCTTAAGGAGAGCCTGACCCCTGTGCTGAACTTGCTGACTGAGAGTGCTCGAGCCCATCGGCAGACCAGGAAATTCCTTAAAGCTAAGGTACTGTATTTAAATTACGTAGGATCCTAAGCAATAATGCTTCCATTGATCCAGCAAAAATGTAAGGCAAGTCCCACCCATGCCATCATTCTGGAAATATATACTGTAGAAATACTGAAATTGTCACCTAAGGTTGTGTGTGATCCTATCGTTTTGAAAAATGCTTTGAATCCCTTGCTATGAGTGTGAGTGGGCATGTGTCTGCCTAATGTAAAAGTGGCAAAAGTCACCATGATGGTTTCTGCAAAGATGTAGTGGCACTTTTGGAGCAATATTTACAGGGCCTTATGAAAACCAACGTAATAGGAAGGCCTTTTAAAATAACTCTTCCCTTTCCATGGGATTGCAGGTACTCCCTCCACTGCGGGATGTGAAAAATAGACCGGAGGTGGGGAACTTGTTGAGAAATAAGCTTGTGCGCCTCATGACTCACATTGACACTGATGTCAAGCACTGTGCTGCGGAATTCCTCTTTGTTCTCTGCAAGGAGAGTGGTGTGTGCCTTTCCATGTTCTATTTCATCTAGTGAAGGTTGTCTTGTAACATTGTATGTCTGACATTGTATGTTACAATGTCTTGTAACATTGACTGTCTGAAAACGCAATTGAGTGAATAGACTGATCCATCCAACTTCGTAACTGCTGAAAGACTCATAGCACTGGGGTAGACAGACAGAATATGTTTTAATGGTGGCTTGGCTGCTAAGAGCTGAGGCAATTCACTTATGAGTCATAAGGCAAAATTACATATTGCCTGGGTAAGGGTGGAATGAAACAGAACCAAATAATTCACCCTAAACATTCACTGACTAGAGATACACTTAGGAAAGAAAAATATTTGTTGTAAAAAGGGAGGGAATTCCAAACTTAAGCTTTGATAGCCACATACTTACATATTCTCTCTCAAGTTCAATCAAAGGGCCTCGCTTCACAATTAGATCACTCTTTTTGCTGAATGTTAGGACAATGGCAACAGTTTTCCCTATTTTTCCTTTGCAAAGTGACTGTTTCCCTCCAAATACATGCACCAGCCCATAGATGCCTACAACCAGTCCCATATGACATTTCACACATTTCTTCTAGTGTGGATATTATATTTGCTTGAGGTAAAAGCAATACAAATATCTTTAACGGTCAAAGAAGCTGGGTTCCCTGCTGCTACAGGGGTAAGGGGATTCCCTGGGCCTGTACAGCAGGTGGAGAGTGAGAAGCAAAAGAGGTGAAGTGAAGCAGCTCTGAATGTGACAGACTTGAGAGGCTTGCAAGAAATCATTTCCTTGAAAGGTGGTCCGATAAGCAAGAGTCAGTTTTATGATCATTTGAATTCAGCAGTCTTTTCCAGATTGTTTTTGCAGCAGCAGAAGAATATGACCCTTTTGCCTTTATTTTCCTCAACAGTGTCACGGTTTGTGAAGTACACGGGATATGGGAATGCTGCGGGGCTCCTGGCAGCCCGAGGCCTCATGACAGGAGGTCGGACAGAAGGAGAATACTCTGAGGATGAAGACACTGATACAGAGGAATACAAGGAGGCAAAACCCAAGTATGGACCCCCTTGTATGCATTGCTTCCTTAAGTATTGCCTTTTCTTCTACTTTTGGCACAAGTCCTTTTCTTGTTAACTTTTCCTCACTCAACCCATTACTCTTTTTTTCTTTCCAACGTTCTTATTGGCATGATGTTCATTTCCTTGTGTTTAATACTGTGGTTATCTGCTTCCATGCCTAATGGCCTTATTCACTGCCTGCCACATCTTCACAGTTGCATGTCTACACCAACAGCTTTCCCCTATAATCTGCTGCAGAGAATCACAAACCTTTGTTTTGAACTCCATTTATAGGTGGCTGTATGTACGAAAGCTTCTCTGTCATGAAAGAGGTTCTGACTCCTCCCCACTCCCATTTATCTTGGTTGCTTTCTCTCTTCCTATCCCTTGTCCCGTTCCTCCCATCCCCTTCATTAGCAGATGATTCTCCCTTCTATTCCAAATATATACAGAATTTCCATCATTCACGATTAAATCCATCTTGCGGATTTCTTTGGTTAACTGTTTTATTAGCACAAACTTCACAATCCCATGTCAATGTTCTTTCCTTCTGCTACCCCTTCCCATTTTCTCCTGCTCATCATTTATATTGTGATACATGTGAATGCATTTGCACATATAGAAAATTTATTAAAGTAGGGACTATTGAAATTCAGAGGAGGGAGAAGTGAACATTACTGGGAAAGGGGTGAAGATTAGAACCTGGACAATGAGAGGGATAAGATTGAACTGAACTGAGTAAAGAGTGCTATTCTGGACACTTTGGGGATAGAGACACAAAAGCACCTTGTATTCTCATGTTAAAGGTGTATGTCTGTAATAGGCATGTGAATTAAAGCACTAGATTGCTGGACTGCTAACCTCCTCCTCTTCCCCTGCTTCCACAATAACCAGTCCCAATGGGCATCAAAACTGCCATGCATGTCAGTAGGGGGATTGCCACAGAATCCTGTGCCATTTTCAATTTTTTAGTAGTATTTGGTTTTAGGTAGCATGTAGTGCTGAAGAATGTTTGCTACATCTCTGGTACAGTCAACAGTCATTATGCCAGTGGTCAGTATATCTGCTTTTTAAATGAACATGCTTCTGCCTTCTTTCTGTGTGTTGTTGTTTTGACTGACTCGTACAGCATTAACCCTATAACGGGACGTGTGGAGGAGAAACTTCCCAACCCAATGGAGGGGATGACAGATGAGCAGAAAGAGGTTGAAGCAATGAAACTGGTGAACATGTTTGACAAACTCTCAAGGTACCATGAGATAGATTTATCTGGAAGTGGGTCAGCAGTTTGAAGAGCAGGCTAAAAGAGGTCAACCAGTTAAAATCAAAGGTTCTGAAATTCCAAGCTCATTGTGACTTCAAACGAATAATTTCTGAATTGTTGAATTACATTTGACCTCTTTTATCCTCCAAATCATTGGACTGTCTTAGATTGTGAGCTCCTAGGAAAGAGGACTATTAACATCAAGAAAGGCCATTGAAAACAGCCATGAGCCTGTTAGGTAGCACAGGATATCAATATGATTTTGTCCATCAAGCCATTATGTGTTAATAGTCACTGAATGGGAATGAAATGGAACCAATTGTCTGAAAGAATCAAAGGAGTGAAGTACTGCCCTGGCATCAGTGGTGGCTAATGGGGTAGCATTGCTTTTTTGGCTTCCCAATGCTGTGCATCACTGTGAGTTACTAAGAGGTGGAGGGGGGGCATGGCAGCAGGGTGCTCAGCACAGTGTGGGTGCCAATCCATGCACTGTGTCAAGCTCCCTGTTGGCTTTACCTCCTCTCATGGTAACCAGCAGCTACACTGGATTTCCATCACTTGGTGACAGTAGGGCTTCACTCACTGCCTTCAGATGTGGTTGCTGGAATGAAATAGTGTGCATCTCATATTTAAAAAAGCATTTAGACTGTTTTGTAACTGCTAGTGGACTAGGAAAATTATATTGAACTTAGTGGCAAGCAACAGGAAGGCAATGACAGGTGACCATACCAAAAGGGTGCTGGTATTCTGGCCTTTTGACTACTGGAATTAGAGTAGCAGGGCTTGGAAAATGTTGACCATGTATCATTAAGTTTCTTCCTCAACAGTGAGGATTGGAAATATTTGTGCTGGAAAATGAACACCTTGGATAAACTGGGTATGATGACTGGGAATAATGGAAATCTGCACCCTGGGGGATTGCACACCACTTACCTACAGTATACATTTGAATGTCATCTCCACAAAGTTCATTCTGCAGGCTATGTAGTGATAACTCTGGCTAGCTGCTAGTAGGAAGTACTATTGCAAAGGCAGATGGCAGCTAATGCCACCCATTCTCCTTCCCAGCAGGCATTCACTCTACAGTAGTTGTTCATACATCATTTAAGAGTAGTGTGGGCAGGAGTCCAGGATCTACCTAAGGAGTTCAAATGACATCTTGCTGAGCAGCCGTCAGTCTATTTTTGCAGATGCCCCATGTTTCCAGTGTGCATTAGACAGACAGAAATGCTAGTCTGAGCATTTCATTAATGGTATTTCCACTACAATGTCACTTTCTTTTGCTGCTGACGTGGCCTAATCAGAAGGACCCCTGAGGCATTTTCCAGCTAGATTAGCGGAGAAAGATTTTGGAGCAATCACTTCCTGGGTTTCCAGTGTAATTTTAGCATTGTTACAAACTTGCATTTGGACCTTAACTTCTCTGAAAATCACACCCTTATACTTTTCCAGGATGTATGTCATGAAGGTTCAGAAAGGCTGATAATTAGCATTTGGTGCATGGCTAATGTGCCCTTTAACTAGTGATGAAGCCAAAAATAGAGCTGCAGTGCACCGTAAAATGAAGGAAAAGCCTTCATTAGCAAGCTAGTCTCCACATTTCCCACTGAGTTTCAAACAAAAAATATTTTCCTTTCAGTGGAAATGGTTCATCATATAAATTGATTTCAGTCAGAATGTAGGCAGTTCTGTTCAGGTTTCTGAGCATGAAAAACTGCTTTCTGGCTAAAAATGGAGAGTACATCCTCGCTACCCAAGAAATCTAAACAACACTCTTAGATTTGACACACTGATTATACAGTATTTCATTTACATTTGATTAAATGGGATTAAGAAAAGTACATTCTGATTGGATTCATTTGTTGTTGCTTAGTAGTTTCTCCTGAAGACTGAAAAATGTTCTTCGTATTTGGAATCCACTGACCAAGTTCCCTTGATGGACTAAAAGGGCCCTAGGAGATAGAAAAGCAGTGGAAAAGTCATTCCACTTGATCCTTAAAGGTAGCTCAGTGACTGAGCACATGCTTTGCTAATGGCACCAGATTCAGTTCCTACAATCTCCAATCTTAGGTGCCTGAAAAGAAATCTGCCTAACAACCTGATGATCTGTAGATTGTTGGGTTACTGTAGATTGTCATATAAAACCAGTAGTAATTGAATCTCATCCGAAAGCTTCAAATTCTCTTCTAGAAATGTTAATAGAGCAACATCTGTAGTTGAGCAAATTTGTCCATGGTGTGAGTATTTATATTCTGGATGTGAGCAAAGCAGTGTCAGCACATGTACCAGATGCCAAACTGAGGGAGGGTTGGGGCTGTTCTTACTGGTGGTGGTATGTATGGCTATTTTATACTATTTCTGCTAGGATCAACAAATGAATTACATTTCTCAAAGTGGGCATACTACTGGTCTGTCCTTAATGTAGGCTTCTTTCTCTAAGAATGTTATCATGAGGAGCCCCTCTCTGACTGTGCTATTTCTCCTTTCCATTGCAGACAGCGAGTCATCCAACCAATGGGGGTCAATCCAGATGGCAATTTAACGTCTCTCAATGTAACCTCCTTGGAGGATGCTGTCCATCAGATATCTGAGGAGAGGTTATCATCTGACTCTGACTTGGAATTGGACTGAAAAAACATTTCCTGTTCCTCAAAAACCTATGGACCCTCTATTCTCTCTCTGTAACAGGTGCTGTATCAGGAGACCAGTCCCAAGAAAAGACTTCCCATGGGATGGATCTCCACCGCCCAGAGTGGTATAACATCTGTTTCTTCTCTAGCTCTATAACACTCCTACCTTAGAGAGCTCTTTACAGCTTAGCTCTTTTGATCTGTTTTCCCTCTGTGTCCACAAGATTATTACACTCCGATTCCAGGGATTTTTGAGCAGAAATTTCATGGAGGGAAGGGCAATCTCTTATTATATCATGGAGGTTTAGTAGCACTTAAGGGTGCTGTGAGTGCACTGCAGAGTTACTTGTATGGGACTAAAATGTGATACACACAGGTGATATATATGTGTGTGTGCGTGTGCGCGCGTGCATTGATACTTGTGCAAAGCACATAATGCAGCAACCATACAGCGTGGTGGTGTTTAAAACACACGGATACTCTTGGCAAATGTAAATGTCTATTTGCATACACGACTGGGGCATATTAATAGAATATAGAAATGTGTGAACAATGAGAAGCCTGCATTTTTTTTACATGTGAAATGCAAGAAAGCATACTCCTGGAGGCATATAAGTGCAATGTGTGTGGCAATCAGTCACATATTTTGGCAGTTCCTTTAAGACACATTACATGTGTATGGAAACATGCAGGTAAGGAAACGTGCATTGTTGAAATAGTATGTATATGTGTGGTATGTGTCCATTATCTGAGATAATGTGCAAAACTCTGAGATATCCTTTGCTCACAGCGACATTAATGTTTGCGTTTGCTGATAATTTGGGGCCAGGAGGCCTCTAATCCCCACTATAACCTTGACACCATGCTCCTCTTTCTACCATGTTTAGTTTCTGGACTACTCTCACTCTCTGTGCTCTTCAGACAAAAGGCGGTGACCAATTGCTTAACTGCACTCTAAATCTGCTTCAGTTCCCCTATATCCACAGCACTCTGCATTCACCCTGTTATGTACCTTCATCCTGATCATAGGCTTTTCTGTTTAAAAAAAGCAGCCTCCATCTCCTACTTTGTTTCCAACTTTGCCAACAGTTTCTGAACTTAGCACAAATATAAAGATTTTCACTAGAATAAATGAAGCCTTCAGATAACAATATGCGTGCATCTGTTGATTATTTGGGTGATTGTATCTGAGCAATTAGAAATTACATTTTTTGGCAATGTAACCGCAGCCAAACTGGGAGGAGTCCAGTTATAGCAGTGTTGTACTCAAGCACAATGCCATGTGGGTGAGCAGTGGAACTTTCTGTGCTTTCAACAAACTAAACCTCACTGAGGCCATTGGTGTCTATCAGTCAGTCTGTAGTGATCACATATGTGGAGTATCCCGCCCATTGCATCGGACTGGATGATCTTCCAGCTGCCTCTGATTCTAGCTGTACTGTTTGAAAATGTTGGAAACTTTGGGTTATCTCCACAAACTAACATTGAGTATAATTATGACTCTTCTGCATACCCCATCCTCCTAATATATAGTTAAAAGGTTATTAATCACTTACGTTTCAACACAATGAAACTAATTGAAGGTCTGCACATCAGACCAAAGGTTTGCCTAGTATCCTGTTTCCCAGAGTGATCATCAGGCACTTGCAGGAAGCCCACAACCAAGCCTTCCCCTGTTGTTCATGTAGCCATCATGCCTTATGGCCATTGGTATTCCTTTTGTCTTCCTTGTCATTAAAATAAAATTGTTCAGGGTCATTAAAACAAAGCTTATGAAGAATTCCAAAACGACTCTCCAAACTGAATGAAAGGGCAAAAGCAATTCAGTGGAAGCAAGTGTAAAATGATGTATATCAGGACCAAAAAGTCAAATTAAATTCATGTGTTCTAAACTGACAGTGACCAGGAACACCTTGGGGCTGTAGTGTATGGCTCCATGGAAGATGCTGCTCCACTGTGCTGCAGCTGTGAAAAAGGCAAATTCCATGCTAGGGAGCATTAGGAAAGGAGCTGAAAATAAAACTGCTGTTATACAAATCTTGGGTGCAACAACATTTGAAATACTGTGTACTATACTGTTCTGGTTGCCTCACCTCAAAAACAATATTGTAGAGTTGGAAAAGGTTTAGAAAAAGGCAACCAATATGATGGAGGTACTCACATGTAAGGAAATGTTGCAGCGTTTTTAGTTTGGTGAAAAGGCAAGTAAGAGGTGACAGTATATAGCAAACACACACACACACACACACACACACACACACACACACACCCCAGCAGGGCTGGTGAGTCAAATGTCTCATTTGAATGGCTTATCCTAAATTCAAGAGCTTTCCAATCCAATATTTGAATCACACATTCATATAAACAAATCTGTTAGCACATTCAAATTATCAGAAGCTCTTTGCAAAAATGGCCTTGCCGAAAATAGAGCTTGGGGGCGGGGGATCCAGCCTCTGAGGTTGATTGTAATTGGAGAGAAATAAGTAGAGTTCTTCAAATTGGGGGAGCAAACTAGTCACAATTCCTAAAAGCGGAGGGTAACCCTTGGCTTACATGCTTATTGGATGGCACAACCACAAAGTTAATATTAAGCTACACACACTTGACATATACAAAGTGGTGTTTGCATCTTCAAATGGTGATTTGAAGTTCATAAAGTAGCAGTACTAGATTTAATAGGTTCCACAATTTCAATGTTAATTCAGGGTAACACTACAAAAAACACTGTTCTAACCACCCAGCGCTTCCTTTCATCTCTTTGTCAACAATTACATAATGAAAGAAGAAACCCAGAAGCCCAGCATCTCTTTTAAACAGATAAAATCCTGTCATTCAAAGATGCTGAATAGCACCCAGAAAAATGTCAGACAATTATGTGAATGATGCCCACAATACTTTTTTCCCCATTAAATGAATTCAAGGACAGAAAATACAAGTTTGGAATTTAAATACTGAGAAATCTGCAGACAGAATATTGAGAGACTGCTGAAACATGCTTTTATTTTGACTAATTATTGCCACTCAATAAGTGTTTATTCAAGTTCAAACAGCAGCTTCACTACACTTTTCATTGTTGTCATTTCTTGCTAGAATTGTAATTACACACACCTTATCTTTTCATGTTACATAAATGATACACTGCATAGTAATACATCAAATTATTTTTAGAATATCAGCTTTCAGACTGATCTTCACAGAAGCTACAGAAGACACACTGACTGAACAGTCAAACTTCTAAGCTTAGTTACTAAAGTTGGCCTAATCCAAATTCTTTCACAAGTTGGTACAATGTCAGATTCAGCGTAACTGTGATGAATGCTATTGCAGCTAAGGCTACTAGTGCAACACCACAAGATCTATGATGGTTTAGAAAACATTTGAAGAGTTTGTTTGGAGAAACAGCTTAAGAGGTGAAGTTTAATGGGAAGTAGCAGCTATAACGTACATCTTCATCTTCCACTCTGGTATCTAGAGCCTCTTACGCAAAAGCAAATTCACAACCTGCCATTTGATCATCATCTCCCAAGATCCTTCAGAGGACATCCATGTGCAACTAGACTCTCTGAATGATTTTTAGTTCTTCTAACCTACTGGGTGCTAGCACAGTGGAGAGCATATTTTCCTCCAGTTCTCTGCTCTTATTGCTGTAACCTTTGGCTGCAATGAACAGTCCTTTAGGAGGTAAACATTTCCAACAGCAGGGGTCAGATTTCCTATTTGTCTTTTGCATCCAGCTAAAAATAGAAAGAACATTATTTGTCTATGAAGCTTGCTTGTTCCAAAGTCCATCCATTCAACAGCTGATACTGACTAACGTGAAAAAGCAACAACACAGAGAAGGAAATGATTCGTTTACAGTTAAATGAAAGCATATCACTGTTGAGTTTTAAGAATACAACAAGTACATAGGAAAATGCCATTAATTCTAACATCACAGAATCACAGAACTGTAGAGTTGGAAGGGACTCATCTAGTCCATTGTTTTGGGAGGGGGTCTTCATTTGATTTGTTCTTATTTTGTATTTTTATGCTGTTTACCTCCCCAAGATCTTCGGATGAAGGGTGGTATACAAAATTAATAATAATCAAATTGTACAATCCCCTGAAATTCATGACATACGGCCATCCAACCTCTGCTTAAAAACCTCCAATGAAGGAGAGTCCACCACCTTCCGAGGAAGCCCCTTCCACTGTCAAACAGCTCTTGCAGTTAAAAAGGTCTTCCTGATGTTTACTAAGAATCTCCTTTCATGTAACTTGAAACCTTTTGTTTGGGTCCTACCCTCCAGAGCAGGAGAAAAAAACTCCCTCAACCATTCCTCATGAGGTTTGGTCTCCAGACCCTTGATCATCTTGGTCAACCTCCTCTGCACATGTTCCAGCTTATCAATATCCTTTTTAAATTGTGGCACCCAGAACTGGACACAGTGCCCAAGTGTGGTCTGACCAAGACAGAATAGAGCAATATCATTATTTCCCTTGATCTGGACATCGTACTTCTGTTAATGCAGCCTAGAATAGCATTAGCTTTTTTGCTGCTGTATCACACTGTTGGTTCATGTTAAACTTGTGGTCTACCAAGACCTCTAGAACCTTTTCACTTGTACTACTGGCATGCCAGATACCCATCTTGTACAGGTCATATTATGTCAAGACGGGATGAACTGCTCTTTTCAGAACTACTGCAATGTTTGTACTCGTGAGAGATTCTGCAAGTGAAATGGGGAGAGAAAATAAAACCTTTTCAACTCGAACTTTCATACCTTTTCTTTTTCCTTCTTCATTAATTCTTGCAACTCCTCCTTCCAGCCCAACAGTTCCACTACTTTTTCCACTCCAATGATGACGTCTCCCAGTTCAGCCACATCACTGTGCTGTGGCTGATGAGCGAATGGTCCCACCAATTCCCGATTGATCAGCACACGTGGAACAGAGCTACGAATTGCATAAACTAGACTGGCAAATGGCTCCACCTAAAATCCAAACACCAAAAGGAAAAGGCTGCATATTCTGCTCCAAAGTGAAAGTCACAGCTCAAAAGAAATTCATAACACCTTGAGATCTATTAATCTATCGAACAACTGTAATAATGCACCCAAATACTGGTTAATGAAGAGGGCGATATGGTAGTGTAAATGAGAACCTGCTAACAAAAAGGAAATATGTTACCTATTGTACAGTGGTTCTGCTAAATGCCCACTTGAAGCAATTCAAACTTTATTTCAGGTTATCCTTTCAACAAGTCAGGTAGGTAGGTTAGCAATATTATTCCTAAGTGAAAGAGTATAGCTGAGGCTTGTAAGAAAACGACTTGCTCACGGCCATCCAGTGAGTTTGTATCTAATCTAATATTTGAACCAAAGCCTTCCTATTTCAGGGTGCATACCCTTGGCCATGGGTAGGCAAACTAAGACCCGGGGGCCGGATTCGGCACAATTGCCTTCTAAATCCGGCCCGCAGGCGGTCCGGGAATCAGCATGTTTTTACATGAGTAGAATGTGCACTTTTATTTAAAATGCATCTCTGGGTTATTTGTGGGACCTGCCTGGTGTTTTTACATGAGTAGAATGTGTGCTTTTATTTAAAATGCATCTCTGGGTTATTTGTGAGGCATAGGAATTTGTTCATTTCTCCCCCCAAAAAAAACACACAGTCCAGCCCCCCCACAAGGTCTGAGGGACAGTGGACTGGCCCCCTGCTGAAAGACTTTGCTGACCCCTGCCCTTGGCCATACACTGTACCAGCTATTCACCCTCAATTAATGCAGAGCATTTGAACAGCAGCTAAGGAAATCTACATGCTTCTTATTTAGGAAATGATATGTACTGATTCATCATTGATCCCTACACTACATGTGATTGAGTCCATATTGCTCTCCCTTTCCCCTGCTAACACAGTTGCTGATGGGGCAATGCGCATGTTAAGATTTCTATTGTGTGTGCTGGGATAATGTCACAGAGGAAAAACTGCTTGCATTTCCAATATTCCTGACTTTGTACACAACAATATTTAGTTAAGACTGTCCTGTCATATGTCTATGCTTAAGGCACATTTACTTCTGCCCTGCCACTGAGAGACAACAACACTGATTCTGCCTCTCCCTACATCACTAGATACACAAAATCATTTCTTCAATTTTGGCAATCTATGCTTCCCGAGCTATTTATAAATCCTTCTTACACATTTCCCAAGATGCACTCGACTTTGTTGATCCCTGAATTGCCACCCTCGCTTTCCCTTTGGATCCGCATTGCTTTCCAGAGTCCCCGAACCACTCTGTCTCAATACCCCAGCTTTCATTCTCTTCCCATGTTCATGATAGCGCAGACCTCAAGGGAGGTTCCGATGACAAAGAGCAGGTCTGCCATTGGAAAATCTGTCACGTGCAAGAAGAACCGATGAGGGAGCTCCTCTCCAAAAAAAACAATGTCAGGTTTGATCATTCCAGTACACACAGGGCACTTGGGGATCTTGTCAGCCATCACATCCTCCTATGATAACACAGAAAGCAGGATATGAGTCCACAATCAGGCAGTATAAGCCACACATTACATCACTTGAAATTACAAGGGACACTTTCCATTGGTACTATTGATTGAACATCCCAAGCATTAATGAAAGTAAAAGCAAACCTGTGAACCCTGCAAAACAGGATTCTTGGTGCCTAAGCCAAACATAACCAGCACCCTCTGGAGTATGCTTGATATTCCTGGAGTGGTGTATCTGCTGTGCTGTCACTTACCCTGAAGTCTTCACCAGGGTATGACCTTCGACAGACAGTGCATGTAGCAGAAGCAAATGTACCATGAGCCTCAACTAGCTTATCTGGAGGAATCCCAGCAACTAGAACACAAAACTCAGAGTTAAGGTCAATTCGGCCCAAACGTTCCATCAACGCAAAGGAAGTGGAGAATACTCTCCCTGCCATCCAAAGGTTTGCTGCAGTATCTCTAACATTAGCCTAGATTTTTATTTCTTAGATCCAAATTGAGGGGATGGGGAGACGTACCTCTCTCCAGCCCATCAATGTTCTGTGTGTACAGACGCAGAAGGAGCCCTTTGTCAAGTAGAAGTCGGAGAAAGTAATGAGCATAGTTGGGCCTGTAATTGCCAGGGTATAACTCCTTGGCCAATGTAAAGAAAGGCTTAGGATTGTGGAAAAAGTAATTAAGCTCAAATATGGCTTCTGGATAAGGAATATTATACTGCTGGAGATTACTGTAGAGGCCACTCCCAGGGGACCTGTGGAGACAAGAGGGGAAGAAAACTACAGAACATGCCAGGAAACCAAGCCATTGCAAAGGTTTTTCATGTGCTGGTATACCCCTATTAGAAGTAAATTCACATATGAGAAAACACAGTTGAGGAATATCACAAGTTTGTCAAGAAGACATACCACCAAAGTGGCCTATCAGTTGATATGTGAACAGCTTATGGTGAACAGGAAGGAGAATTCAGCAGTGGAGGACTCTCTCAAGAAGCAATGGTGCTTTTAAGATGGGAGGAGACACCGTGACAATGATACCAGAAAATGAGAAGGAAGGTAGCTGATAGCATGCCTGGTAAGAGAACTTCAAACAGGATAAAGGTGTTTTGATCTGATATAGTAGCATATTGTTTCACTCTTTATCAGCATAGCAGGATCAAACAAGCAAATGAGAACTACAGCAAAATGTGACACTTCCCTGAGACCAAAGATCTTTACATAAATACTCAGATTAAACATGCCTTCCTTTCAGAAATGTGCTGAAAGTTCAAAGCAGAAGATGATTGTGCAGGACACTGGCTAGCACTGCATAAAGCCACCTAAAACATCCCTCTCTAATCCCCAATAGCAGTTTTTCACCTTCCTGCCTTATTTTTTAAAAAGAAATCTGTTAAAAGTTTCTTTTTTAAAAAAATAAGGCAATGGCTGAATGGTTATAGGCATAAGCGTTCACAAAATGCTTTCAAAAATTAAATAAAGGCAGCTGACAATCCACATGAAGGGGGGGAGGTGCGTGACTGGTAAAATAGCATTCTGTTCACAAATGCATGTCTGTCACTTCATGCACAGCACCTGGTGTATTTGCTCTGGATTCTGTTGCTATTTGTTTTTGAACATAGGTTGCAATCCATAAAAGGGGAAATTTTGGATGCAAGAAAATCAAATTAAATAGTTAAAGGACCTATTGTGGCATCCTCCATGTAGCATAAAACCAGATATGACTTATTTGGCATTAAGGGACTATACCGTTAACAGACCTTGTTTGGTGCAATGTTGGGATAGGGAAAAAAGTTACACCAACAGTACCAGCCTCTTCATTCAATTCCAAAAAAAGAGCCTGGTTCACTCTTACTGCCTGTGCCCTATTCTTGAAGCTGCTCCATCTATGACTGGGCAGTGTGGTGGCTGCTGAAGAGTTTCCACAAGGTGGGGACTTTACAGAGTAGGGAAAACATCTGTACAGTCAAGAGAGCAAGCAGTCTGAGTGTTACCTGAAATCGGGGATACCACTAGGAGTGCTGAGCCCTGCTCCAGTCATCACCACGACTCTCTTGCATTCTTTCTTCTGAATTAGTTCTGTCACATCCTTCAGAGTGAGCTGCTCCTTTTGACCATCATTTCTTCCTCTGCCACCTCCAAAGAATACCATTAGAGCAGTGGATAATGAAAAGGGCCTGCCAGCAACATATGCAACGGGTTACAAAGAAACACATTCAAATGCCATTCACCAGAATGAGATTACTGGGAGAAAACTCCCTCAGTTTGTATTAGCAGTGAATTGGCATTGTTTTTAACAATGTGGCTTTACTCATCCTGTGTCTGGTGTCATACGACTTAAAGTGCGCTCTCAACACTTCCTTTGCTTGAATTCTAAAATAACTGAAGCCACAGCTGCAAAGGAAGAACCAGGAGCGCACTTTAAGTCAAGGAGATTCTTATATTCTTATGGGATAAGGTAGAGAAACACAAATAAATACAAGCGTCTCAAGCACGTTTTGTGAAGGAAGGTGGAAGAATTCAAAGTCAAAATGAGCAGTAGAAAGGATATCATACCTCACTCCATAGGTACTTGCAATCTTTTCTATTCTGCTTTCTGGAGTTCTTTGAAAGAAAAGATTTCCATTTGGAAAGACGAAGGTGGGTTTCAATGAAGTTAGGAGCAGTTTTCTGCAGGCCATAGAACCAGAAAAATTCCCATAATAATGTTGCTGGGAACATATCCAGCAATTCCTCCATCCTATAAAACATAACAACCATTTTCAAATGCAGGGCTTGTAATAGTTGGTTATATGAAATTTCACTGAGGAACAGAAAACCCATTTAACAGTGCAATCCCAACGATGTCTACTAAGAAGTCCTATTAAATTTAATGAGGCTTACTCTCAAGTAAAGTGGGAGCAATAGGATTAACCCTAATTTAGTTAATTAAACATTTATTTTGAGGTAGGGAACCTTCACTTCATAATCCAGGTGTGGCCCACAGGATCTCCCCTTTAGCTTGCCAGTCTTTTCCCAGATCCAGAGCCATCTACTCAGCCCCTTCCCCCCCGCCCCCACTGCTGAGCTGTAATATTCAATCCGCGAAGTAGCCCAGGGAGAACAGATCATAATGAGGGGAGGAAAACCTCCCGCTGCCCTGTGCTGCTCAGCTTACTGAAAATTACTGCTCAGTAGTGGGGAAGAGGGAACATGGCTGAGTCCTGCTGCTGAGCTGCCCATGAGCTGAGCTGAGCAGTTCTTCCTTCATGGGCAGTGTGGTGCATTTTTATTCTGCACAGTGAGAAAAGGAGTCCCTTTCACACTGTGCAGCACAAAAGTTAATTGAGCTGCTTCTGAAGGAAGAGATTACTTTCTTCCCCCATTGGCAGTTCCTGGGCTGAGCATGGAGAAAGGAGAGTCCCTTTCTCAGCACGTAGCACAGAAGCCATGCAAACAGAACGTGGTGCTCTTCAGAGGTTGTTGAACTATGACTCTGATGCTTCCTGATCATTGACCAGCCTGTCTGGTGAAGAGAGGGCACCACACTGGCAGCCTGATACAGTGTGTATATGTGCACGTGTTATGTACAGTGGTACCTCGGTTTAAGAACAGTCCTGTTTACAAACGATTCGGCTTACGAACACCACAAAACCGGAAGTAGTGTCGCGGTTTGTGAACATTACCTCGGTCTAAGAACGGAATCCGAATGGTGGAAGGGCACTGGCGGCAGGAGGCCTCATTAGGGAAAGCGCGCCTCGGTTTAAGAATGGACTTCCGGAACGGATTAAGTTCATAAACCAAGGTACCACTGTATGTAGATTTGTGAATGGGATGTGGTAGGTTTGTGAATGGGATGTGAGTGTCTATGTATGCTTTGACCCTGCCTTCTTTTGGCCTTGGCCCCAAACACTACAGGTGTATGGCCTTGACTACTCCTCCCCCCGCAAATGGAGCCCTGGAGAGTGGGAAAGGTTCCCCAGCCTTGTATTATATATGACTAGTATTTGCTGAAGAACATAAATTATTATTAAGTATCTCCTCATGCAGTTGTATAGACAAAGCAACAGGGTTTTGCTCCAAAGGAGACTCACACTTTATGCAACAAAAGGGGATAAAGAGGGATACACTGCAAAAGTCTGAGGTTACATTTTACTGCACTTCCTTCATATGGCTCCTTGGAGGATGTGAGAGTTATAAACCATTTTGCAGGCTAAAAGTGTTCTACAGACAGACAGATGTAAAAAATTACCTACTCTAAATTGGTTCATAGAGGAAACACCTTAGCTCAGTGGTAGACTGTATGTTTTCCATGCACAATGTCCCCGGCATCTCTAGTTATCTCACGTAGCAGGGCCAAGGCCTCTGTCAACTTGAGAACTTGGAGAGCAGTTGTCTGTCAGAGTACTCAGCCAATGGTCTGATGCACTGTAAGAATCCTCCCTATATTCAACTTTCCTATTTATACTAAATATGCCAACAATCTCCCTGAGTACCTGTAAGCTTTTCCATTCCAGGTCTTAGCTCTCCTAACTCTTCCAAAATCTGATATGCCCCTTCCAGTTCATTCATATTCTTCTGTATTAGATTGTTACTTACCTATTGGTCTCTGAAAACTTTCAGCACAAAGTGCATGCCTTCCTGCAAAGACTCTGTAATATAATCTCCAGTTCATTTCCCTCCAGCCGCCTAGTCCTGCACCAGAGAAAGAAAAATCAAGAGAAGGTTTCTATGTCTTCTATGTTCTTGCCTTTATTAATGGCTCTACTCATGCAGGTTGGCAGGAGGCTGGTATCACTCTGTATCTCGCCAGTTTCCTGTTTGGGTTGTATTTGTGGTTTGAAGGTTACAGAAGATCTGGAGTGGAGCAGTAGGGCAAAGCACCACTCTTGTTTGCTTTCAGTGATCTTGAGCCTGAAAGAACAGCTGAAAAGCTCTTTACCTTAATGTTCCTAAAAGAAGAGCCTAGATCTGCTCATGCTAAAAATCCATCTCTTACGGTCCCCACCACCCTTGCAGTAGCTTTTTGGAGATGAATTGCACCACCACTTAAGGCATTATGCTACAAAACTGCTTGTTATACACTGCTGCTCTGAACTGGCAATAGCTTTTTTCTTTGCAGTAGGTTCTGCTGGGTGTAATCTCGTTCACAGTGGCTTTTTTTATGGGGCGCCACTAGTCTCCGACTGCCGTAATTGCCCAAGAACCACAGCTCTGTGTTTCATTCATTTTAAGGCAAGGCCCACTTCAGACACACAACCCCATCCAGGATATTACTGTATTCTTTTTAGCATTTTCGAAACCAATATACAGCAATGAGTGCAACAATTTTGTTCTTTGCGTCGCAAGATGCCACTTACAGCAAAGGAAACCGCACCTCCCTCCGATTCTAAGTGGGCAGAAAGGGACGGAGGGGCCAGAAACGGAAGAACGATGCTTCCCTGCCCAAACCTCCGTCCGACGGTGGCGATGCACCTGAGCAAAGGGAGCAAAAGGAACCTGAGGGACCCTGTCCAGGTCACCTATGGCCGGCGCGGAGGGGCCCTAGCGGCTCTCCCCCAGCCCAACCGGAGGGGGGGGACGGCAGGGACCTCCCGCCTGGGAAACATGTTCTCTGCCGCCGACAGGTATAGCGAGGCGGTGGCGGCAATGTTTTATTTCACGAAGCTGCGACACTCGACGTCCTCCGCCTCCTCATGGCGCGAGGCGGTGGCGAGTGACGTCAGCATCCCCACTCCCGCGTCACGCGCGGGGGCGGGCCGCCATGGCAACCGGCACCCAACGACTGCAGGGGGCGCCCGAGAGAAGCTCGCCGGCTCGCTCGCGAAGCGGAGGCCGTTGCCATGGCGACCAGCGGGCCTGCCCGCCCTCCCCCGGAACTCTCGCCCCTCCTCCTCCCTCCCCCCCCCCCAGCGCGTGGGGCGAGATCGAGAAGCAATGCTGCGCAGAGCGAGGCCAATACGGTACCCGGCGTGCTCCGCGCCGAAGGTGCCGGAAGTGAGTGTGCATTTCCGGCGGCAGGGTGGCCCGGCCTCCTGCTCCTGCTCCTGAGGGTGAACGGCTCTCTCTGTCTCCCGCTGCTTCCCCGGTCCCGGCCTCGCCATGAAGGACGTGCCGGGTTTCCTGCAGCAGAGCCAAAGCTCGGGGCCCGGCCAGGCCGCCGTGTGGCACCGCCTGGAGGAGCTCTACAACAAGAAGTGAGGCGGGGTGGGGGGGCGGCTGGGGGAGCCTGCGGGAGGTGGGGAAGGGGCGCTCTGCCGTTTTCCCTGGGGCGACTCGGTGCCTTTTTCTGGAGATGATCCGCTGGGGGGTCTCTTGCTCTTGAAGGCCAACCCCCCCGTTCAGGAAGCTGGTGCATCGGGCCTCACTCCCGAGATGTGTGGGCAGGCTGCTTGCCCTAGGAAAATGGTGGACAGGCACGCGTCGCTTGCCTTGGGCCAAGGTGGCATAAGCACAACAGGGTCGGAAGTGTGAATCACTTGGCCGTCTCCATTGAGGCTCTGCGCTGGCCTGGTTGCCAAAACGTGTGTGTGTCGTGCAAGGGCTTCTATTCATATAACTCGTGTTTGATTTGGGTAAATACACCGTTGAGGGTTTGCTGTGATCTCCTGGCTACTGTACTCTTGCTCTCCCTCATTTTGTAAAATTGACAGCCTGTCCTTTGCCATTTCCATTGTCATGTGTGTATGTTTTACAGACTCTGGCACCAGCTGACCCTTCAGGTTCTGGACTTTGTGCAAGACCCCTGTTTTGCCCAAGGAGATGGACTCATCAAGGTAATCTCCCAAGTCTTACCTTAGTCATTGAGATGGTGATGGGTTGCATTATTTGTATTCTAATTCACAAGATTCTTGGAATTTCCATAAATAAGAAAAATTAAAATCAAGAGTAGTGTAAATGTATACCCCTGGCTTCTTGTGAATACAAACGTTGCCAATGATGAGGCATTTAGGGGAACTCCACTGAACACATCAGTTCCAGGGCTTTGTAGCTGATGTCCACATTTTTTTGCTTTGTAAATTCTGTTGACTTCTGTATCGCTTTTTTTGGCATTTGGGATCACATTTTTATTCTTTCCAGAAGTGAAAGGGTGCATTTTGTAAATACTGTATAATGCTGGTACTCTAAATAGATGGTGCAGAATGGTATGAGGTGACATTGCAGTGATAAACTGCCAGATTATGCCTAGTTATGCCTACCAGTCCTCTGAATTTTGACTACCAGGCCATTTTTGGCACAAACAACATGACCTGTCAGTCATCTGACACCATATGACATCAGGCATGTATAATCTGTTATCTCCAGTCTAAGTGCTGTTTGTCAAGACTGGAAATAAGGGATCTCCTTTCTCCTATCTTAGTGCTAAGCACTATAGTGCTAAAATTAGAAATAAGCCCAAGCGTATCAAAAAAACAGGCAGTACTGTTGATCCACAGTACTAACAGCAGATATAAGTCTGTGCCTGCTCCCATGGTTTGAAGTTTGAATACCTGGTGTCATATTATATTGGGTGATTGAGAGGTGGATAGCCCCACCCACCTGTCAGAATGGCAGGTGGATGATGTACCAGTTCTGGATCCAGCCCACCCTGTATTATAGTTTAGAAAATACTAAATGAATGAAGGGTTGCTTTAAAGGAGGACAACAAGACAGACATTTGTATGAAAAACAAGAAAGATTGAAGGAACTGGATATGTTTGGTCTGGAAAAGAAGATTGAGAGGGGATATAGAAGTTGGAAGGGACCCAAAGGTCATCTAGCCCAGCCCCTTGCAATGCAGAAATCTCAGCTAAAACATCTGTGACAGATGGCCATCCAACCTCTGCTTACAAACCTCCAAGGAGGCAGAGTCCACCACATGATAGCACCGTTGAAATAGAGGCGCTCACATAGAAATGATCACATACTTGTTATACCTAGAGGGCAGGACTGACTGGTTTCAGTTACAGAGGGATAGATTTCAGTTCAGTATTAAGATAAAATGTTTTACTGGTAAGAGCAGGGTTAGTGTTGCCAGCCTTCATGTCACATAATTTGCAGACATATTTGTAGCACAGAGTTGGTCTGCTAATTGGCCTGGTGCCAGAAGCCAGCTCTCTGTAGATCAGGTCCTTGGGGATCCTGCCATCTTCCATTCTGTGTACATGAGCAAGCCAGCGTACCTAAGCTAAACCATGGCTTAGTGTAAATTTATGAGCTCTTGGAGAGAGATCTTGGAGAGAGATCACATCTGCTTTGCTCTTTCTCTGGGCCTACTGGCATGTTGTCCAAACCTGGGTTTTGATGTTTCTCACTCCAGACAAGGCATGATTTGTAACAAAGGTGTTGTGGTCTAGTGCTGACCCGGGGCTTAATATTGATTGTAAGGAATTCCACGCACGCTAATCAAACTGTAGATACTGTCCTTGATGTACTAATGATCAACTTGACTTGTTAACCAAAACACACTTGTACTGCTAAACTTACCACCTCTTTCTTTGATTTACAGCTTTATGAGAACTTTATCAGTGAGTTTGAACACAGGTAAAGATTTTAAAATACTTAAAATTTAGGGAAAACCTTACATTTTAAGATCAATATTTTAATTATAAAGTTAAACTTAATTGCTATTAAAACTTCAGTTGTTCATGTTACCATCTCTTTATTTCAGGGTGAACCCTTTGTCCCTTGTAGAGATAATTCTTCATGTAGTGCGGCAGATGACAGGTAAAACATCTTCATTTTATCATAGCTATCTTTCATTATGAACTGGTTCAGGGGGGGAAATCTGAGGCCAACAACAAGACCTTTAGGAAAGTAACAAAGGATTGAAGTAAGTCTTGGAGAAAGGGAATTATTCACATTTCAGTCTTTGTGGACACTAGCCATTAATACTCCTTAACTTTGCTATAAGGCCAGCAGAGATGTATTAATGTAGAATTTGAGAATCTAATCCTAGGAGTTTGATGGACTGAAGGCCTCTTTTGGTGCTGGTTTCTCCCTGGGACTGATCCAAGGAAGTATCTGGGAGCTGGCTTTTGGCTTGCACAATCACTCCCCCTCAGTGCAGAGAGAAATGGAATGCTCAAACAGGAGATCTCATGTTACTTTGAACACGAGCTCTCCTCTGACTTTGGGACATTAAATCAGGAGATCCTTGAAACCAGAAGTCTGAGCAAAAATTTTGTCGTTCATTGTTTCTCGGAACGAAGGGAGGAAGCATGCCTTGAAGCCCTCTACTCCTCTCCCCAAGGACAATATCATTCAGGCAGGTCCTCAATTCTAAAACTTTTGTGATAGGATCCAATAAGAGGTTATGTGAATCTTAATGTAATTGCTTGCTTGTACCTCCTTAGATCCTAATGTAGCTCTTACTTTTCTGGAAAAGACCCGAGAAAAAGTAAGTATGATATATGACGGATACTTTATATAGTACTTTGATCCACTTGCATGGAATTGTTTTCAATGCAGTTACTAGTTTTTATTCATTGCTGTAGCCTACTGATGTTTTTATCACTCGTTTTAAAGGGGTGTAGACTTAAAACTGTTGATTTAAAATAAGCAATTATAGGTTTTATGTTACAGTTTCTGTGTACTATCTTTTGTCCTGAAAAGCACAATATAAATTAATAGCACATCTACTGAACTGGCCAACAAGCTATGCTTCACTGCCAGTAAGAAAATGATCAAGGATAGTTATACAGCCAAATTTGGAAAAACTGCTAACTACTTATGCTCTCTTTGGCAGACACTAGTTTCATTGCTATTTGAAACAATAGCTGTTTTATTACTTTCATTTTGTATTGTGGCTGCAGGTGAAAAGCAGTGATGAAGCCGTGATTCTATGTAAAACTGCCATTGGAGCTCTGAAATTAAACATTGGTGATCTACAAGTCACAAAGGTGAGACAAAATACATATTTTCTTGTTCATAATAACAAAACCTTTTTTGAATTTGCTGTATTGGACGGCTCTTGCATTTTTGTGCAGCCCTTAGCTTTTAGTAGCTATCTTCTAACATAGGAGAGGGCAGACTTCAGGCCTTTATAGGTACTCTGAAAAGCCATTAGCTGGAGGCAGGAGCAAAAGACATAAACTTAGAGTTGAAGGACATTTTGTGTTTGAGCAGGTGCTGATCAGCATGATTTGTTTTGGGTACCAGAACTGAGCTGAGTTTGGTCTCTTTCCATGCAAAAATCCATTCCTGATTACCCCCAAGCATTCTTCATTGTTACAGGGGGAGAGGCATTTTGTTGCCATTGTTAAACAATTGAGAGTCAGAAATCTTTGCCATTGTACTGGACATCAAGCAAGGATCTACCAATATTGTGGACCTACTTCTCCCCAGGATATGTGGAGAAGACTAAATTCTATCTGCTTCTTGTGTTCCACTTTGTGTTACCGGAAATGCAATACAGTGGTACCTCTAGTTACAAACTTACTTCATTCTGGAGGTCCATTCTTAACCTGAAACTCTTCTTAACTGGAGGCGTTCTTTAGCTTCTTAACTGGAGGTGTTCTTTAGCTTCTTGCTGCCGCTGCGCCGCTGGCACACGATTTCCGTTCTCATCCTGGGGCAAAGTTCTCAACTCGAGGTAACTCTTTCAGGTTAGCGGAGTTTGTAACCTGAGGCGTTTGTAACTTGAGGTACCACTGTACAATACAATTTAAATAATCAAAAGTGTTGGTATTTCTGATAAGATACTGTATTGAGTTTTTTTTTTCCAAATAAGATGCTGAGTATGTAGTAACAGTATTTGTGCTTTTGACATGTGGCATTATTATTTCCATTCTGATGGCCAGAGATCACTTTGGATTTGATTTCTTTTGCTGGTATAATCCAGTAACATAATCCATGGCCCATTAGAAACTGTTCACAAAAGTCTAAATAAACATCTTGCAATGTGTTCATACTTTGTACAAATGAAAGCTGTTTATCAGTTTGCCACAAGCAAAGAATAGGGATTTTCGAACCTGTAAACATCTGTTTAGAAACTTGTTTTGGCAGTTAACAAGGTTATTAAATTTATATAATGGAGGTTGTTTCATTTTTTTATAAACCACTATTAGGAGCTGTAGTGTTCAAGCAGACAAGGATATACAGTTGTGGATTTGTTTCTTCAGCAGAGTTGAGACTTCAGCAGGTCAAGTCCTAGTACCAGCAGAAATAAAAATAACAAATATGTTCTGATCCTTAAGTTAATGTGATCACGCCATTATTTGGAGTTGTGTGTTTTTCTCTCTTCAAATATTGCTTATAATTGTAGGCAAGGTATTGTAACATGCTTTTGTGTGTATGTATATAAAATACATGTGGATTTTAAGGATTGGTATCACCTTTTTTCCCTTTAGGAGACCATTGAGGATGTTGAAGAGATGCTGAATAATCTTCCTGGTGTGACATCTGTTCACAGCCGTTTCTATGATCTCTCCAGCAAGTATTACCAGACAATTGGGAATCATGCCTCTTATTATAAGGATGCATTAAGGTTCCTGGGCTGTATAGATGTCAAAGATCTCCCAGGTAATGCTCTTTTCTTCCCATATTGAACAAAATGCATTTGTTTGTGCTGTGGAGACCTGTATCAAATGGATTTAATTTACTGTGCAGAGAGGGGAAAAAGAAATTATCCTCAAGATTATTGTTGTTGGAACCTGGAGTTTCAGGAAAATAGGCCTAAGACAAATAATTTATTGTACCTTTGTGTATAGAATGCTCACATTTTTGTTGAATGTAGGAGAATATATGAATGTGTGTGTGTACACTAAAATGGGGTGTGGTCTCTCAGACTGTTGCTTGACCCAGATCATTCTTCTTTTCAGTGGCAGACCAGCAGGAGAGAGCCTTTACTTTAGGGTTAGCAGGACTCCTTGGGGAAGGAGTCTATAACTTTGGGGAACTGGTAAGTAGAACTTAATTGGTGAAAATGTTCAGGAACCAGAAGCTAGCTACTATATCTCAATGTCCTGCTTTATTTCTATCCTCAGCTTATGCACCCAGTCCTGGAGTCTTTGAGGAACACTGACAGGCAATGGTTGATTGACACGCTTTATGCCTTCAATAGTGGCAATGTGGAAAAATTCCAGGCTTTGAAGTCAGCATGGGGGCAGCAGGTAGGTGGCTGGTTTGACTGATTGAATAAGTACTTCCTCTTTGACTTGCTACTGGAAAGTAAAGCTTATGCACTTCTGAAAACAGCTGGTATAGATTCAGAGTCTTCAAAAAAAAACCTTAGGGCAACAGGACCGAGTTCCCCCATTAACTGTTTTAGAGTACTTAAGCCTTGGGACACGGGCCAGTTCAGGAAGGATCTGCTGCAGAGAAGTTCTAAATAACTCCAAAGCATCCCACTTCAATTTAAAATCCATGCTCTGAAACAGATGCATTGCCTGATGTCTTGAACTGTGTAGTAGCATTCATTTTCTCACTCCCATAGAGGAGATGTTGGTTTAATCAATCTTAATGGTTGCATTTAGAAATTAAACACTTCTGTTGAATAATTTACAATGGTAGGTCTAAGGCTGTGGTTTCATGACACAGAAGACGCGTGAAATGATGAGCGCTTTCTGTGTGTTGCATGCATCTTGTTAAATAAAAGAAAACACAATAAGGTTTTTGGAGTAACTAAAGTTCTCATCTGTTATGTCTTACAGCCAGACTTGGCTGCAAATGAAGCTCTTCTTCTACAGAAGATCCAGCTGCTGTGCCTCATGGAGGTAAGTCTAGCAATTCTAAATTATATAATCTGGTCCTTCCCTGTAGTGGTTCCCACTTGGGGCAGAACTTTTTATTTGTATTGAAATGTAACATACAGTATATTGCTATTGAAGATCTAGTCCACCTTTCAAATAATGTTTGCACAGAGGCAAACAAAGCTGGGGAAATCAGGCTTTCTGATCACTATGTTGGGAACTTCTTTTTTCACGTAAGCCGAGGTTGGTTTTAACTTTAGTTTTACTTGACTGCAGATGACCTTCACCCGACCAGCTAACCACAGGCAACTCACTTTTGAAGAGATTGCTAAAAGTGCCAAAGTCACTGTAAATGAGGTGAGTTGCATTTGCAGTTCTGTATGAGGGAAACAAATGTTCAGGGACTCTGTGTCATTCCATTTTCAAAGACATTTTCATTTCAGATAATTCCTGTTAAAATCGATGCAATTAAATTTCCAGATAGGCATTTACAGCAATCATGATCTTGGCCATTTCCCCCTTCTCTGTTTGTTAAATCCCTCTTTTTGAGTTGTAGCAAGTACTGAGACTGGTAAGTTGCAGTGATTTTTATGGAAACAACTGGATGTGTTTCTCTAAAGCCAGTAAGGGACTCTTGGTTTTCTTTTCCTGCAGGTGGAGCTGCTAGTGATGAAAGCCCTGTCAGTGGGTTTGGTGAAAGGCAGTATTGATGAAGTGGATAAGAGAGTTCACATGACATGGGTCCAACCACGGGTGCTGGATTTACAACAGGTAATCACACTTGCTGAAATCTCAGTGCAACACTCTCCTTTTAAAGCATGGCATGGAATCTTAGTGAAAAACAGCTTTCTGGGGAGAAAGGGTATGGTTTCTTTGATTAATCACACAGCACTTATATGTCTTCCTTTACTTCAGTGCAGAAACAGCTTTATACGGTCACATGTTGAATTTATGACACATTGAATACTTGGCTTAATTCAGTTTTCTTCACAATGCTTACTTTGTTTCTGACACCTTTGAATCTCCCTATCAAAACGTCTTGTCATTAAGACAAACCAATAAGACACACCACTGGGAGATTGCAGTTTATCTTTTCTCTAAAACAGGATTTTAATGTAGTCTGTTGCAGGAGACATTCTGATGCAGAATGGTTAAATTTGTTATCTTTCGTGGCCCTTATTTTGTCTTTATGTATTCATTGTGCATCCGTTGAGTCCAAGTTCCTAAAGTGCTTGTGGGTTTATTTCCTAGATAAAGGGCATGAAAGACCGCCTGGAGTTCTGGTGCACAGATGTGAAGAGCATGGAGATGTTGGTGGAGCACCAAGCCCACGATATCCTGACATAGAGGACTTTGCACTGGCTGAGGGAATGTCTTGTACTGTTGCTGAAACTGGCAGTGCCCTGACCACTGACTCTGTACTGAATTCTATTAACAGGGGGGCTAGGGGAGGAGGGAAAGAACTACTTTTCTGATGCTTGTACAGAGGACTAAGTGGCCTTTGCTGTGTAACCCTTTGGTGCTTGGAGTCGGGAATTCCCTCCTACGTGCTAAGCCATTTGATTAGCATTCTCCTTGGGAGCTCCCATCCTGCTGCCACCAAAGGCAATAAGGACTCCTTCATGGTGGATTAATCGGTCTTGGTGTGAGGCTGCCGCAATGGAGGATGTTTGGGGCTTATGGGCTAAAGGGTGGAGGTCACTAGCTCCGCAGTGGGATGGCAGCAGGACTTCCATTGTGCATTTAGGGTGTAAGAAGGAAGGGCCATCTTCAGTCATTGGGCATTTCAGACGGACGTGGGGGGAGAGCATGACCTTTCTCCCTGCCAGTCCAAAGGCAGCATAAATGAGAACAAATGCCTCTTTCCCCTAGTCTCCCTCTGTTTTGCAGTAGAGGAAACTGCTCAAACCCCATCAATGAGTTTTCCAAGAATAAAATCATAAATTTAATGGATTTGTTTTTATACTCTCCTTGGGTTTGCTCTTGTCTTTTATGAACGTTTTATCCTGAAGTGTGATGCAGTCAAATAACTGCTGGAATAAACTTCTCTGCCTTCCCTCTTGCGCAGTTCTGTTGGTATGCTTTACACTGAGTCTTGAATTGAGCAGCAGTCCTAATATAAGAAGCCAAAACCAGAGTTAGCAGCTTACTTGTGCCCTTCAGAGATCAGTGGGTTTTAAATAATAATACTACTAATCACATGTCTATGGAAGGCATGATTTCGATGTTAGTATTGCTCTCAGTCTTAGAGCAGTAATGGGTGGCTCTGGACTTGATCTTGAAAAGGGGCTCTGTTCTCCAATTTTTGAATACATATGAAATCTCTATTTTAAAAAGCTTTTAGGTTTCCGTGACAATTTTTCAGCTTCATGTTTGAAGGTGAAATGGACATCTAATGATAAAGGCTTCTCTGGTAGGGCTTTTTGGTGACCAATTGGCATTCATCCACAATAGGGTTCTCACCAATGTTAAAGGTTATCTTGAAAAGCATCTTTTTCACTGTGACTTTCACCTTGGACATTAGTAAACTAAATCTGCCCTTGTTTGAGTTCTGGTCAGATTCCCTTGGGGGAGGAAAATGTCCAGATTTTCTTTAAAAATTAAACATAGAGAAATGGTGGGGGAAGTAGGCTAACAGCTCAGTCTACAGTAGAGCATGAGACCCTTAATCTCAAGGTCGTGGGTTTGAGCCCCACATTGGCCAAAGATTCCTGAATTGCAGGAGGCTGGACTAGATGAAGCTGGGGGGGGGGGGAGTCCCTTCCAACTTTACAATTCTATGATTCTAGGGAAATCATAGGACCAGATATTTTTCTCTAAATTAATGAGAACTGTGGTGATGGTGAATTGATAATTATGATTAGATTATCTACCATTCACAAGTTCCCAGGGCTGGTCAGAGCAGTGTAAAATGTCTTGTAAAAAACTATTAATCACTCACAAAGGGGCTGACTGGCCTATCTCATGTCAAAAAATCAGCAGCTAATAGTTCTTTGGTCATCTGCTAAAGAAACTAAAAGTATGATAACTAGCTGCTGCCAGTTGTGTATAAACAGCTTTCTGATAGCATCACTGCCTTGCTCAGTTACACTGGTTTATAACTGATAACATTGCAAAAAGTGCGACATGAAGCCACATCACTCAACCTTTTATAGGTGTGGGGTTGGCTAACTGATTATTTTGATACAGATAGTTGCGTGCTTTTGTACAACTGCATTTACGACATATAATTTCCACTAATTCAGCTGAGTTTCAAAGTGGTCCATTTTAACTGTGTACTATGTATTCCAGTCTTTAGTCCTTGTGAGGGGGATAATGCATCTATCTGTAACAAAAGTATGTAGAGGCCATTGTTAGTGACAGCATACCTTGTTCTTAGAGATGGTAAACCAGTTTCTCAGTTATATGATCCAACCTGCAGTAGCAGCTTCGAATTTGAAGGAGTTCTAGTCAAGCCATCACCCTGACATGCTAGTTATCTATGTGCAGCATTTGCTTGCTTTTCTGGAGGGGCATTTCATTGTTAGTCCCCTCCTGCAGTCTGGAATGGCACATCCTAGAAAAAGGCTAACAGTCGCTTGTTTCTTGCTTTCACATTAAAGTGGGTTGAAAAGTATCTGTGGAACACATTTACTTACAAGCAAGTCCCACTATGTACTGTGTGTATAGGATTGGGGCCTGAGAGACATGAGAAGGCACTGCCTAATTGAGAAGGCTGTTAACCACATTCTCCTTTTTCTGTTGTGCCATCTCCAAGTTTGTGGCAGAAATGAGATTTTAACTGGGGAATTTCAGATTTACAGCTTGATCTTCAAGCCACTGCGCTACACTAACTGAATACTTATTCTCTTCTTTCCTTGGCATGTTTTATTATTTCATGTTGCTATAAGGAAGAGGAATAAGGGGCATTTTTTCCTGAACAAACAAGTTTCACTGTGGTTTTTTAAAAGCAATTTTTTAATTATAAAAACAGCAAGAGACAGCTTTGCATATGGGAGGATGCAAGTTCCTTTGGCATCTGCTTTGTGGCCACGTTCATAGTGGAGAACTTCTGCCTGTGCTTCATTCACGGTGCGCGTTCTTGTAATCCTCCATATGGCTCAATATCCAACCGGATGGGACCAAGAAGGTTACAAACATCACAGTCAGTCCAATAGCTTGTTCCTGTACAAAGAAACAGAGGTGAATGTCGTCTGCAGTATTATGAATGTTGTAGAACATTCTGGGTTCTCCTGGGCTAATCACCATTTATAGTTCATGCAGGGAAGAAAGCAAGTATGTGCTGTGTGATTTGTCTTTATTTTTTTACAGTGCAGTGAAGTCCTTCTAGGATGTTTGTTGTGCTTTTGAAAGAATCCTCAGTTGCCTGACTAGTCTGACTGCCAGGGCCCAAAATAATCTGCAGATAATTGAAAGGCCGCCTTCTATAGCCTCTTCTGTGAAAGAGCCTGAAAACTGAATTGCATTAATAACTGCCAGGGCCTAAAAGAGATTGCTATACACCTAATTGTGTAGTTTTGAAAATATCTTGGGAGTCTTAGCAGGGTATAAATACTGCATACATGTGTGCTCTAGAGATGAGGAACTCTTTGGATTGGACTTTTTTTCTAGGTTTCCTACCAAAAAAGGCAAACTTGGGAAAACTAAGTCAATCAGAGGGCTTGGGTTTCTATTTTAGTTCTTACCCATCCCTCACCCCAAGGTCCCAGGGCAGGTTACAATTTAAAATGGAACTGCAAAAAATGCAACCACAAAAGATAACATCTAATAAAAAGTAACACAATTCATATGATTGCTTATATTATATTTAGATTTCCAGTGTTGGCCTCCCTTTGCTAGCTCCCAGATGCACTCCTCCTTTTCATTCAGAAGCAGGAGCTTTTGAAGAACTACATGTCATAGTTCTCTCTAGTCTGTTCCCAAGCACAATGGGGCAGGAAAACAAAATCCTCTGCTCTCCACTCACACACCTTTGATGCTGTTCCCACTTTAAGAAGGGGAGGGGAGGAGGGACGGGCTAACGGGTGATAGAGATGGATGGGGTTGAGAACAAGAATTCTTCATCTTAAGACTAAGTCTTATAAAGTTTGCCTCAGTTTTGATGAACACCTGCAGTATGGGTGTGTTTAGGGTGTGTATGAAGTCACACCACTGGAGAATCACAGCGCCTGCTGTAGCTGTGGAAACCAGTAACTTGTAACTGCTGCCTCCTGTGTTGCTTTTGCTGTGTTAGCAACACCGAAGTGACCTCCCCAAGGCACAAGCCTGAGCAGTGTGTATGGAGGTCCTGGGTTGCCCAGACCACAAGACCTCCCCTCTTGGCCTTACTGATGTGGTCCAAAGGAAAGCAGAGCTATATGTTCGGCACCAGCTTGGCTGCAGGAGTTGCTGGAAGGAGGCATCAAGGCACCATCCAACTGTCTTAAGGATTCCGCTCTGGATTGATGTAGGGTTTCCTCCTTAGCCTTTCCTTCTCCCAAAGAAGTCCCACAAGGGAGTGGGTTTATGTTTATGTATGTATGTATGTATGTATGTGTACACCTACCCACCCATGGTTTGGCTGAGATTGAACAGTGTACTGTACAACCTACTCTTACCAAACGTGTGGTCTTGCTGTGCCTGTTAATTTGCGTCATTTAATTTTTCCTATTATGCAATGTACATAATTTTCCTTATTCAATATAAAGTGTTAGTTGGGCCCTCACTATTGTTAGCTCTAAGGCAAAGGCTGTAGTCAGCCCAGATACGTATTGCTGAATGGTGCAGCCTTTAGATTACTTCTGAGCAAGGAGATAATCTTTTTGCAATGGCATACTGGCAGTAGCCTGACTTTCAAGTGACTTTGTCCTGAGAGCAGTAGCACAGGCCTGCCTGATCCCAATTAGAAATCATCTGAACTAGTTATAATCTGTTGCACCTGTGGGACTGGCAGTGCTTACTAACTCTTGTGTGTACTAAAAAATACATAAAGCATATATTTTTGTTTGGTTCCTATAGAGGGTGGACATGATTTTCAATCATTGTGTTTCCTCACAATTTAATTCAGTTGAGATTCTTCTGATGAAAGAATGAAGAAAGAATTGCCCTTCCTTCAGAAACCACTCTTTTAATCATAAATTGTTACTGACATGATCTGGGCTGTTAATTTGGTGCCAAAAACTTAGTTTTTCAGCAAGAAAGTCAATGTCCATGCCACAAAAATGAAAAACTCTGAATAATTAAAGCAACATGAAGAAAGGGGGACCTGACTTGAGGTCATAAAAACTGGTAGAATTTATTTGTGGTTGCAAAAACTCTACACTGATCAATAAAGGCTGCAGATACTGCCTATGTATATTCAAATAAATGTTTGATTTTCTTATAGGTTAAAGGCATCTAAAAGCTGCTTCTCACTTTATTGTGCCATAAAAGGTATAGAGCTGTGAAATTTCTATTTCCTGGTACGTGTATCAGATCTGGAGAACAATGGCTCTGTGCAGGCATATTGCCAAAGTTCTTAACGCTCTTTAAGCTGGGAAGAATGAGGAAATGAATTGTATGATTTTTTAAAATGAGGCTGGATGTGCAAGAGTTGAGGGTGGGAGGAGATGGTCTCTATAAATAACACTCTGCTCCATTATTATTAATTTTCGGGGGGGTGAGTTCTTACATGTGTCTCAAAGCACTGGTGTTTTTTTTTGGCTATTAGGGTTTTTTGCACTGATTAAATGTATTAAACAAAAGCTTAGCTTCTTTCCCCTAAAAGTGATCTGGAAGACCTTCAAATCCACAAAGCAAACAACATGTGGAGAGTAATATAAAGTACACAAACCTTTTGGCGCACGTGTACTCACGTCTCAAAAGTTTTCAGATGCATGTAGAGACAGTTTAAGGCTGTATGTATGTAATCTGTACTTTGCTGTAAGAAACATGAGTATTATGTGTCATTCTGCCTACTGCAAGCAGTGCTGCCCCTCCCAGTGGGCAGATGCTGGGAGTCAAGGGGGTGCGATGTCAAGAGGTTAAGAGGACAAGAGCTGTGTGTGCCACATGGCTCCTAATCTAGCCTACCGCCATGAGGGCGATATCCCAGTGCCAGTGTTGGAGAACGATCCTAACTGCCATCCTGATGGCTTCTAGACATCTGATTTGTCCTTCGCCTTAGGCTGCAAACTCTGGAGTCAGCCCTGGCTGCATGGAACGTGGACCCACCACACCTGCAGTAGGAGAGCCATCACTTAGGAAGACTTGAAATGAAGGTTGGCTTGTGGGAAAGCCCTACTTTGATACACGTCCATGCTATAAGTAAAAGAGTGCACAGTAACATTCAAATGTGGCCAGTGGGACCGAGAGCCATTTTGAGCTGTTCCTGCATGTTATACGAAGCAAATGTGCCACAAACACGTTGCAAGGAATAGACGCAACCCGATTGCACCAATAAACTTGTACTGTTGTGCTGCAACTTTGGGGAACAGAATTTGAGACAGTATATAGCGGGGAAGGTGTAATGGCCTATGTTTCAGAAGGGTGGGGAGGAGCTGCTTTAGAATCCCAGCAGCGCTCAAGGCAGTCGAGAAACTATTAGGCCAGCTGCTTGAGGGCCAAATGACGCAGTCTGTTCAAAGCGTTACTTAAAAACTTGGTAAGAACCCGCTGCCTCTTTTAACGAAGAAGCAGCCAAGTGTGTATGTGTGGCATTCCCCTCAGGAGCCTTAAATCCTGTGCCATTTTCGTGCCTGATATCACAGTGCAAATTGTGGGGAATTTATTCACTGGAAAAAAAGACAAGGGAGGAGGAAAAAAAGGGAATTCCCTAGGCTGCCCCCCATTACAGACATTCCTTTCAGAAACCAAAATCAAGGCTTCAGGTTTGTGGCTGAGTAAAGTGTGTAGTTGCCAGTTCAGGGGACACCTTAACCATTCTCACCTTCTGAAATCTGAACGTGACATCCAAGCACACGACACTACAATGTATCTGCTGCACTACCCTAATTTCCTGGTGGTCCAGAGACACAAAAAAGGATACTTACCACTGGCGTTACGATCTCCTTAGGTGGCTTCTCCGTGATATTTGCTCGAGGAACAATCTGATTCCTCATTGTTGCATTCAGGAATCTGAATGTTTTATGGAAACGCAGCATTTTCCTTTCGCTTTTGAGCTCCCCAAAGCTGTTGCTGAAATGGCGCTTTCTGCCCTTTGGTAGGGAGTGTCTACGGGCTCCGGCTCTCGAGCTGGGAAGTTGCAGCTGTCGGTGTCACAACAAGTGCACGCTCGCTCGTCCAAAGGCAGCTGAAGGTTTCCAAGAGGTCGGAGAGGAAAACAAGTGGCTCCGTTCCTGCCAGACTAATTTAGCACCGCTTTCTTGGCTCCGATTGGCTGCTGAGTTGCTCAGCTGCTTCCCTGGGATAGCAAGCAACTGCACAAAGCTGCCTCGATAGCAGGAAATATCAGGACTTCTAACTGAATCTCTCTAAACAGTTTCTACTAAACTGTGTGAAATGTTTTTGAAGAACCCAGTGCAAAAATTAAAATTGATTTATCTTTAAAAGTGTGACTTGCTTGACTGAATTCTATAAGGAAGTTTAAAGAAAATGTACCACCAATTATGGGAGTAATGCGGCAAACAGGCTTGGAGCAGAGCCGATTTTTGGCTGGAAAAGCTTCTTGCGCTGTGGTCCTGATTCAAACTTTTCCTTTGTTAAAAGACGTGTCAGGTCCTAACTGTGCTTAAAGTGATCCGGCCTTTGGCCTCTGAGACAGCTCAGCCTGCACATCCCCACAAGACCAGCTCGCTTTCACCCCCAGAAGCAGGTCATTGTTTGGGTGATGCACATGTTACAATAACGTGATCCTGGTATGCTGCCAGCCCCCCAACCCCATTGCACAAAGTAAGGGTCTTACTCTAGTAAATGCCCCCAAAATCCCTTGCCCTCCATGTTTAGAATTTGGAAAATGCTTGAGGTGTAATCTAAGGGTAAAGATGCACCCTTTTGCTTTGCTGCAGTGCTTCTCCCTGTTTCGTATCACAATGCTTTCCCAGTTGTTCTCTGTCTCTTTGAACCAGCGTGTCCAGGAGCAGGAGTTGTATAAACATAAAGAAAGAAAGTGTGCGAAGCCAAAGTCCAAAGAGGCCCAAATAGGGGATACTGTTTAACTCTCTACATCTCTCTCTCTTTCCCTCTCTCCATGTACGGGTGAAAACTGCCAAGAAGAGCATAAAATATATTGCAAGTCTCTCACCCACTGTTTTGGACTAAAACTCCCATCAGCCCTGCTAGCACGATAAAGTGGATTACTCAGGCAGTGGCAATTTCAAAAGAATGGATTCCACAGTATCTCCTGTCAGCATAGCTGTTTGTTTATAGGAACAGCCAGTGCTTTTTTTCTTAAAATTTTTAGGGGCACTCTCATTTTCCTACTCATATTGAAATACTGCCCCTCAATGAGGCCAAACTTTGATTCACAAAATGTTTAGGGGTATGCGTCCCCCCAGAAAAAGAATCACAAGGAACAGTTATCTGAATGCAATAACTCCTTTATGTCATTTTCTAGCTTTGATGTCCATCTGATGCGTGTGGCCCGTAAAAGAATAAAATATGTTGTGTATGTATTTTCCCAATGGCAAAATATTCTAACTGGAAACCTGAGAAATACTACAATAAAAATTAAGCCTCAAGAGAAGACAGGAGGTTGGTAGGTATTTAGCAACACAAATGTGCTTTTAAAAATGTATAAATGAGTATTCTAGAAAGGCCCTCGTGATTATAATCTCCAGTGCAATGTCAGAATGATTGTAGAACTACAGGGGGGAAAGAAACCTGGCTGCAAATTGTAAGTAAAAGGCACAAGGCAGTATTAACTGATAAATTAGGAACTTTGCATTGTTCTAGTTTTTATTTGCAAATGTGCTGTTTGCTACAACTTTTGGTTCCTTCATATCTCCCCAACCCCACTCCATTTATCAATGTGCACCGACAAAACTCTATATAAAACTATTATTGATATGACTGTACATATGAAAATGCATCATTTTGTGATGTGTTGCTTTACCAATGTGCAGTGATAAAGCACCCAAGCGACAAAACATGGGAACTCTGTTCATCCTCATGCCACAGACTAGGAATTTATAAAAATAATGAGAGCATTTCACATCATTTTTAAAAAAGCAGTTGCACCGGCATGTAAACTTCTTGTGTGGTGTTCAATACCCACCAGCGTTGCAGTTCAACATAAGGCTGTTGCTTTATGTGGGGACGTTGTGGGTGTTTCAAAGCAAGCAGCCAGCCACAATTTGTCCATTTGAAATGTTCACTGTGGGATACTTTCTACCATTCATAAAAGGCGGCCTTATGCAAGTGACAACCAGGTGCTTCATCAGACTGGCCTCTTCCTGTTCAGGCCACTGCAGTGTCCTGTGCTCCAAGGAGGGCCTCTGTGTGTGTTGTATTTTAAAAGCAGATGATTCCGCATTCAGAGATTGCCCTGCCAGGCATGGAATGCAGAAGCAAGTTCCTGAACAGGTGGACACTTCACCTATTGAGGTCTAAATTTCATGTCTGCATATTTGTAAGAATAATGATGCCCCCGCCCAGAATACCAGTTGATGCCGTTAGCATAAGAAGAATGTTCGCCTTTGAGGTACAGGCCATTCAGGTTGGAAGAGTGGCAGACACTGTACCACCAGCCCCCCTTGTAAACCACAGCGCAGCTGCCTTTTTCATTGGTATCGTTGTCCTTGTCTTGGGTGGAGAAGGCCATGCCCCCGTGTCCTGAGAAAGAATCTCCTGAAAGAGAAGAGCAGGGAAAACATCGAATTCACCTCTTTCACATTAACTCTGTGTGCTAAGACAGTGGAAAAAGGCTGATGCACTGCTAGCACAGACCTGCTAGGTCACATATATAAGTGCCAGAGGAGATGCTCTGCAGGGGGAAGGTCCTCCTAGATTCAATTCCTGGACCTTCAAAAATGCAATATTCGTGTTTTTAGGACACGTTGAAGCAGATGCCTCAAACAGAATTCTCTGTATAACTCACCCATGTTGCCATCTAAATAGGAGCCCACTTCCAGTGTGTAGTTGTCCCTCTCACTCAAGACTTTGAAGCTGGTATATGTAGCATAAGTTCTAGTGTCATTGAAGTCCTTCACGTCAATTCGCAATTGTTGTACTCCTAACCCCCAAGAGAATGGAAGAGATCTGAGAGTAAGCACTGGTTTGTTTTTTTGTTTTTTTATAGTGTTTTATAAACAAGAATAATGTTATACAAATAAGTATACCAAGTTTTCTCATGTCATATGTATATCACACAAAAATAGCATAATAAATGTGGAAAAATATCTATGACATAGTGTAATGGATTTAGGGGTTGCTCGTGCGTAAGTTGCCACCACTGCTGGCGAGGATTACCTGGTTAAACCCTTTCTGACTGAACAGCCTCCAGCATCGTGACTGTCTCAGTCGCTGGCAGAATCCGTCAGTGGGCGTTTCTTAAACTTCTTCCAACACAAAAATTCCTTGACGCCTAGTCTCCGCCCAGACTCCCTGCGCGGAAGCCTTCTGCGCAGGGAGGGTGTGGGCAGCGGAGGACCCGTACTCTCTCCGCTGGTCTCCGGTGAAGAGTCTTGGAGCCTCCTCTCCGATTCCCCCATCTGCCCGCCTTCTCTACTGGTGTTACGCTGATTTCCTTCCCCAGCGGACGGGCTGCCTCTCTCCCTACTGGGACCCTCTCCACCATCCCTCTGGAGCCTTCCCTCCGCCTCTAGCTCCGATGGCAGTTCCCTGACACATAGGTTTCATTATTAGTGGTCAATGTATAAGTTCTTGGTTTATGAATTGGTTTAAATAATTAGGAAGGAGGAGGAGGAGGAGGAGGAGGAGGAGAAGAAGAAGAAGAAGAAGAAGAAAGGGGGAAAGAGGAGTGGTGAGTGGGATGGGGTCAGGTGGTTATGCTTCTATTATTCTACTTAGTGTGTGAGAGGGGTTGTGTCATTGTTGACAAGAGAAAGCCTTTAACACGTTTACAGCTATAATGAAGCTTTTGCTCTAGGCTGTGGCAGCTGGCGGGGTGGAAGGCAGAGCCATAGTTCTGGTTTTGTAAGGACACTTAAGCAAAGCAGTACAATTACTTAGCTACTCAACAGATGTGGCTGTCCCAAGAATGGAAATTTCACAAGCATGGGGAGCCAGCTTCAGGCATAGAAGTGATCATGCACTACTGCAATGAAACAATTCCCAACACCCTTTCACGGAAGCAAACTGTTGACGAGGTTCAGAAAAAAGTAACAAGTAGGGCTTTGTGAATCAACACAAGAAACTTCAACTTCCGGGTTGGCGCCTCTGGCAATGGCGGACTTCCTCCGATCGGGAGGAATCCGCTCCGTGGAAAACAGGGTCTGAACCGCCACGGCGAGGCGGAGACCCATCAAAAACCACAGGCGGGAGAAGCCTGTGGACGTGGGATTCGGCCGGCACCTTTGCGCCCCCCCACACTCGCGGGGAAACCTGGTTTCGGGGATCCGGAGCGACGTGGGGTGAGTGGCGCGGTGCTTTGAATCGACTGCTTCTTTCACGGAGTGAAGCCGCATTGCTGTTGCCGGAGAGCGCTGACTTTTTCCTGTGGACAATTGGAGCTTAAATAACTGTCCGTGAGTAGAACGGAAAATTGGAATAAGAAATTTCTTTTAATTTGGCACTGAAGCGGGAAGGTCTAAACAGGAAGTCTGCCTTCCGCTTTTTGTAAATAGATTGAAGCAAAGACACGGCAAGCTAGAGTTTAGAAAATCGTCTGTAAAGGATCAATTTTCATCATTTAAAATCACTGAACCCCCCTTGGAAGCAGGAGAAGAAGGGGGAACTTTTTCTGGACTGATTAAACCTGCAGAAGATAAGTAAAGAAAAGCAATTCTCCACCGTCCTGAACCTGGGAGCGGGGTGTCAGGACAGACGTCCTCGGGAAGTTCATTGACTATAGACAAACGTTTTTGACAGATAGTTAAAAGAAGAGAAACATATTGATTCCATTGTTCCCCTTCACATCTAAAAGGAACAAAATTTTGACAAAATATCTGAAAAAGGAAACTTTGTTGTTAAATCTGCTTTAAAAAAAAAAGAGAGAGAGAGAGATGGATACAAATAGAAGCTTTTTCCCCTAGAGGGAGCTTGTGAAACTGTTATTAAATCCGAACTGGGGAGCTTTGCAGCTGCAAATAGATTAAGATCGTGGGACCAGACTCTGACCTTCAACAAGAATGTACTCGGAGGCTCTGGTGTTTGCCTTTTGTAAGACAAGTGCTTTATTGGAACAGTTACATGAGAAGATGGATTTGATGACTGTTGGGATCAGAAAGTTTGGACAGGCAGTGGGTACCTATATAGAACCCACTCAGGAATTAATTCAGGAGTGTGCTTTGACAGATCAGATGAGGGAGGAGGTTGTTGCTGGACCTCGTGAGGTAGAGATGGAGGGAACTGTGGCCCAGCAGGAACATGAGTTGTTGGACTTGACGAATGAACCTGGAAAAAGCCAGATTTGGAGAGACAGAGTTCTGTTTGGCTTGGAGATGGGGGGCTGGATAGACCCCCCCTATGCAGGGATGTTTTGACCTTTCAAGTCTGGCTTTGGGCCGGGAGGCATTCGGAGTTGTGGGGGCCTTTAACTTTGGAGGGGCCTTGAAACATGCTTTTAAATACCACATGGAGTTCAGTGTTGACTTTGGAAAAGGGGCTGATCTGTCGAGAAGGGACAAAAACATTGTCAAGCTGGAGTCTCCCCGAGTGAAAGGAGCAGAAGATAAAGTAAAGCACAGGTATAAATATGAAGAAGATCTGCGGATGGGACATGGAAGAGATCCAAGGGCCTCGGATATAAGGTTACCAGGTTGATGGACTAGATGGATGGGATAGAAAGGACTGACAAAACCCGAGACCAGGAGAAAGAGACACTGGAGGAAGATTGGAATAAAGTTTTAAACAATCTATTTAGGAAAAACTTGTAAAAGTAAAGAGTATTAGAAAAATGTTGGAATGAAATTATTTGGCTTTAGCAGAAATGTTAAAAAGAATTATGTAAGAATATGTCATGGTTGAGAGAATTTGGTATAAATAAGATTTAAGTTTTAAGTTTTAGGGCCTTTTATGGTAAGATACGGTTAAAATAGATTAAGGTAATTTAATGACAGAATATTATGAAAGATGGAAAGGATTTGCTGAGACAATTAACAACTAGAATACAAAAAAGGGAGGTGTGAGGAGGTCGAGGAAACAAGGTAATGACAGTTAATGATTTGGGAATATTGGATCTGTTTTTAAATTTTTTGTTTATTTTTGATTTTTGATTTTGATGTATTATGTGTTTTGTTTTTTGTTTTTTTGACCTTGTCTTTTTATTGATTCGTATTGTTTAAATCTTACTTGTTTTTTCCTTCTTCTTTTTTTCTCTTTGTTTCTTTGTAATTTTAAAATTCTCAATAAATATCATTTAAAAAAGAAGAAAAGAAACTTCAACCTGCCCTGTAGGAAACTGGCAACCAGTGCGTTTGTCTTAGGAAAGGAGTAACATGCTGCCAGTAACCTGCTCTTGTGAAAAGTCTGTCCACTGCATTCTACACTAGATACAAGGGGAGCCCCACATAAAACATGCTGCAGTAGTCAAGTCTTGAGGTTACCAATGCATGGGCCACCATAGCCAGGCTATCCCAGTCTAGGAATGGTCACAACTGGTAGAAGGCCACACAAATCACTTCACCATCAAAGAAGGATGGAGGAGTACCCCTCGAGCTGAAAATCTGCTCCTTCAGAACAGGCAGTTGACCTACCGCCTAGACACAGGAACCACTCACCTGCAAGACCTCAGCCTTTGCAGGATTCAAGCTCAATTTACTGACCCTCATCTAGTCAAGCATTGCATCTGGTTGCATGTCCAGGGATTGCAGTCTGTCCTGACTCGGATGTAATGAAGCTGGGTATCATCAGTGTATGACACCTTGCTCCAAAACTCCCAGTGATTAGCTTAATATAGATGTTGAATAGCATTGGGAATAAAATAGTGCCCTGTGGGATTCCACAGCGTACACACTAGGAGCACTCTTCCAATGATATGCTCTAGACATGACCCTGCAGCTATTTATCCCAACGTAAAAACTTCACAGGTCCGACTCTGGTGGAGCTTTCAATAACTGATTCCACACCTTTCTCCATTATTCATTAAAAATCCCCAAGCTTTCCAGTGATGCTCCAGCATCAGACAGAAGAGGAAACGTTGGTTTACCAGAGCTTGTAAGAAGATGGATTTTATCATTGCCCAACCAGAACTCTGACGCATGGTTCCCAAACCCTTTCTTGTAGGACTCCCAGTTACGGTAGAAATCCTCCGAGCCATCCTGTCGCCTCTGGAAGACCTGGGGGCAAGAGGAGGTGATATGTCAGTGTCCCGGCTGAAAGACAAGCCCGTTTCCTATTCCCTACAAGTGTTAGGTGCAGAGGCTAAGATGGAGGGGGCCCACCGTGTGCTGTGTGCGCATGAAGTCACACACATGACATGCAATGTGCGCAACATCACATATCGCCGGGAGGAGGCCGAGCAGAGCCCGGCATGGGGCAACTACAATGGCCAGCAGCTCCTCCTCAGATGTGCTCAGGAGGAGGCTGACACTTAAGCCGCGCCATGCTAGGCTCTGCGCTCTGCCTCCTTCAACATGGAGGGGCCCATCCCCATCCTAGCAAATATTAAGGGGGGCAAAGACACCTCAGCCCCATAGAATTGGTGCACCTGGGTGGGTGGGCTCTTTTAGGCAGACTGATTGCTTTTGGAACAGGCCCCACAATATAAAGAGGTATCCCTACTGACCCTTCCTCAGTCTAACATATCTCAACAGGGTGATAAATTAGGGAATGAGGACAATAACCTCATAAAAAAATGAAAATAAATTCTCGCAAGGGCATCAGCAGGGTTTCCACACCATACCTCCTCTACAAAGCACAACAGTGGTACCTCGGGTTAAGTACTTAATTCGTTCCGGAGGTCCGTTCTTAACCTGAAACTGTTCTTAACCTGAAGCACCACTTTAGCTAATTGGGCCTCTCACTGCCGCCGCGCTGCCGGAGCACGATTTCTGTTCTCATCCTGAAGCAAAGTTCTTAACCTGAGGTATTATTTCTGGGTTAGCGGAGTCTGTAACCTGAAGCGTATGTAACCTGAGGTACCACTGTATAACGTAAACAAAAAACATGGTAAGGGATAGACTTGTACATGTTCCCTCCTCTGTTGATTCAGATTAATAGTTTTGCTTTCAGCTTACACCACATGTCCTTTCAAAAAGCACAGGACAAGCGGAAAACCTTTCGGACCCATGTTTTTTAAGCAAAGGATTGTGGAAGTGTGGACAAGCCGTAAATAGCAAACTCTCCTCCGTTCCCCTACAGAACACCCTTGGACAACACCTCCTCTGAGCTCTGCAAAGCCAGCAATCAAGGGAAGGCAGCTCCTCCTACTGCTTCCTCTCTCTAGTCTACTGTTTATGAGCATGCATGAGCAGAAAGCATGTGGGGCTGCCTTTGCTTTGCTTAGCACCCCGGGCCAAGTCTCTTTTGCTCAGTGAAGGAGATGTCTCTGGAGGAAGGAGTTGCCCAAGTGCCTTCCTGGCAGGGGATTCCACTTCTTGAAAAGTGTGCATCATATTGCCTGACACCCTTTTAATGTCATAAAGAGATGGCTCTTCCTTCTCCATGGGATAAAGCTCACCAGCCAGCCTCCTCCGTCCGTCTCCATGTCACAGAAGACCACCATTGCTTTCCCTGCGGCAGGATAGATGGTGTACCAGCCACTCAGGGTCTCTCCACGTTCCAGAAGTTCTTTGCAGTCTTTGGCTCCAGCCTCTAGGAGAAATATCAGGGAGGAAAATGCAAAACAGTTCACCTATTTTCCGTTCTGGAAGTATGTGTGTGATGAGAGCAACATGGCCCTCTACTGTCTTTATCATGTTTGGTTTTGCACAGAAATCAACAAGATTCTGGGAATACAGAGAAGTTTAATTTGAACTTCCACCATGGGATTATTATTTTTTATTAACCAGAGAATTATAATTTCTCATGGGTTAAGTTCACCCTTCCCTGTATTATTCTCATAATCTATGTTCTCAGCCATCTTACGTTAGATTGGAAAGGACCGTGAGTTGAACCAACCAACCAACCAAACTAACTAACTATACTAGCTAGCTAGCTAGCTAGCTAGCTATACTAGCAAGAGGATGATTAAGATGATGATGATGATGATAAGACATACCTTGCGGCTGACAACCAGCAGGAGTGTCCAAACTGCAGTCTTCTCCTGCAGGAAGAGAAAACAACGTCTGGTGAGGTGAACAAGCTAAAAAGAAACATGAGAGTGAAAGCAGTTCCAGATCCCATGCTTTTATGCGAGTTTATTTTCCTTTTCCTCCAGTGGAGTAGTAGAGGCAAAGAGGGTCACCTTGTTAGAACTGGGATCTGTTTCTGCTCAAGCACAATGCACAGTGCAGTGTTCACCTGGATCAGCTTTCCCCTGTGAATAATCCAAACTCTTGCATTGCCACACCCATCCCCTCACAGTGGAGTTATAGATGCAATATTACCTTTGTCTCCTTTGTCTCCCTTGGGTCCAGCTTTCCCAGGCATCCCAGCCACACCTTTCTCACCTGAGAAGGAACAGGTGAGAGATGAAACCTTTGGAAACAAAACATCTCTAGAAACAGTCTTTCCTGCCCCTAACAGCCCCTCTACTAGACATGGTGTTTGCAATTGCAGAGCACAGCAGCGAGCCTCTTCTCCACAGTGATGAGGCTGAATTAGAGCAAATGATCTCCAGATCTGTCTGGCACAAACTCTGAAGGAGAGATTGGGATCTTCTTACCTGGAGGACCCTGAGGGCCTGGGTCACCCTTAGGCCCAAGTGATCCGCTTGTTCCAGGCACTCCTGGTATTCCTGGTATCCCTGGCTGGCCCTGGAAAAAGATCCCGCCTGCTCCACAATGTGATAGGCCCTTCAGCTCTGAAACAGGAAACGTGAGACAGCGTATAAACCTGTGTGAGACAAGACATGTTCCCTGGCATGGGCATATTAAACCAAGAAAGGACTGGAGTGCCAAGCGTCTTATGTGGTGCAGCAGATAGGACTGAATTTACATGAGGGGAAGGCAGGTTCATATCCTGAGGCACCATCTTCTCACCTTTACCAACCATACAGAGCAGCTGTTGTGAGGATTTTTGAGAAAGGAAAATTACTTTCCTGAGCTGTTGGAAGTGGTTAGGGTTGTTAAAGCAACCATGGGAACCTTTTCTCCTTTATATATATATATCTCCATATATCTTAATTTAAATGTGGGCCAATTTAAGAATCCCTGTTGAGTATTTCAGAAAGGACATTGATAATCCCTGGCTTTCTAATGGATATGTGGATGTCTTTGCAGATTCAAGCACAGCCCCACTTGTTTACCTTTTCAAAGGTATACTTAAAATTTCTCAGGTAAATATCTTAAAGCTATCATGTATGAAATCAACCATTTGACTACAGTTTAAAAGGAAAGAAAAAGAAACCTGGGCTATCTTATCTTGAAGAGTTTTCTGAAAGACCTGAAGCTTGGTTTTTATGGAATTCAAGACCAATTAGGCACCTGCCCCTTCCACTCTGGCCTCATTCATGAAATTACCGTATTTTTTGCTCTATAAGTCTCACTTTTTCCCTCCTAAAAAGTAAGGGGAAATGTGTGTGCGTCTTATGGAGCGAATGCAGGCTGCGCAGCTATCCCAGAAGCCAGAACAGCAAGCGGGATCGCTGCTTTCGCTGTGCAGCGATCCCTCTTGCTGTTCTGGCTTCTGAGATTCAGAATATTTTTTTTCTTGTTTTCCTCCTCCAAAAACTAGGTGCATCTTATGGTCTGATGCGTCTTATAGAGCAAAAAATACGGTAGTTGTGGCCTGATTGGGAATATCTTGACAAATCTGAACATTTAAAGGGAACAGTGACAGGAAATTGAAGAAAATGCTAGTTGCAGCCAGAAGACAGAGACACATAGAGTGACTAGATGCTGCTTCTTTTTGAGGAACGCCCTTTGTTTCAAAGATCACAACTCAATTTACCAAATCACTTCTCTCTCCAGCCTTCAAAGTCCTCCTCAAGAGCCTCACTCTCCCAGCCCCTCCACTGCTTGTAGATTAAACATTATCACATCCCTGTGACTAAAATGTAAGCCCCTGAGTTATACTTTCACATACCCAAACAATTAATTAAGGAAACAGTGCTGGCCTTGACATGTGCCACACAGTGGTCTGATGAGATGCAAACAATTGGCTCCTTTGCCCTTAATAATGGCACAGAAGAACAAACTTAGGCCCAGCTTTACTCATTATAACCCTTCTGCACAACTATTTGAATTTCTATAGGTGTACAATTAACATTTCCTGGACAGCTTACAATAAAAAAATTAAAAATGCAATATAAAATAGTAATTAAACAAGCAAAAAAATGTCCTTACATCATGGTAACATAAAAACAATCTGCAGCCCAGATTAAAATATTTAATAGACTGGATGAATAAAAGGCACCGGCTGTCCCACTGCCTTTTATACTTGTCCAGAAACAAAGATCACCTCCCACCTCATGCCATTTTGCACTCACGTTCACAGCAGCTGGTTTCTGCCTCCTGTCCAAAGCTTCCCCTCTCCTCCACAGACACAACCACCAAGAGAGTCAGAGCCAGGCGGAAACCAGTCAAGGCTGTCATCTTTCCTTGCAGAACTTTCTTGGCTGCTCCTCTGGGTGAAACAGAGGCAAGTGGCGGTGGAGGGGCTTATATATATGGCAATCCCAAACAGTTGTGTAAACAGGAATGAGGAAATTCTTGCCTTAGGAAAGGGCTTTGCCGAACCCCATTATTGTGCAATACTTGTTTTCACAAGAGTCAGCATAGTTCGTGATATTTAAGATTGTACATTTCTAGACAATGGCTGGAAACCCCTCGATTGCACAATGCCCACCCCCTACTCTGCCCTGATCAGGAAATGTTTATTTGTACTGAATAATATGTTCTTTGGAACCATAATCCCGTCACTATCTTGTTTAGCGTGAGGCTTGGTCTTGATTTCCTTACTACAGTACATTCATAGAAGTGTCTCCTCCTTCTGTCCATCTCTCTATTTACCGTATTTTTCGCTCTACAGTGGTGCCCCGCAAGACGAATGCCTCGCAAGACGAAAAACTCGCTAGACGAAAGGGTTTTGCGTTTTTTGAGTTGTTCCGCAAGACGAATTTCCCTATGGGCTTGTTTCGCAAGACGAAACATCTTGCGAGTTCTTGCGAGTTTGTTTCCTTTTTCTTAAAGCCGCTAAGCCGCTAATAGCCGCTAATAGCCGTGCTTCGCAAGACGAAAAAACCGCAAGACAAAGAGACTCGCGGAACGGATTAATTTCGTCTTGCGAGGCACCACTGTATAAGGCACACTTTTTCCCTCCTAAAACGTAAGGGGAAATGTGTGTGCATCTTATGGAGCGAATGCAGGCTGCGCAGCTATCCCAGAAGCCAGAACAGCGAGAGGCATCACTGCGCAGCGCTCCCTTTTGCTGTTCTAGCTTTTGGGATAGCCCCTCAGTCCCTTCCCTCACCTCCCGGAAAAGCCCCCAAGAGCCCCGTTCCCTTTAAAGAGCCACGCGAGGCGTGTGTGCGGCTCTTGGGGGCTTTTCCCCGAGGAGGGAGAAGGGCAACCCGTCAGTGACAGGATGCCCTTTTCCCTCCTCGGGGAAAAGCCTGCAAGCTCGTGAAAGGGAGCACTGAGCAGAACCTGGGATGCATACAGGCTCTGCTCAGCGCTCCCTTTAAAGAATCTTTTTTATCTTGCATTCCCCCTCTAAAAACTAGGTGCGTCTTATGGTCAGGTGTGTCTTATGGAGCAAAAAATACGGCAATTCCTTTTTCGAATGGCTGTGTAGTGTTGAATGGCCATTCTGGCTGATACTCTGTGCTTCTTCCATACCTATGATACCGTGGTGGCTGGGTTCGGAATGTATAAACACAAGCTTACCAAACCAGTTTCTTTGTCTAGGCAATGGCTTTGGCTGGCTAGTTAAGCACCACATAACCAAAGAAGTTGCTTTGTGCAAAAGGACAAATGGGAGGACCTCCCCCTTCTCACTTAGATGCCAGGTAGGAGAACAATAGCCAGAGTTGTGTGTGAGGAAGGTGGAAGCAGACTGGAAGATGGGCACACAGGCATGCTTGCTCTGTGCTGGACTCAAAGCTGTGATTAATGAAGCAGGATCTTTCCTCTATTCTTCCCTTAGGAGGGCGGATCCCCTCAGGTGACCAGTACAAACCTGCATTTTCATCTTTAGTGGGTTTTTAGGTCAAAAAATGCCTCTTATATGCAATCTAGGTGGGGTGAATCCCAGTCCATGGGACTGGAGCAAGTACTGCTTTATGACAAAGCCAAAAGCTTGACTGGAGAGGAGACTAATTCTTGCCAGAAATAAAAGCTGGTGAATAGGATTTCTGTCTGTATATTTTTACAGCATGAAGTGAAATGGGGAAGCTGGTCCCCCTTCGCAAGAATCTAATGTAAGCAAGATGTAGCTAATGTATGACGCATCACAATTCCAGTGTGTTTGGTGTGTGGATAAGACAGAGCGTGTATCCTGGTGCACTAAGGCAACCAAGACGTGATAAAATAGAGCAAAGGGTGAAGCCTCAGCCTTTAGAGGGGAAGAAAAACCCAGGAGAAACCAAGGTATACAAATGAAACGTGAAACACAATAAAAAAAACAAAACAGTTCTGTTGAGAAGAGCAGAATTCATGGAACGCTCACATTCACATCAACCAACCAGCAACAGAATAAACGGGTTAACAAACAGGGCAGAAATTTATTATTTGTTCAGCAAACAGTCCTACACTCAGTCCTACACCAGTAAGTAAAACTGGCTGCGGAAACTGGGCAGGGGAGTATTGCGGATGTGTGAAATCCTATAATGGGCAAGGGGTTCTTTTCCTTCCCGTTCTGGCTGCTGCTTCAACTCCCGATTCTCAGTCTGGCCTGAAGGTTGCTTTTGCTGCTTCCCAGTGACTGAAGTAGGAGATGACGTGGTTCAGTGGAATCCCAGTTCCCAACAGAGCTATCCAGGTACTCCATCCATGACCATTCCTGTCCTCTGTCATCATAGCGGCTCCTATGTGTCTATAACCAAGTCAGGCTTAATCCTTTTCATGCTACTAAGCTCTCTCACTGTGTCTTCAGATAACTCGTCAATATCGAGTCTGTGAATGGAAGAGAAAGAAACAATCTGTTGCCTCCTATACATGGCAACAAAGACTATGCACAACTTATACACAAGACAAAACTTAAGTGATTTTTTTAAAAGGCAGTTTCGAGGTCCCTGCTTCCCACTTTAATATGCAGATTTGCATGGTGGTGCTGAGCATTTCCTGGGGGAGGAACTCCTCTTGTCCCCCGGAATTAGTTTCTAGGAAAGGTTCTGCAAGACAGAAATTGTGACTTTTAAACCTGCTGAGGTTGCTAAGAATGGTTTCTTAAGACATACTATTCTATTCTAGCACACCACTTTCACAGGTATTTGCTAAAATGGCAAATCTTTTTAGCCCCCTGATATACTGTGTACACTCCCCACCCCCCACTCCAATTACATGGAGAGAAAGTCAAAAGTACAGAGATGACTAATGGGCCTTATCAGGCTCCTTACAGCCATTTAAGCTTCCACTGGGTTTTATTCTTCATTCATTTCCTTCCTTATTTAAACAGCTAAATTGCCCATGCATGCAATCACACTTATGCTCACTGGAATTCTATAGGACTCCTTGGTGCTTATCAGAACAAGTCAGGCTTTAAAAAACTCGGTGAAGGAGGTATCTCTAAGTAAGGAGCAGAGACCCAGGGTTCAGTGGGAGTGCTTATATGCAAAAGCCCAAAGCGTGTTTTTAGTGCTTAAGTAACAGATGTATTTGATGATATCAAGTAAATGGGTCTAGTTCAAAGCCTGCGATTCTCATGAAAAGGACCTTCTACAGCATGGAGCAGGAACCTGTGGCTGGACTCCAAATCCCATCAACCAACAGAGCCAATGGCCAGGGGTGATGGGAGTCCAAACATACCTGGAGGGCCACAGGCTCCCCATTCATAATCCACCGGCTTTAATCATTATACTCAGAAGAACAATACTATACATTCCATTCTCTGTGTACTAATATGTTCCTGGGAACAATCCGCCAACAGTGACTCAGACCTCCACAGGTAAGCCTGCTCTTGTTCTTGACTTCTTTCACAAATGCCACTTAGGCAATTAGGCAATTTCCCCTTGTACCTTGATGTCCCCCTGCCCGGTTCTACTCACAGTTTGATTGTCACACTGGCTCCCTTAGTTCTTCTCCTGCCTTGTTTTCTTAACTTTCCCCTTTAAAAGGCAGGGGCATCTCTGCCCCTGGGAGCCTACCTAAGGCAACCACACAGCTCCTCAAATGAACGTTGCACAGCAAGGAAGCTGCCTGCAACTTACTCAATTGCCTCCAGTCCACAGCTTGGGTCTTTCAGTCCTTCACAGAGCATCTTCACTCCGGAATCTCCCAGTTTGTTACCCCCCAGCTTCAGCTTCTTCAGACTCTGGTTGCTGCTGAGAGCAGAGCAGAGATCCCTGCAGGAAGCCGAGGTGAATTCGCAATTCCATAACCTGGAAAAAAAACCCAAACAGCTAGGATGGGAGGGGCTGCTGACTTGTTCCTTACTTGTAAATACAACTCCACAAAGCATGAGGGTGACAACAGTTCGGGAGAACTCGTGATATATTACAGGCAACCCCCAATTTGTGCCGGGGTTGCATCCCACATCTTCATGCGCGTCACCGTTGTTGTTGGAGTGCGCATGAGCCCCCCCGTTACACCCTCTTCCGGGTCTGAAAGTGGTGTGCACATCCGTGGTCACACACTGAGAGCTGCCTATACTCAAAGTGATCCAAACTTCTTAACTAGTCAAATTCATTGCACTTTCCTCATTGTGTTTCAGTGCTGTTATATTTGTTCTTAGAACAGAATTTGCTATGAAAAGCTACCTATTGAGAATTTCAGCTTTCAGGCTTTGTTGGGGTTTCGGGGGGTTGAAAAGAGAAAAGTTACTAGCCCTCACTCTTTGTTGGAAGGAAAAGCTTCATCATATTTCCATGTGCTTCTCACTGTTACCTTCTGTTAAGTATCCGCTGCTCATTTCCTGACAATATTTTTGTTTTTGAAAAACTGAATTATTCAAAAACAGATTTAAAAAACTGTGTAGATAGGAAGATTTCTTACTTACGACAAAATCTGAAGCTTGCAGCCAGGGTGTTTCAGCGCCTCACACAGCAGCCTCATTCCTGAATCTCCCAATGGATTGTTCCATACATCAATGTCTTCCAGCATCTGGTTTGTGCTGAGGGCAGAACAGATCTCTCCCCAACCTGCTGCTGTGATTTCAGTGCTACACAAGCTGCAGGACACAAGTGCACCTCGTGTGACCATGGGTTTCAGGAGGGGTAGAAGAGGGAGCCCCTGTGGTTTATGGTGAGACCGCCAAGACTGAATTGGGTGAGTGGAGGGAGTTTCCTTAGGAAAGACACCAAAAGGGCAGGAGATATTGGGCAGCTTTTAAAGAAGAAGTCCTGCTAGTGCAATGCGCCTTTCTCCTCTCTCCTTGCCTGGCACTCCCTCTGCAACACCCCCACCCCAAATTGGCTCAAGGAGAAGTTAAGAGAGCCTCCAGAGCAGGACGTGGAGGAAGAAGAAGGGGATCAGTCCATCTGGGAATCTGAAATGTGATTTCCACAGCGCTGTGTTGAATGCCTCCATGTATCATTGTGGTGGGATGGACCGTAGATTGGAGATGGGAGGGGAGGAATGGGGTGGGCAAGGGAAGAGGTAAAGTCCACTTAGAGGGATGGAAAACACAGGAGAAATTAGCCTGGAGTGGGGAAGGGCCTCCTTTGGCTAGGGCATGTGTACTTTTGCTATTAGGAAAGTGCACTTATAAAGACTATAAAAATGAAAACAAAAGAGAGAGAGGTATGAATGAATGGATGGATGGATGGATGGATGGATAAGGAGGGATTTTCCCCATGAAAACTACCGTATTTTTCGCTCTATAAGACGCACCAGACCATAAGATGCACCTAGTTTTTGGAGAAGGAAAACAAGAAAAAAAATATTCTGAATCCCAGAAGCTAAAACAGCAAGAAGGAGCGCTGCGCAGTGATCCCTCTCGCTGTTCTGGCTTCTGGGATAGCTGCAGAGCCTGCATTCACTCCATAAGACACGCACACATTTCCCCTTACTTTTTATGAGGAAAAAAGTGCATCTTATAGAGCGAAAAATACGGTAGATTCCTCATATGCAACAGAACATAATTCCGGACCCACAAGCACTGTGCTCATGATCTGAACCCGAAGGAACAGAGTTCTCCCTTACCACAATTTCTGCAACGTGCACTTTGGATGTTTCAGTCCCTCACACAGCAGCTGCACCCCGGAATCCCCAAGCTGGTTACCTCCCAGGAAGAGTTCGGTCAGCGTCTGGTTGCTGCTGAGGACAGAGGCAAGATCTGCACAGCAAGCAGCAGTGAGATCACAATTGTACAAGCTGCAGGAGAAAAAAAATTGGCTGTGTTATGTTCACACAAAAGCTAGAAGAGTCCCTCTGCATTCCTCCATCCCATTTGCAAGTTTGTACCGCATCTAATCACTCTGTACAACTGGATTCCGGCAGGGCATGGAAGAACAGGGTTTGAAGTGTAAAGACCCTTCTCCTGTTTCTTCAGATCACCTTGCAACTTTCTTCAAATACAAACAATTCCTGTTACATGCAGCAATATCCTGCAGCCCCTATGAAACAAACTGGATGACAAGGGCTTTCTTGGTCATGCCTCAGCTGACAGTAGCTGCTACTGAACCCATTCAATGAGCAAAAATGGGCTTCTATGTTCCTCAAAGAGTTTCCTGGAGGTGCAGAAACTTCTCACTCTGAAACTCAGGCAGAGAAGATGTGTAGTGACACTCTCAGTCAGGGGTAGGCAACCTAAGGCCCAGGGGCCGGATGTGGCCCAATCGCCTTCTCAATCCAGCCCGCAGATGGTCCGAGAATCAGCATGTTTTTACATGAGTAGAATGTGTCCTTATATTTAAAATGCATCTCTGGGTTGTTTGTGGGGGATAGGAATTTGTTCTTTTTTCCCCTTCCAAAATATAGTCTGGCCCACCACATGGTCTGAGGGACGGTGGACTGGCCCACGGCTGAAAAAGGTTGCTGACCCCTGCTCTCAGCACTTGATGGCAGGAAATGTAAACCAATTTTTTTGGTTGGGGTGGGGGTGAGGGACAACCTGTTAATACCCTATGAATAGTTAAGGTGAAGGAATCAAAATTTAGGAAGGGATCTTGGAATATTGTGATTCCGAACAGAAACAAGTGATGCCTCAACAGGCTTGACTGTACAAAAGGGTCGGTCTGGCTCCTGCTTGGGGTGCAGCACTTCTAGGGTCCCTTCACTCTCATGGGGGGGGGGCAACCTGGGCTCCAAAGATGCTATCCAACCCCAGAGGGATCCAGCCGATTACTTGCTTGAGGAGCTGCAGCTTGCAGTGCGGATGCTTCAGACCTCTGCACAGAAGCTTCACCCCTGGATCTCGAAGCTCGTTACATTCCACCACCAGCTCTGTCAGAGTCTGTCTGACTGCGAGAGCAGAAGAGAGATCTTCACAAGAAGCAGCTGTAATATTACATCGGGCCAGCCTGTGTGAGAAAGAAAAGATGAAAGAAAAACCTCTCCCGTTCACGTTTTCCTCCACAAACAGCTTCTGCTTGCTAGAAGACCCTGAAGCCTTTATTCCTAGCCACTGTCAGGATGAATGAGTCTTGAAGGACTCAAAGTAACATTGCAGCTGTGCAGGCACTCTGAGGAAGGATTTTGGTTTGTGTATGTGGTTTTGGTTCACTCACAAGCACACAGCCTGCTCCTATTCACACTCCTCTGTGTGGTCTCAATAGTCAATTAAAACTGACCAGACTTTGTTGTCTATTTCATGTTTCCAGGCCTGTCCTTCCAAATGCATGAGAAAGTTTATCTTTCATGTTCCTAAGAGCCAACACTCACCTCTGGGTCTTTTTCAACTATCTGACTCTACCTTCATTCCTGTGCTGCTGAATGGTGCAGAGGTACATGGGACTCACCTGGTGCAAGGGGATAGCAGCTTACACCAAGGGTGATGAACCGTTGGCTCTCTAGATGCTGGTGAACTACAACTCCCATCAGGCCCAGCAAACATGGCAAGGATGATGGGACTTGTAGTTCAGCAAGGATAGTTCCCTCCCTTCAACATAGAGCTAGGGTCCTTCCCTGCCCCAAGGCAAGTGCAGCAGCAATCAGTTCTGCTCAGTAAACCTAGATTCCCTTCAGGTTTTCATGCAGATCACCTTGTGCCATGTGTGCTGGGTTTGTGTGTACGAATCCCACTCTGTATGTGATGCAAAGGCTCTCAGAGCAACTCTGCCTTCTTCCTATGGTCACAGTCCTGCTGCCAGACATTTTAGGAGGGGTAGGAAATCAAGAGCAACAAGCAGGTGAAAACTGGTTGGCTCTGCCGGTCCATCCTCATTTGTGGGTGGGTGGAGAAAGAAGACAAGCATGTCAGTAAGCACAACAGATCCATGATGAGAAACCTGCAGGGAGACTACAGTGCCCATGACAAAGTGTGGCCCCCTAGAAGTGTCAGAAATGGCTGAGAGATCTGCAAAGCCAGCTGGATCAGCCACAGAGAGCAAGCAGCGTCTCTGAAGGCCCTCGGGAGTGCTGGGTCATGATCCATTTCCCCTCCTCCTTACCTTCAGGTTATTCCTCTCTTCTCTCTAGATTCCTTCCTTTGCCTTTCCTCTTCTGCTATGTTTATCAAGCAACTTTGAAATATATATATATATTGGGGGGGGGACTATGTTCATATTCTTTCTGATATTTTAAAGTATACAGCTATTTGTTCCTGCATGCAAATATATTAACCCTCTCCCCAATATGCTGGATCAAGGATGCTATAGTTGTGCAAAAGGGAATCACCTATTTTCATTTCCCTTGAGAGCATTCTGCAATACACCAAATCATGGAACTCCACAGCACAAATCCCAGCCGCTGCTCACCTCAGTTTTTGCAGCTTGCAGCTGGGCTGCTTCAGCCCCTCACAGAGCAGCCTCACTCCAGCATCTTCCAGTCCATTATATTCTAGTGCCAGTTCTGTCAATGTCTGGCTGGTGCTGAGAATGGAGCTGAAATCCCCACAACAGGCAGGGCTGAGCTCATTTGTGTCCAGTCTGCAAGAGAAAACAAACAGATCCAACAAGGTCAAACATGGCTCACTCACTTCTACAGGCCCCTTCTATTTCACCCTCTGATATTAAGAAGATATGTTGTGAAACAACAGCCCTTCCACTCTAAATCGCAGTGATCACGTCAGTGAATTTCTTCACTTTACAGCTGATGCAGCCTATAATTGGTGGGTGATGAAAGGAAGGCTGTCTGCCTCCATAGCTGAGCTGCATGTATACCGTGATCTGTGGATGGTTCTGATGTAAAACTCAGGTTGAGACCCTTCAGCCAGGGCCTCACCTATAACATGATATTCACTGCAGCAAAGGCTGGGCACATGCTCCCATTTACTCTGTGTCCAGTTAGCTGCAACCCACGATCCATATCTGTGCTGCAGTGATCCTATTAAAGGCTGTGTTTTGATGCATTTCCTCCCAAACCAGCTTCAACACGACTTGAGAAAAAGAGCCACCTGGCTGTGCTTTAAGATGGTTAAGGTGTACCTAGCCAAAGCCTCACTCTCCCAGTCCTCATCCATCATTGAGCTCTCAGCTCTGGTCCCAGAGAATTCTTTTAGGCACGTGAGAAATTATTCTGTCATGGAGGTGATAAGACCACAGCAGTAAAGGAGAAAGGGTGAGGATTCCTGATATGGAGAGCTGGTTTCGACATTCAGCTCACCTCCATCTGACCTCATCACCTACACGCCCTCCAAGGCACGGGTGGGGAACTGGCTCTGGCCAGGGAGCGGGATCCCATGCTGCTCCATCCCCACCCCAAAGGGTCAACCACCTGTCAGTCACCTGCTGTCAACAGAGTCCTCCTGTGCAGCCCTGATTGTTCAAACTGTACCTGCAAAGGAAGGCTTTTCCTTTGCTGCCAGAAAGTGCTAAATTCTGCCAGCGGCTAGAAATGAAGAAGCAGGAATGTGCTCCCGAGTCTCCCTTTTCAAACTGGCCAGTTCCGTGCCTGGTGTTATATATGGGATGGAGGAAACACCCGTGAGCCGGATGTTCACACACGGATTTTGCAATTGCAAGAGGTTTAGAAGAGGAGTCGAAAACTCTGACACTGAATGCACACCTGAACTTCCTGGTCAATCAAACATTTCCTAATACCTTTATGCAACTGTAGCTGAACAGAAGGTCCTCAATGGAAATTACATGGAGGCCAGTCTGAAGGTCTGTTCCTACAGACTGCTGGTTTACTCTGGTTCTGCTTTGCAGGTAAGAGGAAATAATAAGTGTTTGCGATATTGTCAGATTTTCATCCCTCCCTTTCAGGAAGGCAGGGTGGGTTATCCTTTGTTTTATCAAGAAGAATAAAGGCATGAATGATCCTACAGCTCTACAGAAACCAAGAGACCAGACTATGACGTCCAGCAGGACCCCTGATCTACCCAGGGCTCCTTGAAAGTAAGCTGTCCAAGGACTTCACACGGAAGGAATTTGGCTCCCACTTACAATAAAGTTTGCAGTACGCAGTTTGGATGTCTCAGTCCTTCAGACAACAGCTTCACTCCTGCATCTCCCACTTTGTTACATTCCAGGTTCAGCTTCATCAGAGTCCGGCTGGTACTTAGAACAGGGATGAGATCCTGACAACTGGCAGCTGAGAGATTGCAGCTGTCCAACCTGCATAGTGTGTGCAAAATTGTTATTACTTTCTTGGGGGGGGGCACTTGCTGAGCCTCTGCTTCTTTCATGCTTCAAGCTGCAACCAAGATAAGCTGCATCCCATTTGCACTGCAGTGCTCTCTCTCTCTCTCCTCCCCATGCCATATGCCAGAGTGGGTGTGGCCAAAGTAGAAATGTGGGAACAGTGAAGACTGCAGTCCTCAAGTTTGCTATCCCAAAGGCTTTCCTATCAGCTATTGTGGGCTATTTTCAATAACTGTGACCAATTAATTGCTATCCAGGTTGGGTCTGAGGGTGGCAGTTCACTTTTTTGCCATTATAGTAACACAGCAAAGTGCACACTTTTTTTAAATGGACAAATTAATTGTGGGGGGGGGGAGTCTTGGGGATCCCACAAAAAAACTTTGGGGATTGCAGCACCACAGTGGGTGATCTGCAAGACTTCTGATTTCTCTTTGTCCCCTCCCCAAAATCTGCTCTGGAAGGTTCAGAGCAGAATTTTGGGTGGTTGTGCAGTGCAAAACACGAAAGAAAAACACATGGCATGAGAAGACATCAACTCGTGCCATGATGATTCTCTTCCTAAATTTAAAAATAAAAAGTTCTGAGGCCTCAAACATTCAATCTTTTAAAAAGTAAGTGTGTGTTGGAGAGGACCACAAAACATGACCCTGGTTTAGACTACTGCGGGATGATCTGTGTGTGACTGCCCTTGAGGAACGTTCAGAAACCTTTCCTCATTCCCCGAGTTGGTGAGGCTCATTTGACAACAACGAAAAGCTGAGCCTTTAGCGTCACTGGCCCGATCCTATGGAACACCCTTTTAATAAAGATTCAGCAGGTAACTTCTGTGCCAACTTTTAAATGCCTGCGGGAAACTTTTCTATTCCACCAGGCCTATGCAGACAATTAAGAGTACATCCCCCCACAATGGACTGCTGATTTTTTTTTAATTTTTGCCTTTAACTTGCTATGATGTTATTGTTTGGTTTTATGTTTTATATTGTTGCAAATTACTATTATATATTTTTATGATACAGCAGTATAATAACTATTTTTTAAAGCAAAATTAAAACTGCAGCTGGTGCCGTTTTGAGCTTACGATTCCACCATTGCCTGATTCACCTTGGCCCCCAGTGTTATTTTTGAGTCCATCTTAAAGTGCTGGCTAAGACCTAAAAAAATTGGATCACCTGCATGGTAAGACCACCTGCTTATCAAAAAGCACTAGACCTGATCCACCAGCTCTGGGCTTTGGCAGTCTGACTCTGAAAGGGACAGCATGGTGCTCCTCACCCCAAGCTCTGCAGCTTGCAGTTCGGATGCTTCAACCCCTCACACAGCAGCTGAACTCCTTGATCTCCCAGTAAAAGATTCCAACCCAGTTCCAGCTCTGTCAGCTTCTGACTGGTACTGAAAACAGTGGAAAAGTCTCTGCCAGAAACAGAAGTCAGGCCACAGTCCCTCAGTCTGAAAGGTAAAAAAAGAGGTGAGTGGTTGAAAAAGCCTGAGATCGAGATGACATCACGTGGCTTCTCACCCTTCTTCTAAGACTCATGAAAAAGAAGGTGTGATCCAGCACTGGAGAACCTTGTGTCCTTTTCACTCCTTGGGGAGCACAGATCACATTAGGCCCACTTGCCTAACTAGGTATAGTGATCGTTGGTTTCACTGAGGATAGTTATGATTTAATTCATTGGGGAACTTAGTAATATCCATTTTCAAACAATGGTGCCTTTAATGTTGAAAGATGCTTTGGACTAAGATAAAAGTAAGTCAGATTACAACTGATTAAAAACACACACATACAGTATATACACACATATGTGGAGTTCTGAGAAATTCAGGTTAGGATCTGTGATGGCAGGAATTATAGAATATGGCAAACAATACCCAACATTATACATCACAGTGTGTATAAAGAAGGAATACACACAGATGCAGTGTGAATCAAGATACAGAAGAGGGACCACAAGAAAGGGAGATACTGACAGCACACACCTGAGAGATAGTGGGCCCTTAAGCTTCGTGTTCTAGTTTAAAATTTTGAAATCTCTCCAAAACAGTCTTTTGTCCAAGAGGGAGAAATTGTGCTGTGGTTGTTTTTTAAAACAGAAAAACCCCTGAGTAATTTTGCACACCTGAAGACAACTGACGTTGTGCACCCTCAATGCCTTTATGTTCCGCTGGTAATGCTTAGGCAGAAGAAGCATTTTTTCAGCTTACCCCAGTTTTTCTAGCATGCAGTTGGGATGAATCAGCCCTTCACATAGCAGCCTGGCTCCCGATTCCTTCAGAATGGCTGCCTGCAAGTCCAGTTCTACCAACTTCTGGCTTGTTGAGAGAACAGTGGAAAGATCTGCACAGCAACCGTCTGTGAGCTGGCATCCATTAAGCCTGCAAAATGGGACAGAAACAGCTCCACTAGCCAGCTCTTTCCCTGGGTATCCTTTGGATAAATCCTCATAAACATGGCTGATTCTTCTCCATCATCTCAATGATGCAGCAGATGTTGATTACGCACAGGCCACCTGAACGTGTGTAAAACATTCTGCATCCGGAGCTTTTCTTTTCTCCCTGTGTTTTTCTCCTTAGGTGGTTCAAAGCACAACAGCTTTTAATATTCCCACTAAATTAGCAAACTCTTTCTCTGGGATCCACGGAAATGCTCTGGGAAGTTGCCATAGGCAAATAGAAGGCATTTGAGAAGCATGGTAAAGACCAACAGATATGGGGAAATGGAACCCAGATGTAAATAACTGGCTTAAGAAGCAAGTGACTTCTAATTCTGTCCTGCATGGGAGGCTAAGCTGTGGCCCTTCGGATGTTGTTGGGCAGGAACTCTCATCATCCCTGACCCCTGGGGTCAGGCTTGCTGGGGCTGATGAGAGCTAAAATCCAGCAATATCCAGTGCGGCCACAGGTTCTCCTCTCCTACTGTACTGAAAACACACAGAGAGATGGACCTTCACATTAACAGCTACCTTGGCACTTGGGGTGTGTTGGTCCACCCAGTGGCGGAGGAAGCCACTCGGGCACCTGGGGCAGCGTGCCCAGAGGCAGGGCGAGCCACCCACAGGTGTGGGGCACACCACGGGGCCTCCGGAGTCTGCCTGCCTCCTCCCACTCAGCCACCTTACAGCTGGGGGGAGGCAGCGGGTGGATTGTTTGGGCAGCGCGGAGAGACACGTGGCTCAGGCACGCTGCAGTCCCCGCGGTGAATGCCGCCTGGCATTTTGTCACCCCCCTCAGTGGTGACACCCGGGGCGGCCCGCACCCACCTCACCCCCTTCCTCTCCCCCTGGGTCCACCTGGTCTTTCCAGCGGCCTTCTCTCCCCTCCTGCTAAGAGGAGCAACATTTTTGTTGGGTCTTGCTAGCCAAGCCAAAAAGAGTAGATGGCTGACCCCCCAAGCTTGGAGCCAGAGAATGTATGGGATCTCCATATAGTTGTGGGAATTATCTCCACCCACCTCCAAAGTCTAAGGTGGAGAGAAAGAATGATCACTGCTCATACCCACCAGAGCACCAGAGGTCTGTGGCACACGAGAATGGAGAAGCCCGACCCTCCTGACATGTGATGACTGACTTGTGAAGGAAACTCTGAAACACTTAATTGTTAGTAAAGTTGTACCTTGGTCTAAGAACAGTCCTGTTAATGAATGATTCGGGGAACAAAGTCTGCAAAACTGGAAGTAGGTGTTCCAGCTAGTGAACTTTGCCCTGTAAGCCAAACGGAAGCAAAATGGTGGAAGGGAACCGGTGGCGGGAAGCCTCATTAGGGAAAGTGCGCCTCGGTTTAAGAACGCTTTCGATGTAAGAACGGATGAATTAAGTTCGTAAACGGAGGTACCACTGTACCTTGCTTGTCGAGCGGCTTGGCTCCCGAACAAATCAACTCCCGAACGCCGCAAACCCGGACATAAGTGTTCCGGTTTGCGAACATTTTTCAAAAGCCGAACGTCTGACTTGGCTTCCACAGCTTCCGATTGAGTGCAGGAAGTTCCTGCAGCCAATCGGAAGCTTCACCTTGGTTTTTGAACAGCTTTGGGAGTCGAACGGACTCCCGGAATGGATTAAGTTCGAGAACCAAGGTACCACTGTATTAATTTAAGCTTTCCCTAAAGGGGGGCTGGGTGCAACTCTCACAGAATCAGTGAAGGCACCCCAAAGGTCATCTGTGTAGTTCAACCTCATGTAATGCAGGAATCATAAAGCTCAACATACATCTTGCCGACAGATCTGTTTCACACTTGATTATTTGAATATTGCCAGAGAAAGGAGCTGATGATGAGATCTAATATAGAGTCCTCCGTAGCCTCCCAAAACTTTCATGACCTCAGACATTTCCACTTGCCAGTTATTCAGCAAACCTCTGGCGATGTGGGGCTGCCCTGGGACCCATTCAGGCACTGCTGTGGAGATACCTGAACCTCAATAAGACACACATTAGCTGAGTGTGTCTGCTTCAATAGAGCCAAACAAGTAACAAGGCAGGGAAAACAGCTGTGACTTACTCCAGTTTCCTGATTTTGTTGTTTGGATCTTTCAGTGCTTGACAGAGAAGGTAAACTGCTGAACGCTCCTGTGTTTTCTGATCTGGCCTAAAAAGGTAGAAAAGTTCGTTATGTTCTGTTTTCTAATATAGAATGAGCATAATGGACAAAATATGCTTATTGGTTACGCTACCCTTTCTGTTTTGGGAGAGAAAAAAGCAGTTTTAGTGATTGCACTACAAACTTTAAACTGGTTTGAAAGAAGTTTAACTGTCGCTACTTCTTTCCAATAAATGTAGGAAGTTCTAGGTCTGTAAGTGTGGTGATCATTCTTCCTCAGAGAGCCCTAGGCCTTTTACGAAACTGCATTTCCCAAGGTGCTTAGGACAGTTAACTATACTGGCTGGGGCTGATGGGATTTGGAGTCCAAGAGCAGTATATCTGAAGGAGCATCTCAGTATACCTGAAGGCGTATACGTGAAGGAGCGTCTCCACCCCCATCATTCAGCCTGAGGTCCTCCTCCGAGGGCCTTCTGGTGGTTCCCTCACTGCGAGATGTGAGGTTACAGGGAACCAGGCAGATGTGGCGCCTGCCCTGTGGAACATCCTCCCATTAGATGTCGAGGAAATAAACAACGATTTGATTTTTAGAAGACACCTGAAGGCAGCCCTGTTTAGGGAAGTTTTTAATGTTTTATTTTGTTTTTAATGTTCTTTTGGGAGCCGCCCAGAGTGGCTGCGGAAACCCAGCCAGATGGGCAGGGATTTATTTATTTATTTTTATCCAGAGGACCCCAGGTACTCCCACCCCTGATCTACAGCTTAGCATAGACATAATCCAGATATAAAGGGGAGAAGAAAGAAGGATCTGCCAAAAAACAGAAAAAAGAAAGCAAAGAGCAGAAGTCTTGGTAATGCATATTATGAGAAGTAGGAAAGAAGAGGAATAAAAATCAGCTACATCAGTAATACATTTAAGAGTTTGGGTCCTACTTACTGACATGGATGACTGAGATGCCCTGGAAGTTCTTCTCCCTCAGGTTTCTTCGACAGAAACAAACTTCCGTACAGGCAAAGCGCCTCCAAGTGTAAACAGTTCTGGACACAGAAGGAGAGAACAGCTTGGTCCAGGGGAGTAAATGTCAATCTGCCCATAGTTACTTCAGTCAAATGGTCGAGAGCACATTGGGCAAATTCCTCTTCTTGGATTGCATACAAATAGTGAAACCTTTCCAGCGGGCAATAATTTGGATAATCTGACTTAATCTGTGTGTCCGTTTTAAACCAATCCAGCAAGCCACCATTAACTGCAGGTGAAATTTGCCACCCAAATTGTTCTTTCAGGTATTCCATTATTTCTCTGTTTAATAGGCTAAAGATGAATTGGGCAAATAAGGTCAAATCTCCTGGGTCTTTGCCACATCCTTCTAGCGAGAGTTCCAGATCTTGCTTCATAGTCTCAGGATTTTTGGGCGTGTCTTCCAAAACATAGAACAAGGCCGCAAGAAACTCTTGTACACTGAGGTGGAGGAACCTATAGAGACCTTCAGAACCAGGGTCTTTCTGAAAAAGAGCAGGAGGAAGAGAACCTAAGTGACCTGAACTTTGCTTCTGGATTTCTTCGGCCTTGAACAAGGTCTTGTTTTTCCTGATTCCATCAGCAGCCAGTGAGCAGAGCCCTCTCAGATTCCACTGCCCTGAGCTACTGCAGGGAGACTCAGTCAAACGGGAGAGATAAAGTGCATATACCGCAGTGAGTTTTTCAGACACTGGCACTAGATCTTCCTTGCCCCTGTCTAGCTGCTGTTTCATCACAGTGCAGAGGACCCAGCACAAATTGGGGACAAAGGATAGGGCAAAGAGTGCTTCATCCCCTTTAACGTAACTAAGAGCCTGTGTTGCTAATTTTTTATCTCCAAAGACCTTGAGGAAATACTCTTCTTTGCCCTCCTCAGAAAAACCCAAAAGTCTTATGCAGCGTTCAGACTGCAGGCAATTCCTGAGGCTTTCCAAAGAGGATGGCCTGGTAGTAATTAGCAGGCAGGCCTCTGGAAGAAGGGCTCTGTGAAATAATGCACTCAAGAGGACTCCCACCGGCTTCTTCTCCCTGGGATCAACGCTTGGGTTGTCTTCCTGGTGTTCGATGGAGCAAGTGAGTTCATGAAAGCCATCAATTATGAAGAGAAGCTTGACAGGGTTTTCTAGGAGTTCCATTATCTCTTCTCTCTCTCTAAGCTCAGGGTCACCGTTTAAAATCAAGTCAGCCAAGTCCGCCTGGACCTTAACGAGATTCAGTTGCCCACAACGGAGGTAGAAAAGGTAATCAAATCTCCCGGGAAAGAGTCTTCCAGCTGCCCAGTCTAGCAGGATCTTTCTGGCCAAGGTGGTTTTCCCAGTTCCAGCCCCTCCCAGGAGCACCACAGTCTGTGGTCCATCGTTGTCAACCTCAAACAAGGCCTCGGTGGGAACAGCAACCATTTGCTCTGACATGATCCCAGAATGTCTCCATGGTCTGTGCAGTATTTCAGTCTCTCGTCTATCTCCATTTGCAATAATTAGTTGCTCATATTTTTCATTGGGAGGCCCATAGACCCCATGGCTGGCCAGCCTTCTTTCAGGGCTTTGGTATTTCTCTCTAATATGTTCTCTGTATTTCTCCCTGTAATCTAATTCAGACATTATTTGTCATTAGGCATACTTTATTAATTCTGAATGAAACTGAGCAAGCATCATTGTGGATTGCAAAAAAAAAAAAACAATTACAGTGGTGCCCCGCAAGACGAATGCCTCGCAAGACGGAAAACCCGCTAGACGAAAGGGTTTTCTGTTTTCAATGCGCTTCGCAGCACGAATTTCCCTATGGGCTTGCTTCGCAAGACGAAAATGTCTTGCGAGTCTTGAGATTTTTTTTTCGCCCCCCCCTTTTCTAAGCCGCTAAGCCTTTAATAGCCGCTAAACCGCTAATAGCGCTAATCCGCTAAGCCGCTAATAGGGTTGCTTCGCAAGACGAAAAAACCGCTAGACGAAGAGACTCGCAGAACGGATTAATTTCGTCTTGCGAGGCACCACTGTACGCTTTTGGTGTATTTGACAGGCTTTCTGAAATATATTTGGCAAAATGATACAAAAGCTGGGTGAGTTCACGTATTTTTTACATGGTTCCTTTCCAGAACCAGCTCCCCATGCTGGGAAATGTTAACACGTGAACTGATTCACAGAGAAAGTATTTTTGACAGAGAAAAGTTCTGTTTGAATTAAGACCTGTGACAGCGGTTTACTAGCTGCAAACCTGTGCACATTTACGTGGGACTAAGTCCCACTGAACTCAGGACTTCTAAGCAATCTGCATAGGCCGGCACTGTACGAAATCCTACTGTACAATATCCTACTTCAGACACCACCCTTGTCTTGCTCCAACACTCCTCCTTTCAGTTGTCCTTAAAAATCCACTTCCTGGAATCCAAAGAAACTTCCTTATCACATTAAGTAAGATTTTGAATCACAGCAAATGCTCCCATTTTCAGACAAATGGCAGGTTGCCTGTAAAGTCCCTCCGTCTGAAAGCAGAGATGAGCACTGCACCCCAAAGTCGAATTCGACTGGACTTAACTGTCCAGGGGTTCTTTACCTTAAATCCCCCCTTTTTTTGCAACTCCAAAATTAACAAAATAACTGCAATACTGCTCACAATTTGGTTACTTCAAAACTCACCAAAGTCCACCCGATTTCAATTAAGCAACCTGAACTAATCTGAACAGGATTGCAAGCAAAACGATCCTGGCTTACCTGACTGCATTGGTGGTGTCATTTATGAACATGAAAGAGAAAACGAACAAAACCAGGATACTACTGCCTCTGGAACACAAAAGGGCAATTTCTTCTCAGTCTTAAGATCCAATACAATCTCTACAGTGCAGACGGCCCTTTGTACGTCATCAGTTTCTGTTTAAGTTTAAATGCATTCAGCAACAAGGAAGTATCCCGAGGAAAAAGGTGGAGAGAAATGGATTTGTCCTCGGGTTCCGGTAATCTTACACTGAAAGTCCACCCTCTGCTGGTGGAAGTCAGTATTAGTGTGACCAGACCAGACCAGACCAGAAAAATGAGATAGCCAAAAAATCAAGGTATGTGGTTGCATGACAACCTGCAGAAGAGCCATGTAATCAGTTTTGAGAACCTTTTTGTGTAGTGGAAGAGCAGATTTTAACTTAATATTTTAACTCTGGACAGTGGAACTGGCTCCCTCAGAAGGTGGTGGCCTCTTTTTCCTTGGAAGTTTAAAAGCAGATGTTTGATGGTCAATATCCAGATACTAGTCAAGATCGATTAAATGTTGTTTACTTGAAAGGCATAGTTTGTGGAAACATGCCCTTCGCAGGCAGTGGAGAAATGTTACACTGAACACAGGAAAAAAAGCATTCACTTCATACTTCACATGGAAGCAATGCATTGACTATTCAGCCTTGTCAGATTTTCACACAGCATAGCAACAGGGCATCAGCTTTTTGCCTTATTCTCCTTGCCTTCACCAGTGCCCACTGCTTAATAAGCATGCCTCCGCTTCTACTGCCTGCCCAGCTACAGTGGTGCCCCGCAAGACGAATGCCTCGCAAGACGGAAAACCCGCTAGACGAAAGGGTTTTCCGTTTTTGAGTTGCTTCGCAGGACGAATTTCCCTATGGGCTTGCTTCGCAAGACGAAAATGTCTTGCGAGTCTTGAGATTTTTTTTCGCTCCCCCCCCCTTTTTCTAAGCCGCTAAGCCTTTAATAGCCTTTTAGCAGCTAATCTGCTAAGCCGATAAGCCTTTAATAGCCGCTAAACCGCTAATAGCGCTAATCCGCTAATAGGGTTGCTTCGCAAGACGAAAAAACTGCTAGACGAAGACACTCGCGGAACGGATTAATTTCGTCTTGCGAGGCACCACTGTACGTAATTTTGCCCACTCTCAAGTGTTTGGCTGCATTACCTAGAACCCTTTTCAACATACACTGGCATTCTCCATGTTCTTCAAAACGTTTTTTCCATGGCAAGGGCATGCAAGCAGATAGCTAAGAGCACACTTTAAAAATAATAATAATAATAAATCCCCACCTAAGCAGTGCACACAAGCCAAGGCAATTGTAAATTCTTAGCACACAGGCTTGCATTTTTCTGATTTAGTGCAAATCTAAGAGATTAATAAATTAATTTTTTTTAAACCTACATAAGCTATGTTCATTCCCCTGTGAGAAGCGTGGCTGAAAAAGAAATGAAAGCACTGAAGAGGTATTGGGTGGGGACGTAGCAAGGGGAATAGCAAAAAGTGACAATTGATCTCCCCACCCAAAACCTCCACAACAATTTGTCTGCAACCCCAAGTGGAGAGGTCCCCCCCCCCAATTTTTAATCAGATTCTACCCACGTTAGGTAAACTAGAATTAAGAAGGGAGAAGTCTCAAGATGGTGTTGTTTGATGGTAACATCACGTGGACAGTGCAAGCTAAATGAGAGTGCAAACTGCAGCAAGCACACAGGAAACACTGGTGTAGACAAACCTTAAGCATCTCATTGGAAAGTATCCCAATGTTTAAATAAATGGGAGGGGACCCAACATTTCTAACTCCAGTATGTAATTTTCTATGGTCTATTCACACATAAAATCACTGATTGGTGATGATGTTTGTGGTACATGGTAAGCAGCCATTGATGAACGGTTGCAGTAGCATTGTAACTACTGCACAACTGGCTACTTTTAAATAATGGTGTGTGATACTCTCTCTCTCTCTCTCTCTATTTAGCCTACCTTTACCACTAAAGGGCTTTAAAACCACTTACGACACATAAAAACAGATAAAATCCAACACAGCATTAGAATTACCAAATAAAAATAAAAACTCACAAACAGCAAATGCAATACAGCGTTCAAATAACAATAAAGAATCAGACCAAAAAGAATACCCAAGACCAAAGGCCCAGTGAAATAAGCCAGGCTTTGTAGCTGAATGAAAAGGCTAGGGGCCATAAAAACCTCCAAAGTCATTTTACAACCTGGTTGCCACCACTGTAAAGGCCCTGCGTCAAATCTTTATCAAACCTATACAGTGGTACCTCGGGTTACATACGCTTCAGGTTACAGACTCCGCTAACGCAGAAATAGTACCTTGGGTTAAGAACTTTGCTTCAGGATGAGAACAGAAATCGTGCTCCAGCGGCGTGGCAGCAGCAGGAAGCCCCATTAGCTAAATTGGTGCTTCAGGTTAAGAACAGTTTCAGGTTAAGAACGGACCTCCGGAACGAATTAAGTACTTAACCTGAGGTACCACTGTACAGCTCTGATGGCAGTGAGACACAAAGAAATGTGGGTAAGTTATAGGGCAGAACGACACCTTTAGACTGCAAGGATGTTAATGGTATGGGGTTTTACAGCCCTAACAACCTTTTTTTTTCTGTATACAACCAACAAGTTGATTCTATTTGCTTCCTGGAATTTATATACTGCTTTACGGTTTCGGGGGGGGGGGGATTCCAAAACTTAAAAGTGGTTAATTTGCTCCCAGGGACAAAACTAGAATTATTGCCCCCAAAAATGCAATAATCTCATATGAACTATATAACGGGCACCCACAAGCAGCCTGCAGAAACTTGCATCTCAAATTTATTTCCCCTTCAAAGTAAAGCTTGGTTGGGTTGGTGACTTTTGGCTGCCATTTCTCAACAATGATATCTTTTTGATAAAAGTATTTAATTGCCAGAATTACTGGGTGGAATTTAACCTTGTGCTCTTCCTGTTTATCCATTTGCACAAACATTCCTGCCTGCCAGATGGAAGTCTCCCCTCCTCCCCCTCAAGACTATTCCAGTTTCTCTCCAAAAAAAAACAAACCCCAAACCAATTTCAGTGGGGTGGAGGTGTACAGAGGACTCAAGGAAGGAGGAGTTCTTGCATAATGAAATATATAATGCATATTATTGTATAATAAAATAAAAGGGGGGGAGAGAAAGCCACACTGTGCAAGTGAAAGTCTTTGTGCAGGTCTTCTGCCAACAGAACCAATTAGGTGAATCCTGCCCATAGTTTTCTTAATCTTCACTTCTTTCATCACCACTCGGGTATGCCAATACGTTCTCCATTCAACCTGTAATCGAAAATCGCATTTAATTTTCCAGTATTGAGAAAGGACAAGTTCTTGGTCAAGTTCTAGTTACTGCTAGAAATAAGTTCTAGTTATTGCTAGAAATAAGGCCCCAGGTGTTTCATCCTAAAACACAAAATGCCTGGTTGTTCTATATACAAACTAAAAACCCATCTTTTAATATTCTTTTCTATAACATTTGCGGAAGGATAGTAAGCCTGCGCAGCCTAAACAATGGTTTATTTTCCTATTTTAAGCACAAATTTGAATTGCCGCTAAAGCTTTAGGCTCCAATCCTATGTATTAGCATTTGCCAACCTGGTGCACTACTTTGGGGGGAAGGGGCCCTCTACTCGCATAATCGGACACAAATTTGCATATGACATACAACATATGCAAATCTGTGTCCTCTTTTGCTACCAAAGGGCCTGATCTACTGAAAAATGTATTGGACTGAGAAAATTGTATTGACACTCCTGCATGTGCTCTTCTGGTATAGTGCCTTAAACCTAAAGCTGGACAGACCACCAGAAGTATTAAAACAAGGCCAGATTCTTTTAAAAATAACCCATCCTGCTGGAATATATGGCTCAGGGGTAAGAGTAACACCTAGACCCAATCCCCTAGAGGCCACACTCTGACATGACAGATTTCCCCTACAAGAAATCCCACATTCTGGTAGAATTGCAATTTCCTTAAGTGCCCAATCATTATGAGGCACGATTTCAAAATGGCTGCCGGAAATAACTCACCACAGTCCCTGCCGTCTTCTCCTTCCATGTTGCAGTGCATTTCTGAACTGATCCTTGCCAGAGGCTCCCAGGACGTCATAGCTGACATGCAGTCTGGTCAGTGACTGGTTTGTAGTCAGGGCAGCACAGAGGTTCTCACAAGCAGCAGGTGTCTTGCCGCACCCATGCAGCCTACACAATGTAAGGACAAATCCCCAGTGACATCCTTCATTCTCACTGTCATAGCTTCAAAATGCCTGGCACTAAATAACTGAATAAATAATCCAAAACCTGAAGCGCAGGGAGATTCTTTCACAGCAACTATCTTCCTCAGGACCAGGCAGCTGCTGTTAGGATCTCCACAACCCTCACCAGCCTCTCATCGTTTTAATGAAGGGCAACAGGAATGGTACTGGGGCATATGAGCTGTCCTGCCATTATGACAGGATTCAAAAGATCTAACCATTTATGTGATCACTTCCCTTCGCCTGCTCAGATTATCTACTGCTGGCTTAGCCAAGGGCCCCATTCCATTATGGACAACTTTCTGAGGGCCACAAACCAGTGGTGGGCAGGGCTAGATGTAAATATGGACAGAGCAATGGATGTGAATCTTACTTTTGCATATAGTGAGCTACATCCCACTGATGCCAAAGCCAGTAGTTTACACACACACACACACACACACACACACACACACACACACTTCTCCATTCTCCTTCCAAGGAAGGAAGAGGTGTTTCACTGTTCAAGGACACATTCCAACTGGCAAAAGTACTCAAAGGGAGTATGGCGTGGGAAAGAGTATGGCCTGATCTGGAGAGAGTCCCAAAAGCCAAATGACTGGAGAGTCTCATTCAGTCCTTGGGACTGCGGTTGCCCAACCCTGATGTACGACTTCTCCTGAAAAACCACACATGGCAGCCTTCTCCCCATAGCAAGGATAAGAGGCAAGGGGATTGGTTTTTAAACTTGCATGTGAGGCGCAAAGAGGGATCGATTGTCACAGCCACGTGGTCAAGCCATTGGGTAATACTGTCACTCTCTGCTTTGCACAGGATGTTGGGGAAGCGTTTCCCCTGGAATTTACAGAAGATCTACTTTAAATATTATCTACAATTACCTCCAAGCAGAAACTAGGTAAGGCAGGCTGTTTTATGAAGAGTGCTGGCAGACTGACAAACTGGGGCACATGTGTGTTTGTTTTCTTAATATGACAAATCCATACACAGTAACACAACTATTTTTAAAATGCAGTTGATACTGAGTCCTCATTTTTAACAACTGTTGCAGCACCCTGACAAATGAAAACAAGCACAGATTAAAGAGAGTGTTGTGCTTCTGCAAAGGAGCTGGTGACCTACTCTAGAATCTCCAGTTTACAGTCTGGGTGTTTTAGTCCCTCGCAGAGCAGCTCCACTCCCTTGTCTTCGATTTCATTCCAAGCCAGATCCAGTTCTATCAGTGTCTGGCTCTCCCTCAGGACTTCGGCAAGATCCCCGCCACAAGCTTGTGTAAAAGAGCAGTGGGACAACCTGCACGGAACAGAAACAAGAGTTATCAGGATGGAGGAGTTATAAACATGACATCAAGAACAACAGTGACCTGTCGGACTTACACAATTTGCGAAGCTTCAACTAAAATGGGTTCTCTTTGGTCACCCACAGTTTAAAACTAAGTAAAAAGGGAAAACATTTTTGCAATTCATACTGGTGGCTCATGAATGGTGTGATCTATTTGCACCCAAAGGCCTTAGGTGGTAGGTGGGTGCTCAGAGATCACATGGCCATGAGTGTGGCGGGTGGTGGGTTTGGCTAGAACTGGGCAGATTCACTGACATACAAACACACTCAGTAGATATCCTGATGGCTGATCAGTTGGGCATTAGCGAAAGGTTGTCAGCAGTGATGGATTCCCAAATAGACAGAGAAGGCACCAACCTTTTAGGGGGCCCGCAACAACGGTTCAAAATAATATTGATTTCGTTTTGAAAGAAAATTCCAAAAACATGTTAGGAGATAATTTGTGAGGGAGGCCCCAAGATTTTGAATACCTAGGGGCCTCCACAGGGTTTAATCTGGCACAGGTTGCCCGGGCTAACCTAGAGAGCAGCCAAGGGGTCACACAGGCCTATCATAGAATCTCAACTAAAGAATCCATGACTTATGGCCATCCAACCTCTGCTTAAAAACCTCCAAGTAAGGAAAGTCCACCTGTGCTTCAGAGGGTTAAATAGGTAACACAGTCCCACCTCCCGCCCCACAAGTTTGGCAATCTTTAGAACAAGTATTTCGCTTTCAAAACAAAAAGGAAACAATATTCCACTATTAGAGGTTACCGCCCACACACTTCTGCTGCGCTTTCTGCTTGTGTGGTGGCACCTCAGCAAAACCACTTCTTACTGTTTTCCCGAGGCAGAGGACAAGAATAGGAGTCATACTCAAATTCACAGTCAAGAGCTTCTTTATTGCTTGACTGGTTGCACAAGCATTTCTGTTATCATTATTATAAACTATTTACATTCCTTCTTTATCTCTCCAGCATGGTATAATCTCAGTCCAGTAATTAACAACCCTGATACAACAAAACTCACAGTATCAGCAGCATACATTGTCCTACTTCCAACCTTGTTGTTAGCGTGCGTGGTGTGTGTGTGTGTGTGTGTGTGCGCTTTCCTCATGCAGAAATTGCAGCCTGCAACTTCCTCCCTTTATTTGCACCTCCAGCTGACACCAATCAAACCTAGAGTGCCACTCCTACACACTAAAGAAAGTTCTGGAACCCTCTTTAAAGCTTCTAGGAACTTTTATCTGTTTCTTAAAGAATGTTTTCGTAACATCCAATTGGTTTTTCTAACATCCATTTCCTGTTGCTGGACTGCCATTTCCAGATTCTAGACTTGTGGATTTAACATAACCCATACTTGCCTGGCTTTGAGCTTTGGTCAGTTTAACATGGACCCAATTAGATCATACAAGCCACTCAGAGCGGCAATCTGTCAAGATTCTTTGTTCTACTGTATTTTTAACATTTTGTTGGAAGCCGCCCAGAATGGCTGGGGAAACCCAGCCAAATGGGAGGGGTATAAATAATAATCATTATAAATGATTACTTTTACTCACTTGGATGTATAATAGTCTCACTTGCAAATAGTGTAAAAAGAAATCAAGAATATCTATATAGATTTGCTGTTGAACGTATGACATGTGCCCCAACAGCAATGCGAGGGGCATTAATTTCCCATTAGCTTAACTCCTGATAGTCTTTGTCTGCCAATAGGTATCACCATGATCACTCCATTTTGCATGACAAAAATGCTGCATTTATTACACTTTACACTGCATTGCATATTTTCACATGCTCACACAAGTACTCACCTCAAACTCTGCAGCTTGCAGTCTGGATGTTTTAGCCCTTCACATAGTAGCTTCACCCCTGAATCACCTAATGCATTCCAAGTTAAATCTAATTTTCTTAAGGTCTGGTTGGTAATGAGAGCAGAAGACAAAGCCTTGCAACAATCTGCTGTCAGACAGCAAGCAAACAACCTAAATCAAACAGAAGGGGGAAAAAAACAAAAAAAACCACAACAACACATTTTCCAATTATGATATAATCACTTCTGAATTTCCCTAATGCTGAATCCTTCGAGCCAATTTACGTACCAGCAGACAATGTCTGTAAACTATGATATCATTTGTTAAATACTGTCTAACTGTTTTGCAACTATTGTGCTGGAATATTAGCTCTACATTTCTGAGAATCTGGAGCAAGATTACTTTTTAAATGTGTTTGGAGATGCCCCATACATATTTCAGGGTACCAACAGCTGTTTTATTTATTAAAGGAGGTTATGATTCTCTGAATGATCAGGTAGTGGCTGCTGTTGAGATAGAGGAAGGTTCAGGGGTATCTGTTACAGGTCTTCAATCCCACTATTATTCTTTCAGCTCTTTCATAAACTAAAAAGTCTCAAATATAGCAACTCTCCTTCACTGAGTCGTTCCAGCCACTTGATTATTTTGTCCTCCTCTGCACCCGCTCCAGCTCTGCAAGATCCATTTTGAGGTATGGCAACCAGAACTATACATAGTGTTTCAAGTGTGATTGCAGCAGAAATCTGTATAAAGGAATTAAGATTCCGACAGTCATATTTTCAACCCCCTTCCTAATGATCTCCAGCACAGAATTCACCTTTTTTACAGGTGCTGCACAATGAGTCAACAAACTTCATCAAGCTATCCATCATGGCCTCAAGATCTTTTTGGTGGTAGAAAAAAAATCTAGCAAATATCTCCATGTCCTTCTCTCTGTTACACTTTTGATAACCCTTTTCTTGGCAACGTATCCCACATTACATAGAAACCTACAGGGGAAAAAACCCCTGTAGAACGGAAGTATAATTGTAGATATTCTTTTTATCATTATTGGAAGAAGCCCTTCGCACAATGCATTCCAAGAGGCAGATTTCATACTTACGACAAAACCTCAAGCTTGCAGTTTGGATGTTTCAAGCCTTCACACAGCAGCCTCACTTCTGAATCTCCCAGTTTATTATCTCGTAAATCTACTTGTTTCAGCATCTGGTTTGTGGCAAGGACAGAAGACAGATCTCCACAACTTGTGATGCTACACTTAATCAACCTGCAAGGCGGAAACATAGCTCGTTCCAGCAGCACACACCATATATGGTAAAGATGGAAGGATGAAACATGGAATGGCTCTGGAACAGACTCAAACTACCTGCGACAGGAAGATGTTTGGCTAATGGTGGCCACATGCATCTCCCTGATGTAGCCTGGGGAAACACATGGCATGTTGTCATGGCGTCAGTGTTCCACTGTCTCCTACATGCAGCAAGAAGTAATAATAATAATAATAATTTATTATTTATACCCCGCCCATCTGGCTGGGTTTCCCCAGCCACTCTGGGCGGCTTCCAAAAGAATATTAAAATACTGTGATACATCAAACATTAAAAGCTTCCCTAAACAGGGCTGCCTTCAGATGTCTTCTAAAAGTCTGGTAGTTGTTGTTCTCTTTGACATCTGGTGGGAGGGCGTTCCACAGGGAGGGCGCCACTACCGAGAAGGCCCTCTGCCTGGTTCCCTGTAACTTGGCTTCTCGCAGTGAGGGAACCGCCAGAAGGCCCTCGGTGCTGGACCTCATTGTTAAAACCGTGTTTATGGAAGACAATCTTCCTTGGCTACGAGTGATCGCCAAAAAAAGAACTGGACATATTCAGACTGACACACGCAGAGAAAAGGAAAATAATCAGAACACCTTATTTGAAATCCTAGAAAAAGTTAGAAACGGCATTAACATGAATAGTACTCGCTAAAAAATGCAGCTGTTATCTTAATGATTAATACACTAACTGAAATGTAATTAGAAGTTGATAAAAAAATGAACCACAGCAATATAAGAACTGGACAAAAAACACTGATCAAGGAATGCGGGGAAACACTTTGCTTAAATTGTATAAATTTGGAATTAATTGGAACTATTTTGATATTAATTGGTATCTGTATAATTGGCAAAACTGTGGTAATATTGGGTAAATATTGGAAAATTAATACAAATTTATATTTTAAAAAAATAATCCAAGTGTGCCCACTGCCTCCCCCCCCCCAAGTTGAAAACTCCTGCATGAAGCATTCAGTTGAGTGAACTGCACCAGTCATACTTACTGTAGGTTCTCTAATTTACAAGCTGGATCCTTTAGTCCCATACACAGCAACATCATTCCAATGTTCCACACTTTATTGAAACGCAGATCTAACTCTCTCAGCGTCTGGCTTGTACGCAGAACTTTGGCGAAACCCCAACAAGCAGTTCCTGAGAAAGAACAGTTGGATAACCTGCAGAGGACAGCAAAAGAAAAAACAAGAATACTCCTGGATAAGTTGTGAATAGAATTTCAAAAACAAGAACAATCAGATTGGAAGGGACCAGAAGAACCATCTAATCCAAGCCCCTGCAATGCAGGAAACACTGAACATGATTTTTTTTTTAAAAAAAGCAAGCAAAATAAGTGAAGGGTTTTGCACAATGGGTCAGAAAGGACAGTGGGGTGGTTTTCTGGTTGCCAAATTCCCAGGTCCAAATGAGGCCAGTGCGGATCTGCCATGAGAATGGCCCCTTACACCCCTTGGTGTGTATTTTATTTTGTTGAGTTCTTACTTTCTCAACAGTTTACATTATTAGGGCAGCCTTAAAAACTTAACATTTGTTTCTTTGCCAACATTTCTCATTTCCCCAAACATTCTCCAAAAAGACACAAGAACAAGAGAAAGGGAAGTTTTGTAGGCAGAAACAAATAAAAACTCAAATAAACACACATTTAGTTCGAAACTGGAGTAAACATTTTCTTTTTTGATGTTAAATAAGGACTAGCAGATCCAAACCATGTGAGAATAAGGAACTTAAAGTGAGCTTTATATGGGGAACAAGCTGACTACTGGCGAGGTGGTTAGGCTTTGAAAGGGTTGTCAATACAACAGTGTATGTGACTGCAAAAATCTGGTTGGTTTTCCAGGTGCACAATTATTTCATTGTTGTTCTGCTTGTTAACACTCACACGAGCTTCTGCAGCCTGCAGTTAGGATGTTTTAAACCTTCAGTAAGTTGACGGATTCCAAAATTTCCTAGTGCATTGTCTGATAAATCCAGATCTGTCAGGGTCTGCTTGGTACAGAGCACAGAGGACAGGTCCTCACAACATGCTCCTGTCAGTCCACAGCTATATAACCTACAGCAAACAGAAATACAAGTACGAAAATAAAATGTGTTTATGCATCTATCCCCATCTTTTCCTTTCCCCATTGCCATCTCCTAAGATATTCTGGTCGCCTTGGCGCTGGCAAAGTGCCAGTGGAATTCCTCAGAGGGGAAAGCTGTATGTACATATGACTACATCCCACATTTCCACACCTTCCGTCACAACAACGAAAGTTGGCTAACAAAGCTGTCATGTTCCTTTCTGACCCTCTGCTCCACAAATACTGTTTCATCTGCATCTCTGATGTCAAGAGTAGGGCTGGGCAGACTTCCGGGGTGGCGCCACCGGCAATGGCGGACTCCCTCTGAACTGGAGGGACTAGCTCCACGGAAAACGGGTCTTCTCCGCTACGGCGAAGCGGGGACCCACTTAAAAATCACAGGCGGATGAAGCCTGTGACCATGGGACTCGGCGGGCACCTTTAGCGCCCCCCCAACCCGCTTAGGAACCCACTAACGGGCTCCGAAGTGAAGAGGGGGAAGTGGCGCGGTGCTGTGAGTCAACTGCTATTTCCATGGAGCGAAGCCGCATAGCTGTTGCCGGAGAGCGCTGCCTTTTTCCTGGGACAATCTGGACTTTAAAATAAGCACCCGTGAGTACTTAGACTTTGAACAATTGGACATCAAATAAGGACTTGCGAGTAGGAAAGAATCGGACTTTAAAAAATTTACTTGAATTTGGTACGGAATGGGAAGGTCTAAACAGGAAGTCATCTTTCCGTTCTTTTGTAAACAGAATAAAGCAAAGGCAATTTAAACTAGAGCTCAGGAAATCGCTTTTAAAAGATTGGATTTCACCATTTAAAATTGTGGAACCCCCCTTCGACAGCAGGAGAAGGGGGAGATCTTTTTGGACTGTTTCAAGTGACTTTAAAGTGAAGTAACTTTCCTCCGTCCTGATCCTGGAGCGGGCTGTCAGGACTGACGTGTGAAGTTCATTAACCAAAGACAAGTGTTTTTGACAGATGGCTAAAAGAAGAGAAACCTAGTGATTCCACTGTTCCCTTTCACATTTTAAAGGATTATATATGGACAAAGTATCTTAAAAAAGGAAACTTTGTTGCAAGAATAAATAGAAGTCTTCCCCCTAGGGGGAGTCTGTGAAATTGTAACTGTGAAACTGTTACAATTGTAACTGTGAAACTGTGAGACTCCAGGGAGTCGACAGCTGTTACAGATTACAACCGTGGGAACAAGTATCTGACCTTGTAGGACAATGTATTCAGAAGCCTTGTTGTATGCTCTCTATAAAACAAACGATCTACTGGAACAATTACACGAGAAGGTGAATTGGATGGCGACTTCGACTAGAAATTTTGAACAGGCAGTGGGAAACTTTGAACAGACAGTGGGAAAATATGTGGAGCCCACTCAGGATTTAAATCAGGAGTGTGTCTTGACAGAACAGGAGTTTTTGACATTAAATCAGGAGTGTGTTTTGACAGAACAGGCCCAACAGGAATATGATTTCATGGATTTGACAAATGAACTTGGAAAAAGCCATATCTGGAAAGGAAAAGTTTGGCTTGGTTTGGAAATGGGGGGCTGGATTGACCTCCCTATGCTGGGATGTTTGGACTTTTCAAATATGGCAACGGGCCGTGAGATGTTTGGGACTGTGGGGGCTCTCAATTTTGGAGGGCCTTTGAAACATGCTTTTAAATACTACATGGAATTCATTGTTGAACATGGAAAAGGGGCTGATCTGTTGAGAAGGGTTAAAAACATTGTCAAGCTGGAGTTACCTCGAGCAGGAGACAAGGGAAAATACAGTTACAAATATGAAGAAGAGCCGCGGAAGGGTCATGGAAGAGACTTGAGGGCCTCGGACATAAGGTTGCCAGGTTAATGGGCTAGATTGACGGGAATAAGGACTGACAAAACCTGGAACCAGGAGGAAGGGACGCTGGATGAAGATTGGACCTGTTTATACCTATTTTTTTAACCATTAGAACTGTTTTATAAAATTGATGAATGATAGAAGAATGTTGGAATGAAATTACTTGGCTTTAGCAAAGATGTTTAAAGAATTATGAAAGAATGTTATGATTATGAGAAGTTGGTAAGGATAAGATTTAAGTTTTAAGTTTTAAGGTTTATTCTATTATAGAAAGATAAGGTCAAGGATTTGCTGGGATAATTAATAACTAGGATACAAAGAAAGGGAGGAGGAGGAGGTCTAAGAAAGAAGGTAATGACAGTTAAGGATTTGAAAATAATGAATTTGTTTTTAAATGTTTTAAAAGTTTTTTGATTTTTGCATTCTTCTTTTTTTCTTTTTTTCTGTCATTTTTTCTCATTTGGAATTTTTTTGTATATGGTGGGAAGGGGTTGGTTGTTTTTTTTTCTTTCTTTTTCTATTTTGTCAATTATTTTTATCCTTTGTACTCTCTTCTGCTTCTATTTTACTTTTTCTCTTTTTTGTAACATTTTGAAAATCTCAATAAATATCTTTTTTTTTAAAAAAGAGTAGGGCTGGGCAATATCTGGTTTTCAACATCGTAATATACCACCAACTAACCATCAGTGATATATCATGATATCTGAAATAATATTGAAAAAGGCTGAAAAAGTGGTGGGGCTGTGGAGTGCCTAGGAGAAAATGAAGAAGGTTGCCTGCTTGCTGGGCAAAGGCGCTCCTGCCCACCCCCTCCCCACAGCTTGGAGCCTGAGAAGGTGGAGGAAAGACAGCCTGTCCCACTTGCTCAGGCAAAGGCAAATGTGCAGACAGGCAGATGGGAGAGCAGGCAATTGAGCTGGCAATACAGTGGTATCTCGGGTTACAGACGCTTCAGGTTACAGACTCCGCTAACCCAGAAATAGTACCTTGGATTAAGAACTTTGCTTCAGGATGAGAATAGAAATCGCGCGGCAGCAGCAGGAGGCCCCATTAGCTAAAGTGGTGCCTCAGGTTAATAACAGTTTAAGGTTAAGAACGAACCTCCAGAACGAATTAAGTTCTTAACCCGAGGTACTATTGTACACTGCAGCTTCCCGGCTGCTGCCAGTACAGCACAGGCAGATGGAAGTGAAATGCACTATGCTGGTGGCGGCCAGGGAGCCGTGATGTATTGCCAGCTCAAAAAGTCTGAAACGGGTATCACAATCTGAACTTCATATCAGTTTCAGATGATGAATTGAAATATCACCCAGCTCTACTCAAGAGGGTTAGCGGACAGAGATGGACTCTCGTCCCACTTATTGCTGACCTCACTTGTCTTCAGGATGAAGGAGTGAGATAAAGGGAAGGACCTTAAACCTTCAATCAGCCCCAACAATCATAGAAAATGCCCACGGATATGAGAGATGTAGTTCAGCAACATCTAGAAGGCCAAAGTTTCCCCGTGTTGTAGCAAAAGGAGCAGATACACAGGGAGGCTGAAATCTTAACAAGCACTGACTCACATCACTTTCTGTATCTGGCAGTTTGGGTGCTTTAGTCCCTCAGCTAGCAGCTTCAGTCCTGAATCTCCGACTTTATTTCTTCCCAGCTCTAGCTCCAACAGTGTTGAGTTAACAGAGAGAAGAGATGCGAGGAAACCACAAGGAACAAGCTGTTCGCTAAAAAACTTCACTCTGTGGAGGACAATTGGATGAAAGGATGAAAATCTGTATATCGGAAATGATTCAGCGTATACAATAAAACAAAACAATAACAATGCTAGCATTGTATTTCCTTCCAGCCACAAAATGCCCACGTTCTCTACAATTCAACCTTTAAACATCACGTCCAAAACAGTGTTTGTTGGAAGGAGACATGAGAACTGTGGGTCATAGCAAGCCTGCCAAGTCTGTCCCCCTAAATTCACTGAACCCTCCTCCCCGGAATGAACATCCTGGGGCAGAGTTACCAAAAAGCAGCAGTAGTGCAGGACTGCCCTGATCAGGCAAAAAGCCTTGGTGGGCCAGAAACAAGGGCATAATATTGCCTACTTCTGGTGCTCAATATTAGGATTGAGAGAGCTAGAGAGGAACCACTGAGGATGCTTCTGTGGGTTTCTTTTCCATGCTTTGAGAGCTGCCTTTTGCTGACTGAAGAAACTGAGGACAGTGCAGAGGAACACCCACTTGGGTCCATCACACCCAGGATCAGGATCAATATTTTGCCCTTGCAAAAGGACTCTAATGAAGTTAAACGCAAACAGCTTCTTACCTCACATGCCTTAAGTTACTTTTTGGAGACTTCAGTGCTTTGAAGATGGCTGGGTTTTGATACTGTTCACTAAGAGATGAAAGAAAATGTCCTTGTTAAAAAAAGGTTCGTCAGATTCTTTTATTTTTATGAAGAGAATAGTGTGGTGGTTTTCAAACTTATACTTTAATCACGACACACACATCAAATACCACTGTTGCACAACCTGTCCCACTATCAGTATCATGGTGCGAGTTGATCCAAGGGGTCAGGCCACCTCCTCCCCCCAAAAAAGGAGGACTTACCAACAGGATTCCAGCTTCCCAAACAAAGGTTCTTCAGGTTTCCCAAAAATACCACAAGTCAGTCGATTCAAAAAATTGTACATAGTCCAGCTATTGCACTCTGGGTCTCTTCTACGTCTCTGGATCTGGGCCCATAACCTATTGAGATTATTATATTATTATTATTATCCAGTGGAAGCCACTGGATGAGCAAAAACTGACTCTTGTATTGAAATAAAAATTATCCAGTCCAAAAATATGGTTCAAAAAGCTTTACTCTCAGAACAGTGGTGTGCAGTAAGTGGACATGGGAGACTGAGCTGGACCCCTGCATGCTCCCGGTAAATTAGAGTATTAAAGTATTAAAGTCTGGTGCCTCCTTCCCAAAGCTTGGTAAGCTTCTGCCCAGCTTAGGGAAGGAGGTGTGATGCTCATGTGCGCAATGTCCCCCACACTCTCAAGATGGCGCCTTTGGCCCTAACTGTATCCCTACAAAAAAATTGCACTATCACAGAACTCAGCTCTCAACTTCAAACAATAAAAATTACATTCACTCAGTTGCATAACTCTTGCACTGGTTCCAGCATAAGGCATGATAACTTAGATTACAAATATCTGGTCCCGACCAGAGATGAATGGCTGATGAAGATGATGGACGACGCTGAAATGGTGAAAATGACCAGGAAAATCAGAAACCAGGAAGAGAGGAACTTCAATATGGAATGGGGAAAATTTACAATGTACTTAAGAGAACACTGTAAACGACTAAAAACTTTGGCAGGATTTGAGTAACACTTGTAATGTAATAAAAACTAAGGTAAAAATGGACTGTAAGAAAAAAAGAGAAAATATGTGAGGCAGTTGAAAAATATTGAAAATGGTAACCATGGAAGGGTGGAGGGGAGTCTAAGGATTCAGGGAATCCTAAATGCTGATGGTGGTGTTTAATGTTTGAATTTAAATATGCAATGTAAAACTCAATAAAAAAAGATTATACAAAAACAAGTATCTTGCATTTTGAGCTAAAATCAAAGCTCTTCTCCATTGCAACCTCTTTTTGCTGGAGATGAAGATTAACATATCCATTCTTTTCAGTAGCTCAGAAGAAGCACTACACCCAACATGGATGCCTGTCAGTTTAGATATGCATAGACATGAAATACTTTCTCTTTCATGTGACTGTATGCTGATAACTCTGTGACTGAGCCACAAAGATACAGCCCAGGTAGGCTCCTCTCTAACTTCATGAAAATTTCCTATCATGCTTCACAGTATACAATACAGAAGCATTCTCTATCTCCCATTTTGATCAACAGACTCCAAGCACCACAAAAGTAGTGCGTTACTCATCATCCTCCCGGGGAACTGGGATGCTCACCCTGCCATGCCGCTCCCCTGTGTTTTGGGAGCCAGACTCCCTTGCATTCTTGCTTTCCTCCAAGGCCATAATCTATAATACAACGTCATGGGAACATTTAGTTCACACCACTCACACACTTCCCAACTCCTGCATCTGCCCTGCTGCCACGGTCAACACCTTTTGCCCACTCTAGGAATTCCTAATGCAGCAGCTGGTCAGCCAACAGTTAAATGGGGTCTTAACTGTTTTTGGCTATTAACCAGAAATCTGTCTATCAAAACAAGATCTGGCTGGTCAGCATCAAGAAAACACATGGTGTGTGTGTGTGGGGGGAGAATTTCATGAGAGTTCAAAGTCAAATGTGTGTCCTCATCAGAAACTCTGGAAAATATCAGAAAAGGGCAAAAAGTTGCTGCATGTGGTGAAATCCCGTGTGTGGAAGTGGCAGGTGCAGAGAAACTCAACATCCCTTATTTAAATCATACATACCCGTCTGAACGTGGTTCTGAACTAGTAAGTTTTTCCTCTTCTTCCTCCTCCTCTTTTTCTAGTATTTCTTCGGTAAAATCATAATATCTCATAAATAACATTTCCTCCACGTGAAGGACCTCCAAAGCAGAGCAGTGCTCCAAGCAATATGCCTGGGCCATCACTCTCGTCTTAGTCAGGTATCTTCCGTGTACGGTAACTTCAGTCACGTGATCCAATGCACTTTCCACAAAATTTTCCTCTTGGTTCTCATACAAGCATTCAAGCCATCGGTGCTTATGCCTCTCATGTACATCCATCTTTGTTTCTGTGGTGTTTTTCACCCATTCTAATAAGACTTCTTTAATCTTAGGCGAAAATTTCCATCCAAATCTCTCTTTCATGTCCTTCATTCCCTTTCCTTCATTTACGAGGCCAAAGAGGAAGCGCACCGTTACTTCTAAATCAGGTCTGGAAACTGCGTAGCTTTCTAATAATCTGACCACATCTCGATTAGGATTTTCAGAACTCAGCCCTTCTCCTTCTTCCAGTAAGAAAGATAAGGCTGCAAAAAACTCCTGGAAGCTTAAGTGAATGAAGCTGTAGGCACGTTCACATTCGATGTTCCTTCTGAAAATACTCTTGCTCAGAAAGAGGGGGAGGGAGTCTTCCTGATCTAAGCCAAGCTCTTTGATTTCTTCCTCCCAGAACAATATTTTTCGTTTCCAGATTCCATCTGCAGCCAGAGAACACAAACTTTTCAAGTTCTTTCTAATATGTTCCTTTGACGGGCTGTTGTGGTGCAGCTTTAGCAAGCTGGAAAGGTAAAGCATATAGACGGCAGTGAGTGTGTTGGATGTTTGCCAAAGATCCTCACTGTTTTCCATCTGTTGTACCAACACCATGCAGATGATGCAGCACACAAGGGGAACCGAGCACATGGTGAAGAGGGTCTCGTTCTGTTTTACAAGACTGAAAGCTTGAGTTGCTCGGTCTTTATTCTCAAAGAATTTGTGGAAATATTTCTCTCTGTCCTCTTTTGAAAATCCCAGGATCTTGATATGGCGACATAATTCCTCCGAGCACTCATGGAGATACCCCAGGACTGTTGGTCTCGTTGTTATTATCAAGTAGGATTCAGGAAGGAGTTTTTTCTTAAGTATGCTGCCCAGGAGGACCTCCACAGGCCCCTTCTGCCAGGGATCAGTACAAAAGGGGTCTGGTTGAAGGGAGCATCTTAATTCATCAAACCCATCAATTACAAACAGCAGCTTCTTCGGATTCTCCAGCATCTTCTTAATTTCATCCTGTCGGGGCCACCATTTTGAAATGATTTCTGCAATACTACTATCCTCATTACAGAGGTTCATCTCTCCACAATTAATGTAGAAAACATAATCAAACATGGCCTGATAAAGTCTTCCACAGGCCCAGTCAAACATGATTTTTCTTGCCGTTGTTGTTTTCCCGATCCCTGCAGCTCCCTGCAGTACAACAATTTGTGGAACCAGTCCATTTCTATCAGGATTAAATAGCTTTTCAGTGGTATACTCTGTTTGAAGGCTACAATAGTCCATGTAAGTGTTTCGAAAATATACCCATCCTAAAGCCATGATTTCATGTTCTTCCTTCTGCTTTCTGGGACTCTCAATATCAAAGGTTAGCTTTGAATACTGGCAGCTTCGAAGCAGATTTTCACCAAGGGAAGGGTGGACTTTCATTGACTGAAATTTGCCCTTTATGTAGTCCCTGTAGGTTAACCTAGAACCTAAGAAAAGGACATGTGCTAGCAGAAGTATTGAGAAAGCACCAAATATTTTTTGTTAGGAATTCCATCTCTTGTCTTCAAATGAGAAAGATCAGTAAATATAAAAAGCTGTTCTAGACTGTACATGAGCTACACAGACATATATAATCCCTTCCCAATCAAACGTGGAGATGTTAAATGCAGTGGCTCCACTGTTCATGGGGACAGACTACTGCTAGAATGTAACTCCAGTGCTTAAAAGCTTGCACTGGCTGCCCACATGATACTGAGCCAAGTTTAAGCTTCTTGTATTAACTTACAAGGCCCTTAACAACTTGAGTCTAAGGTACCTTAAGGGCTGCCCAAGTCCTTATACCCCTGCCTGATAATGGAGTTCTTCAGGTGAGTCGCCGTTAGCAGTTCCACCAGGATCCGATGCATTTGATACTGGAGATCCTCTTTAACATGAACAAGAAAAGAAAAAAGTGAATCTCCAGCAATATGCTACGATTTCTTACCTTTCCGTGTTGCTTCTTTGAGATTTGCAGCAATGTCTTCCTTGCCAATATGTTCAAGGACACATATGCATACTTTTACTGCATTGGCCTCACCATAGAAGTCACACATGAGATGAATAACATCGGATCTATCAGCACTGTCCAGCTGAACTTTGGGGATTTTCCCCTTTCCATCATGGTCAATGTCTTGTAGCTTCCATTTAAAAATGTTAAACTGGTCTTCAAGGAGTTCTTCCAAGGCATCATAGAGGATTTGGCTTAAGGTTTCATTCCTACCCATCGCTAGATCTGGGTGAGCCATTGTGGGTTTGCTTGTTAGAGGCTGGAGCGGAGCTTTGACGATCTCATAAAAGGACTCTTGTTCTCAGATCTGGGGCCACACAAAGCGACAGAAAAAGATGAAAAGCTGTTACTTAGCGATTGTGAAAAGCAAGCTAAAGAGATCATAGAGTTGGAAGGAACCCCAAGGATGATCTAGGCCAACCCTCTGCAATTCAGGTGCCTCTTACGGGGATTGAACCTGCAACCCTAGTGTTATCGGCACCATGCTCTAACCAACTGAAATATCACCATGGGTGTAACCAGGGGGGCAGGGAGGGGCAACTGCCCCCGCTAAAACGAGAAAATTCAATAAAAATACAGAGCAAACTCAGATTCTGCCCCCAACGAAAGGCCTACCTTGCCTAACTAAAGGCCTCCCCTCCCCCAATAATCCTGGCTATGCCCATGGCTATCCCCATGGAACAGTCCAATAATTACCTAGCATGTTCCCATAACGTAATTCTAGATTACTTCATTTTCATCTGCAGGGATCAGGCCTTGAAGATTGCTGAGAAGCTTCCATTAGAACAGAAATATCCATTAGTAAGGCCAGTATGTTATTAACCAAGGCCAATAGGATTGACCATATTTCACCAGCGTCTAACAAATCTGCAGTGCTTACTCAAAATAAAAGCAATTACTGGACAAATTTAAAACATTTTGGTATTACTAAGCTTGGGCACAACAAGTTAAAATGTCTTCTTTCCTTAGGCTTCCAGTGGCATTTATTTGATTTGATTAACTATTGTGGGTTGGTTCTTAATTTAGTTGTGGAATTATTTGCAGTGACTCTCAGTCATGTTGTTAGCCCCCTTGGAGACCTGCCTTGGGTAGAAAGAGAGGATGTAAATATTTAAATTAAATTAATTGTGATAAACTAAAACCTGTTATCTGGAAATTGGAAAGCAGGTTCTAAAATCTTTCTTAGTCAGTCATCAGTGTTAATGACACACACATTAATTACATAACATACTTTTTTCAGTATTTCAGATGATGGCTAAAGCAAAGTAATTATTATATCAACATGCCCTGAGCATGATGTGTAGTGTCTTCCCTGCAATACTCCTAAGGAAAAAAAACACTGGCTGACTCTCCTCCTGCATACAGAAAGCAAGCATATAAACAAGCCAGCACATCTTAAACATGGGGCAATTTGGTTTTTATAAAACCATTTTATCCCACTCCCCCCACCTCAGTTTTTTGAAACATTCAAAGAAGATTAACAGAAATAAAAAGAAAATGCATGTTTGTAAAAGAAAAAAAAATCAATTAAGAGCAATAACTAAAACAAATGTGGGGATTTATTTATTTTTTAAGGAGATTAGCAGGAAGTATTTTTCAACACTGTAACTGAGCCCTGGTATAGGTTTTAGAAGCAGGTTTTCCCACCTCACAAATTTCCCTTCAGACACATTATGAAAGAGAGAAATAACCCCAAAAGGATACAAAGCTTGCTTTGGACCTTTCTTACACCTTGTGTCAGTTGTGGTTTCTCCACAGCAGTCAGTAGTTCTTATCTGCTATACAGGATGATTATTTTATGAATCTGCCTTTAGCTCAGCAACAGCTGCAAGAAGAAGGGCGCTTTCAGGGCGTTAAGAAGGCTAAGAGAGCGTTATGAAGCGTTACCTGCCCAAAGATGAAAGAGGATATTCCCGCCCGAAGGAAAGTGGTGTTTCAATACGGCTTCGGCAGTTTAAACATGACAACTGAACGCATTGTGCCCCTGACACTGCCTATTATTTAAGTGCTTAATAAACACGCGCGTCTAACTCCGCACATCTTCATCTTTCCAAACCGCACAGCTACATGCTCAGAAAAGCAACAAAAACCTTGCCCTGGGATATCACGTGGTGCACTAATGACGCAACAGGTCTCTGAGAACGCGCAGAGTGCCTTTAGCACATCGCAGCTTTCCGCTCAGATCGAGGAGCGGGTGAGAATCGTGGCCTCTCTCGCCTCCTCCCCACGAGATCTAAAACTCCCCTTTATCCAGGCTGCGACGTGAGAAGGGACGAGCCCAGACTCGGGAGATCTGAGCCGCGAGGCCGGTTCAGACGACAGCGGGGGAAGGGCTCAGTGGAGGGAAGGGCAGAAAAAGCAGGCGCGGCCACTGGGGCGCATCTCACCGCTCGGCTTCCCGCTGCTCCGGCGCCCATCTCCCCTCGCGGTGCCGCCAGTGTTTTTTCTGGACTTTTAAGGAGTCAGGCGCGTCACTTTCCCATAAACGCGAAAGGCACGCACAGCGCTGGTGACGCAGCAGGCAACGGCCTTGCCTCGCAGGTTGCTGCGCTCCAGATCCAGAGCCCCTCTTCGCCCAAACACTCGCCTGCCCTCCCTGAACTTGCCCACAGCAAAGCAGGAGTTTGCCCACCCACCCGCAAAAAGAAAAAGAAACCCGGGATACTTAGCCTGAGGTCCTATATATAATAATTGCGGCCTCTCCCTAGGAGCTGTTCGCAGACGGACTGCGATTTGCAGGATCTCAGTTGCTGCATACGTAGTCTCTATGCGGCGCCGTCGCGTAAAGGTCTCACAAATTAGGTTTCAATACACAGCTGATGTAAAGTTTTTGTCTGAACTGGGTATTTGCATACATGAATTGCCCCCTCTCACTGAAACACACACTCCCAAGTCAGGAAACTCAAGTGTTTCAGCTCTTTTTTAAACTGCCCCATTTTAGGCTGCTCCCTTTAGGTCAAGAGTCACTATACTGTACTTCAAGGTTAGAGTACCGCAACACACTCTGTGTGGGGTTTCCCTTGCAGCTTGTCTGGAAGCTGTAGTTAGTGTAGAATGACTGCTGATAGGAGATAGATCCTGCCACCAAATCATACCTCCGCTCAAAGACCTGCACTGGCTGCCAAGTTCAAGGTCTTACTATTCTATAGAAAGCTCTTTAAGAGCTTCAGACCAGTTTACTTTAGGGATTCCCCACCACATGTGCCTACCTGACCACTTTGCTGTGCGGACCTTGCACTCCTGCAATGGCCATATGATGTTCACTCCACATCTGAAAGAAGTTGAGCTTTCAGTGTGGCAGCACCTCTGGGATTCCTTGCATTATACAGTATTAAAGTTATGTTTTATGTAAATAAACTGCTGCATTTTTACTCTGCATTGTAAATAAATCTTCTGTATTTTTCCATGAAGCATGTTGTTTTTTCACACAAGGGTAGAACTAAATTACGATTTGAAGCTGTAATGAGTTGGCTGTAAAAGAGTTTTACCACTGTTTACATATGCAGCTAACAAAGAGATATTGGCTCAGAGAAACACACAGAATAGCAGGCGGGCAGCTCCCTTGTTGGGTGTTGGCCAGCATGCAGCAGAAGAAAGAGAGTGAAGCAATACTTTGATTTTTATCTGGAAAAGTTATATTTTCTTCTGCAAAGATGTTTGGAAACATCACACTGGGACCAGTGGGCTATTAGAGTACGAATTGTTTGTCCAAACCACATTTTTAGCAGCAATGATTGAAAAAGATACATAAATATACAGGAACCAAGTGAAAGAAGATGACATTGTTGTTTTCTTTGTAAAGGCAGAATAACTGGGTCAGGCACAGGATTTTATGATTCTAGCAGAAATAGCAAACACAGAAGATAGAATGCTAACCCATCACTTACACCAGTTTCTGTGTCTTGCACTCTGGGTGTTTCACCCCCTCAGCCAGCAGCCTCATACCTGACTCTCTCAGCAGGTTAATTCCCAGGTCCAGCTCAGATAGTGATGGGTAGGTGGGAAGAACAGATGAGAGATGCCAACCACCAATAGCATGGAGCTAAGACTGATGCAACCTGAGGGGGACAAGCACGTTTAGAGGCAAGGATAACAGCATGCATGGTCTATCAAAATGATCAAGGGACTTCAGCAACTCCTATGAAGAAAGGTTGCAACATTTAGAGCTTTCTAGTTTAGAAAACAGGCAAGAAACCAGGGGCATAATAGAGGCGGGTTATGAATGGTGTAGAGCAGTGGTAGGCAACCTAAGGTCCGGGGGCCGGATCCAGCCCAATTGCCTTCTCAATCCGGCTCGCAGACGGTCCGGAAATCAGCGTGTTTTTACATGAGTAGAATGTGTGCTTTTATTTAAAATGCATCTCTGGGTTATTTGTGGGGCCCAATGACCACTGTGTTCTTACTTCTTCAGAGTAAGAGCAAGGAGAAGGTGCAACAAAGTAAAGTCATTACCACTGAATTCCTAACATACTGCTACAAGCTCTGTAAAATATAAATCCTTGATTTTTTTTAAAAAAGTGAAAATACAGCGCGCGCGCACACACTTCATAAGTCATCTTAAAATGCATATGGACTTTCTTCTTTAAAATGACTATGCTTTGGGAGCCCTTGTACCACAGTATGCCCTCAACTTTTCTGGTGGTTACTTTCCATGGATCACACCTAAAGCCAATATTGTGTATAGTAAAAACACATTGGGTTCAAGGGCAGGCGGGATTGCCAAAGTCTTTTTTCCTGGGTGCCTGCCCCCTTTCAAATTTCTGGGTTTGTTTTTTTAAAAAATGCTAAGCATGTAAAGAAGAATGAGTACAAATTAAAGATGCGTAAGTTGCAGGCTTACTGTGTATTCCATTGCCCTTAAACATTTCCCAAGCCGATAGTTTTAAAAGTAGTCCAGGAAGAGAGACCCCTAAAAATTGGCATCACATCACTAGACGCACCACAGAAACTGATCTACCAGACAGAATAGACAAGATGTTTGCTGGACTCACCTTCCTGCAGCAAAGGACAGTGAAGGTAAGTTTACCTGGAGGCAAATAGTGTGCTGCAGGCACAAAAGAAGGACATTCATTTTCAAAACGAAAAGAGTTCCCCCCCCCTCTTTTTGTCCCTTTTCCACCCATTTCCCAGACCCACTGCGGTACAAACAACCAAGAGTCCTATGGTAACTTATTCACTAAAATGTTTACTAAAGTATAATGTGGACTCTAGTCCACCTACCCGCCACAAAAACTTATATCATGGTGCCAGGGCCGGCCCACTCATATGACAAGGTGAGGTGACTGCCTCAGGTGGCGGGATCCACAGGGGCAGCAGATTCCAACCTAGATCTTGATGGTACCAGAAGATTCATCCAGAAAGACCCAGGTTCCTCTCCACTCCCCTCCCCCTTAAATCTCACACACCAAAAAACCATATGAACTGTAGTTTGTTGTGGGTACTGGGAACAATGTACAATACATACAATATATGGGAGTAGTAAACTACAGTTCCCAGGATTCGGAAGGATGTGCTTCAAATGTATAGCGTGTAGGCAGCCCCAGGTGTGAAGGGAATGAATCTTTTATTTCACGGGAATCTCCCTGTTGCCTATGTTTCTTTGCTCCGGAACTCCTGGTTTCCTTGCCTTTTGCTGTGTTTTTTCGCTCTTTATTGTTTGCTGAGCTTCTTCCTTGATCTCTTTGCTGACTGACTCGCAGGACACCAAGCGGGAAATTTCCTCTCCGTGCGAAAAAGCGATTAACCAGATAATTAAATCTTTTTCGACGCAATCTGTGTACCCTACTAAGTTTCCCTTGCTCAGATTACGATATTATAGGACACACGCGAAGTTAATTATCTCCGGCTAGAAGTTATTATTGCTTTTTTTAAAGTTAAACGTATTTCCTTCTCCTCCCTCCTGGGCTCTCCCCGCCCCCGTCGTCCTCCGCCGGCTCCACCTCCAGCAGCAATCCGGAGGACTGGCTGGATCTCAGCGACCTGATTCAAGGCAAGACCCAAACATTGTTTTCCCGAGGCAACTCATCGGTTCCCTCTTTGCCCTGTAGTATGTGTTAAAATTCCTGCTCCATGATTGCAGTTCACCACGTCTTTTCGCGCGGTAAGTGCCATTGATCCAAGTGGGGCTTACTCCAAAGCAAGTGTGCTTGCACTTACCTGGGACTAGTCAGCCCGATCTGACTCAATGGCACTTACTTCTGAGTAGATATTTATGGGATTGCTTAACGCCTCCATGAAGGTGGTTAAATGACTATGTTGCGTGTGCGTGTTTTGCTCGATCCTCAGCTCGGACGAGCAGAGGGAGCTTTTTTGCAGAAAAATTGCCAGGAAAGTGTTGTTTGAGAGAAGCGGAGTTTTCCCGAACTGCCAGCATGGCAGTGGGGAGAGGGGAAGCGGCTCAGGGATGTCCGTAGTGGGAGTACAATTATAGAATCCCAGCTTTTCAATAATAATTGCAGCAAACCTTGTGACATTTGAGATGGGAGGCAAAATGTGCAGGCACAGTTTGTTTTCGTAAAAAGCTAACCTTGCTCCCGCCTTTCACTGTATGTAGCCAATGAATGAAGTCGTAACAATGAGAAATCGGAGCTAGCCAATTAACCAAAAGAAAGGTGGAGTAGAAACTTCCTTGTTAATTTTTTGATCGGCCCCCCCCCCCATCCGCTCGCTGACCTTTTGGAGTGAGTGTTTCTGGACAGGGGAGTGATTGCTGTTCCACGGGGAAAAGTCAGAAATACCGTAGATTGTGGCTGTGATTGAGCTTTCGACCTCTGGGATTATTTTCCATACATGTGATTTTCTTCTTGTGAAATTGCCATGCTACTACAGGGTGAGTCTTTGAAAAGAGGCCTCGTGGAACATGTGTACTCTGTATCCACGGGGCCTCTTTCAAAGGACTCACCCTGTAATAACAAAGATAATATTGCTGAGAGAACAGAGAGTACACTAGCCTTACGAAGCAGACCAGTGATATACCCATTTTGCTGGGCGCTGCAGTAGGGAGTGGCAGCCCTGCAGTGTACTCTTCCCACGTTTTCTTCTGTTTTTAAAAGGGGAAATGCGAGGGGACTGTGGTGTTATTTGGAGCAGCAGTGCAATGAATTAAGGGTGTGCAGGGCAAAGGGAGCCAGGGAAAAAATGAAGTGTTTCAGCTGTGGTGGAAAAATATTGTCAAAACAGCAAGTCTGCAATGATGAGTAAATCAGGACTTCCGGGTTGGCGCCATCGGTAATGGCGGATTCCCTCTGACTTTCTGAGGGACTACCTCTGCGGGATCGGGTCTGCACCGCTGTGGCGAAGCGGGGACCCTTCAAAAATCACAGGCGGGTGAAGCCTGTGAACGTGGGACTCGGCGGGCACCTTTTGCGCCCCCCCAATCTGCGAAGGAACCCATTTACGGGCTCCGGAGCGAAACGGGGTGAGCGGCGCGGTGCTGAGAGTTGACTGCTTCTTCCACGGAGTGAAGCCGCACAGCCGTTATCAGAGAGCGCTGACTTTTTCCTGGGACAATTTGATTTCAAAAGCAACTACCCGTGAGTAGGACAAAACTGGATTTAAAGGGAGAAAAACAATTAATTCGGCACCGAAGCGGGGAGGCATAAACAGGAAGTCCGCCTTCCGTTTCTTGTAAACAGATCAAAGCAAAGAGACTGTAAGCGGAAACTTTGAAAGACGTTTGAAAAAGGACGCAAATCCTAACATCAGAAAAGCGATCTCCCCTCCGGATTGCAGGAGAGGAAGGGGGAAAGGTTTGAACTGTATTTATCTGCAAAAAAAAAAAAAGAGGAAAGGAAGCTAAAATCCACCGCTTAGAACCTGGGAACAGACTGCCTTAGGACAAGGAATGCCGTTCTGTGAAAAGCACTATTGGTAAATAGAGTACTTTTGACAGCTAACTCTGCAAGAGAGATACAGTGTTTCTGGACTTCTCCTGGTTTTAAAGTAACTGATTAAGTGCAATTGAAACTGTTGTCTTTTTGTGAATTGGGGGATTTATAAAGATTATTTTCTTCTCAAAGTTACAAGCTTTGACTGTTACTGTGTCCCCCTAGAGGAGGTTTGACATTGCTACAATAACAACTGGGCCAGGGGAATTTTCCATTTCAAAACAAATTCCAGCCGTGGGACTGACCTTGGACTTCTATTAGAGTGTTATGGCAGATGGAAGAGGAAAGTTAGAGTTGATTCAGGAAAAAACTACCAGGTCTGGCAGATCCTTTCGTACAGATACTGGGTCGCAGCGAAGAGCTTCAACATCTGGTCCTTCTGGACCATCTGGATTATCAGGGGCTGCACCCCTACAAGTTAAACCAAAAGGAATGTCGTCTGAAGACGTTTTAGCTTTGGCACTAGGAAAAATTAATGAATCTTTGGAAAATTTAAGTAAACAGGTAGCTGAAACAAATAAACAAGTAGCTGAAGCATCAGTTAAAATTGACCAAAATACTACAAGTATTAATAATTTGGGACAGAAGGTAAACACCAATACAGAGACTATTGAGAAATTGTTACAGGAATCTGCTTTGACCCGAAAGACAGCTGAAGAAGCAAAGGACATAGCAACTGCTACTGAAGAGAAGATACCACCGATATATAGGCAACTTGAGGACCACGGGTTGACGTTGTCTATGATTGAATTGAAGGAGAAACAAATGAATTTGAGAATCAGGGCTGTACCTGAACTTGAGAAAGATAATTTGATTGACTTTCTTACGCAGGAATTTGCAGACTTCTGGCAACAGGATTTGGGGAAGGAAGAATTTAAGATAGTGAGCGCATTCAGGCTTGGAAGAGGAGGAAAGAAGAACAAGGTGAGAGACTGTTTGATTACCCTTCGAACAAAAGAGGAGAGAGACAAAATCTTGAATCTGCATTTCCGAAAGACTTTGGAAATACATGAGTCAAGTGTGGAGATATTTAAGGACATTCCAAAACATCTTTTGGACTTAAGGTCTAACTACGGAGATTTGGTTGCCCTGCTGAGAAGCAATAGAATCATCTTTAGGTGGGAATTTCCCCAAGGCCTGTCCTTTAAATATAAAGGAAGAAAGATAAAAATAAGATCAGTCGATGACAAAGATAGATTCTTGAAAGACCACGGAGAAGACTTACAGAAAGAAGTGGAATCTGGAGAAGAGCCAAAAGCACTGGAAAGAGGAATATTAGATATAGCAAATTTATCTTTTGGATTGCATGGTTCAGAGAAAGTGACACCACCGACAGAACAAGAACAAACACTTGGTGCAGTTGGAGGTAAAGCAAAGTAATAACATCATGGTTCTGCAACTATTAAGTTGGAATTGTAATGGCCTCAACTCTCCTCGGAAAAGGAAAAGTGTTTTTCATTTATTAAAAAAGGAACAATTGGACTTGATTTGCCTACAGGAAACACACGTGATAAGGCTACATAGGAAAGTATTGATTAACAAGAGATTGGGACAGGAGTTTATTTCATCTGACAAAGTTAAAAAAAGAGGAGTAGTGATCTATGCAAAGGAGAGACTATCACCGAAATTCATTTTTAAAGACGATCAAGGAAGATTTGTGGCAATTGAAATTCAAATACAAGGAGAGAAATTTTTGATAGTAGGAGTTTATGCACCGAATGAGGGGAAATCTGAATTCTTTAAAAAGTTGCATGAGATCTTAATAGACTATTTGGATTACAATCTGATTTTGATGGGGGATATGAATGGAGTAGTATCTACAAACATGGATAAGGCACAAAGACAGGTAGTCACCAAGGATGGTAGACTACCGAAAACATTTTTTGAGATGACAGACAACTTGGACTTAGTCGACATTTGGAGAACAAAGAATCCCTTGGGAAGAGAGGGAACTTTCTTTTCTGAAGCCAAGATGACATGGACTAGAATCGACCAAATATGGGTAACTAGAGGAATGGCACCAAAGATAAAGAAAGCGGAAATTTGTCCAAAAACCTGCTCCGACCATAATGCTGTAAGGATGGAGATGAAACTAATATCAACTGGCTCCTTCAGATGGAGGATGAATGACACCTTATTTAGAGATGAAGATGTGATTAAGAAGGCCCAAAAACTTTGAGAGACTATTTTGAGATAAATATGAACACTAATGTTGAAAAAAGAGTAATCTGGGACGCAAGCAAAGCGGTTATGAGAGGGTTCCTGATACAACAGAATGCAATAAAGAAGAGAAGCCAAAATGAGAAGAAAGATAAAATTTTGGAGAAAATAAAAGAAAGTGAGAAGAAATTGAGAGCAAAACCAAAGTCGCAGGAGATTTTGAGAGAAATAAAGTTATATCAAGTACAATATATGGAAATGATGAATCAGGAAATAGAATGGAAAATTAAACAAATGAGACAAAAACATTTGAATCAGCTAATAAATGTGGGAAATTGTTGGCTTGGCAAATGAAAAAAGACAAAAATTAAATACTATTATAAATTTAGAAGTGGAAGGAAAG